ACACAAAGACACACAGACATACACACACTGACAGACATTTAGATACACACAGACACACGGACAGAGACATTTACATACACACACACACTGACAGACATAGATACACACACACTGACAGACATATACAAACACACTGACAAACATACAGATACACACATACACAATGATAGACATACACAAAGACACACTAACAGACAGACATACACACACACTGACAGACATTTAGATACACACAAACACACGGACAGAGACATATACATACACACACTGACAGACATAGATACACACACACTGACAGACATATACAAACACACTGACAAACATATACAAACACACTGACAAACATACAGATACACACATACACAATGATAGACATACACAAAGACACACTAACAGACAGACATACACACACACTGACAGACATTTAGATACACACAAACACACGGACAGAGACATATACATACACACACACTGACAGACATAGATACACACACACTGACAGACATATACAAACACACTGACAAACATACAGATACACACATACACAATGATAGACATACACAAAGACACACTAACAGACAGACATACACACACACTGACAAACATTTAGATATACACAAACACACTGACAGACATAGATACACACACACTGACAGATATATACAAACACACTGACAAACATACAGATACACACATACACAATGATAGACATACACAAAGACACACTAACAGACAGACATACACACACACTGACAGACATTTAGATACACACAAACACACGGACAGAGACATATACATACACAAACACTGACAGACATGGATACACACACACACTGACAGACATGGATACACACACACACACTGACAGACATGGATACACACACACACACACTGACAGAACATGGATACACACACACTGACAGACATGGATACACACACACACACACTGACAGACATGGATACACACAGACACACTGACCAACAGGTTCAGGAGGGGGGCTTACCTGGGATCCAAAGTGCTGCCTGAGGTAGTTGGGAGTTGGAGGAGCTGGTCCTGCCCAGCCCCCCTCCTCTCTGCCTTCTGCTGCTCTAGTCTTCTTGGGAGGACTTCCTCCCATGCTGATTAGAAGGGGGCCGGTGGTAGCTCCGCCCCTGCTGGGCGCCAGCCGCGCTGTGTGCTACAGTGGGAGCAGGGATATGACGTTCATATCCCCGCCCCCTCCACACAGTCCGCGGCACTGCAGGGTGGCGCTCGGCCACACTACAAGAAGTGACCGGCAGGAGAGGGGCGCTGTGCGCTTCCCTCCTGCCGGTCACCCGGACATTTGCGCCCCCGGGCCGGTGCGCCCTAAGGCGGCCGCCTGTGCCGCCTTATGGACGCGCCGGCCCTGCCCTGAGTAGTATGTTCACTTCATTGATAGCCTTGGGTGTGGTGACCAGTTCATTGAATAGTGCTGATTTTGGTTATGGGCTTATGTCCATGTCGTGTTCACAGAAACCTGGTTAAGAGTGTATCCATTTTATTTGCTTTCTCATAAAACAGTCGTTTAGACCATAGCAGAGATCGGGCCACCTCTTCAAGGGATATTTCACTGATGGAGTGTCTGAGAGAGTTAAGTTCTTGCAGTTGGGAACTTGTTGAATTGGTTTTGTTGTTGCTTTGCTTTCCTCAGTTCAGATTTTAGTTTTTAGTTTGTTTCTTATGTGTGGCTACCTTTATGAGGTGCCTGCAAAGCAGTCTTATCATACCACAGTAAGATTTATATCTGGTGCAAAAAAAATAATAATATATCTATAATAGCTGTTCGGGTCGTTTCTTGAGTACTCATCTTTGAGGAGGCTAGTGTTTAGTTTCCGGGACCAATTTAACTTATATTGTAGTTTGCCGAGGGTGACCATAATGTCTGCATGATCGGACCAGGTGATACGGTTAATTTCCGAACGTATTGCCTTGCCCATCCCGGTCCCATTGATAAGTATGTTGTCTCTTCTAGAATATGTGTCATAGAATGTAGGCATGCATACATTAATTTGTCTTGTCCCCACTTCCATGACCTAGGAGTGCCCGGCTTTGAATTTATGTCGGCCACTGGACATGATGCCCAATAAAATTAATTATAAACCATGAGCACACCACCTCCCACATTAGAGATCAAAGTTTAAATAGTAGACCAAAAAGATAATCTGGCACATTGCGAGCACACACATTATATGAACTTTTGTATAGTAGATGAAGGTTTTGGAAGTTACAGGGCCAAATATTGGGCCCGCCCATTTCCATTTATGTAAATTTGACAAATTGATTTCTACCATTAACGCATTTTTGTATTTTTTTCAAAGGTAGATGACCCAGGTATTCGAATTGGAATATTTTGAGTTGTTTTGTATAAGCACTTTATCACAAATGCTGGACACATTTTATGTTGATAGTTTCATTTGTTTTATCCACACACACAAATTGCATTTTCACAGAAAATTTCATAATCCTGATAAGTGCTATAGCAATAAAGCAACAATACTTATATTTAGTATTGTCTCATGAATATATCCGTGCTCCCATGTACTGGTTTTCCAGTTTTTTGTAAGCTACAAAGCCAAATTATATCACTTTCAAACTTGTAAATTTAACAAACGTATTTTTTTTGTGTCTATGTCACCTTTGAGACAGTATGATAGCCTTATTAAGAATATTACCCCCATGATCGAATACCATTTTCAAAAGTAGGCAACCTAAGGTATTCAAAATGGGGTATTAGGAGTTCTTTTGTGCAGTCACTTTATAATGACACTAAAGTGGCTGAGCTTAATGTAAACAGTGACAGGCCAAGGTCAGGATAACCAGAAATAAAGGGGTCTGTATGACAAACCAATAGGTCGGTCTATATAGGCAGCTGACAAAGAGTAAGAAAAGTGATTAGCACACTTAGTGTAAATACAATAGTGAATAAATTATTGGTATTTATATAGCGCCCACTAATTTAGCAGCACTTTACAATATTATGGGGAGGGAAGGGGGGTAGAACAATAGGTAGACGAGGGCCCTGCTCAAACGAGCTTAGTTTAGAGGACAATGTGTAAAATTCAGTAAGTGGTACACACGTTTAACCCCTTAAGGACACATGACATGTGTGACATGTCATGACTCCCTTTTATTCCAGACGTTTGGTCCTTAAGGGGTTAAATATATATATATGTTTCTTGAAATGGAGCCTCTGCCGAAACCCAGATATATTATATAAAATAAAAAAACAAAAATCCTTACACATCAGTAAAATATCTCAGTTTATCAGAGTATGTGCATAGCACATTCATAAGTCTTCCTCAGGTACATATGTTATAAATAATTCCTATTTTTAAAGGCTGATTTTCACACCTTCTTCTGTTTAATCCTGCCTCATCTTATCTTCCTTGGGAGACATCTTTCCTCTTCTAAATACTTTACACCTCTCTGGAGTCCACCAGAAGAACTCTTGCTGCCTATTTGCCAGATGTCTTTCCTTTGAAAAAGACTTCTGTATAGATGAAACACGTTAGTGTGTTACTTATTTTTTTATTTGTTTAATAAAATTAATCTGCATTTGCACCCCTGGACCTTCAGTGGACATGTTTTATTGGAGAAGCTGTATCTCAAATTCCCAGGTGGGGGACAAACCACCTATGCTGTAAGGGATTGCTCAGTCCTTATTTGCTCATCCATTGTGAGTATATTTCTCTTAATTTTAATTGTTTTATTAATACAGAGAACACTATTCCTGTTCTTTTATATTCCTTATACATCACTAAAGCATCATCTGGAATACACCACGTGGATTATTGGCACAGGGATACGATACCAGAGACAATCAGGACCATCCTAACATCCACAGATAGGGATTGTACCGTCCATACGCTGTGATCTGGAGCTGATCTTGAGCTCCAGAAAAGTGTGAGTGCAATATATTGTTTACTTATATTCTGCCTCTGTTATAGACATACTACACTATATATATACAAAGTTAAGATTTGTTAGATTTAAATTATTCTCCTAATTGGAATGGCAGACATAGTTCAGTGTAACAATTGCTATGCATTTGTTTCACGTTCCACTTTTTTGGAGGTTTGGTTGTTGTCTAATCTGTAGACAGTTCTCTATTTTGCGGCAGGAGATTGTATTTTTGTTTTGAATAAGTTTATTGGTGCATAGGAAATGCAGTCATCCCACGCAGGGGAGACAAATGTATCATAATAAGCTTTTCGGCATAGGCATATGCCACAGAGTGCATTTTATATCGAATGAGAACAGTCAAAGCCTAGTAAGGCAGAAAGGTTAAATTATGTGAACACAGGTAACATAACTAAGGTTAAGCAAATGTCATATTGCATATCCGTTCCAACATTAGCAAGAAGAGATCATTCTCTGCATCTTATTTTTCAGTCAGCTTATGTTAGCAGTATAATGTTTAGCTAAATCTGAACTGAGGTATTTGCACTCTTGTCTACGCTGAATTATAACGGGTCCAGTTAGATAATGTTTTATGCCTATTCTCAACTTTATTTGATTAAACAATACGCAGCAACCCATTAGTGAGTCCCCATATGCTGGCAGGGGGAAATTAACCTATGGTATAACACAAGGGCTCATCATTAGGAAATCAGAGAAAGGGTTAGTATTTCACTTTGAGATGTTAACATGACATTCAATGATTAGATAATGGGGGATTAGGGGCTTAATTGGTTGCTGTATAACTTCCTCTCCCCACGTTTAACAGGGTAGTATGTTGTAAGTCTTTAATTCGTGCCCTCAGGTAAGAGGTAATCGATGTCCCTAAGATTGGACCCACAAAATCTGTACGTGCGTGGTTACAAACATATCTAGAAAATAGTCAATGAACTGTTAAACTGTAAGCTGGTTGAAATTAAAAAAAAAATAAAAAAAAAACACCCTAACCCCATATGCTCTTTGTGAAAGCACAATTTTTTTTGTATCAGCTACTGCGCAGACAAATACGGGTATCCTTAACGTATGTTTTGTCTGCGTGTGCTACAAATATAAGATTATCTAAGAATTTGTGACCTTAAACTGAAGCTCATATGGACACTGCTGCATGGGCAGTGTATGAAAGACTAGAAAAATATATTAAGCAGGCAGCATTATAGCATGAACATATTACTGATGCTTTTCAGTCCTCAAGGATCATCAAGCATAAGACAGGAGCATAACGTAGATAAGACATGATGCTGCATAATGTACGGCTTTATATGGTGAATAAACGGGAAAAAATAAAAATAAAAAAATAAAAAAAATAAAAATAAAATAAAACATTTACTGCTGCCTGTCATTAACAGCGTGTATCAACTCAGTCCACAGGCATTGAGGGACCACGGATACGACCCCTCCGAGCGGGGGGAACCGACTGCAGATGCATCCGCGGCTGATCCCAGGGGCGCCAGGCCTCCGCAGCGTCCCCTCAGGCCGCGCCAAGCCTCCATCCGGGAGATCCGCAGCACAGCGGGCACTCAGGGACCCACCAGTCCACAGGACCCACCACCCAAAGTCCGTGTGCCAGTCAGTAATCCCCTGCACCCCCACTGCACCACTGGGGCCCCAGATGGTCAGGGTGAAGGCCGTCCTGTGTCTCACCCTTCTCCGGCCACTCTGGGCGGGCGCCAGCCTCCCCACAGCCACCGGTCCGCCGCGTTCCACTCCACGAGGGCTCACAGCGTCGGGGACAGTTGCCTGCAGGTCCTCCTCAAACCCACAGGTGACGGCACTTCGGTCTCCGCAGGGCACAGTCCAAGGGTCGCGGCATCCGGCCAGTGGGCCCCAAGGACACCGCAGCGGCATCCCGCCTGGCTCCCCCACCCACGTGCATCGCCTCCGGGGCCCCACTTCATCCGTGGGTGTTGTATCCACAGGACAGCTTCTGATGGCAAGGCAGGGCTGTTGTAGGCCGTTAAGTTCAGGGTGTGCGTTGATCCTGTAGCGTAGGCAACAATCAGCCCTGAATTTTGAGTGTAGATAGCTGGCGGGCCGCAGTTTGGCAGCCAGTGCCTGTGCAGGAGGTCAGCGAGCACCCCGGGTGGTTGCGTCCACCCCAGGGCGTGCAGCCTCCATGTAGCCGGGATTACCCCCTCCGGCCGAGGGGGGCGGGGGGGGGCGGGGCCGCAGCTCTCACCCGTGTAAATCTCCCCCAGTGTCCGCATAGCTGGTGTGCTTGTACCTCGGGCCTTGCAATCAGGCGTCTGTTCTCTATCTGCAGCTGTCCTCATGCAGGCTTATGCAGGTGTGTAGGCCGGGTTCATCAGTCTCGGTGTTCCCCGTGAATTGTTGGCCGTAGTCTGGTATCATATGGGTGCTTGGGTAGTACCCCCATTGTAATGCAGCATGTAATCCAGCCCTGGGGCAAGTTGTGAGCAAGTTTTATGCCGTTGTTTAGGGCTTAAGCTCGGAGCCACAGTGTTCTGCTGCCATGCTGCTTGGCGGCCCGGCCCGGCCCCGCCCCCCTGTATTTTTGAAGTCTGAGATTTATAAATTATCTGGTGAAGAAACTCAGACTGGAACTGCTGCAAAGCCACTGCCGCAGAGACAAACTAGGAAAAGCAGATGGATTACTGTAGGATCTGGTAGACTTAGAGTTGTGGATAAAAGGCATTTTGCACAGTCTGTTGCTCTTCATAATTCATTTTCTGCACTTTCAGAGTGTGATGGTGTTGTGGAGAGAGGCACTGAGGCTAGTGGTGTTGTGGAGAGAGGCACTGAGGCTAGTGGTGTTGTGGAGAGAGGCACTGAGGCTAGTGGTGTTGTGGAGAGAGGCACTGAGGCTAGTGGTGTTGTGGAGAGAGGCACTGAGACTAGTGGTGTTGTGGAGACCGGCTTGGAGACTATGGTGAGGCCTAATATAAAGCAGTTGTTGGGGGATTCCATTATAAGAGGTGTGGAGATAGACAATGGTGGTCTTGTGAGGTGTCTTCCCGGAGCTACTGCTCACAGAGACAGGAGACGTATCTGTAATATTGTTAAGCAAGCAAAGCAGGAAGGGGAATTGGATGTACTTGTCCATCTAGGGACAAATGACTTGGCTTGCAATGAGGTTTCAGAGGTTAAGGAAGTTTTTAGTGTTTTTGCCAATGATATACGGCAGGTTGCTTCCACACTGTCATTCTCTGAAGTTCTGCCTGTGCATAACACTCAGAACGACAGGCGGATGCGTATTAGGGACTTTAATTTGTGGCTTGGTGAATGGTGTCGGGAGCAAGGATTTGGCTTTATTTCTCATGGTAGCTCTGTTTGGAATGGAGATAAGCTGTACAAAAAAGATGGTTTGCATCTTTCTCAAAAGGGAACAAATGTTCTCAGTGAGCAGTTCAGAGGTTTTGCTAGGATGTATTTAAACTAGGAGGAGGGGGAGGGGGGGCAAAAGGGTGATAAAACATCAATCCAATTGTCCCCCAAAACAAGGACAGAAGGTGCCTGTAGCAAGTGTGTTAAAAAATGATAAGCTTAGAGTCATGTCTACAAATGCTCGCAGTTTAGGGAATAAGATCCATGAACTTGTGGCAATAATGGCAACTGATAGTGTAGATTTAGTCGCTGTTACTGAGACATGGTACAATGAGAAAAATGACTGGGACATAGCAATACCAGGGTACTCTTTATATAGGAAAGATAGGGAAGGCAAGAAAGGGGGAGGGGTGGCCTTGTATGTGAAGGATAGCATAAAATCTAGCCTAATAAAAGTTAGTGAGGCAAACATAGAGTCCGTTTGGGCTACGTTAGAATTTGGTAATCACACAGTAACTCGTGTAGGTGTGATTTATAGGCCCCCAGGACAAATTGAAGAGTTAGATAATCTACTAGTTGAGGAAATAGCTAAAATGACAATGAAGGGGGAAGTTATCATCATGGGTGACTTTAATCTTCCTGATGTAAATTGGAAAACAAAATTAGCTACTTGTGCCAGGAGCACACATATTCTAAACTCCCTACTGGGATTGTCTCTAAAACAAGTTGTTGAGGAGCCAACTCGTAAAGAGGCCATACTAGATTTAGTGTTAACAAATGGAGATTTGGTATCAGATATTACTGTAGGTGAAAGTTTAGGATCCAGTGATCATCAGTCAGTGTGGTTTAATATAAGAACAGTGACTAAGTCACACCACACAAAAACAAAAGTTTTAGACTTTAGAAAAACAAACTTTTCTAAAATTAGAATATGGGTAGAGGAGTCATTATCAGACTGGAGTAATTTAAATGGAGTCCAAGAGAAATGGGATTATTTAAAAGTTGCACTATTGAAGGCAACAGAAAATTGCATTAGGCTTGTCAGTAAAAGCAAAACATTCAAGAAACCACTGTGGTACTCCGCAGATGTGGCCAAAATAGTTAAAAACAAAAAGTTAGCATTTAGGAATTATAAAAAAAACCAGAGTGAGGAAGACAAAATGATCTATAAGATTAGGCAGAAAGAGGCTAAGCAAGTTATAAGAGCTTCCAAATCACACACAGAAGAGAAAATAGCACAGTCAGTAAAAAAGGGGATAAAACATTTTTTAGATACATAAATGAGAAAAGAAAAGTAAAACAAGGATTAGTTAGATTAAAAACAAAAGAAGGAAGGTATGTAGAAGAGGATAAAGGTCTAGCTGACTGCCTCAATGAATATTTTTGTTCTGTATTTACAGATGAAAATGAAGGAAAGGGACCTCAGTTGAGAAAAAGGATAAATGAGTCATTTATTACCAGTGAGTTTACAGAGGAAGAGGTTCTATTTCAACTGTCAAAAGTAAAGACAAATAAGTCAATGGGACCTGATGGAATACACCCAAAGCTATTAAAATAGCTTAGTGGTGTACTAGCAAAACCATTAACAGATTTATTTAACCAATCATTGTTAACAGGAGTAGTCCCAGAAGATTGGAAGTTAGCGAATGTTGTGCCCATTTACAAGAAAGGTAATAGGGAGGAGTTGGGCAACTATAGGCCAGTAAGCCTTACTTCAGTAGTGGGGAAAGTGATGGAAACCATGTTAAAGGATAGGATTGTTGAACATCTAAAAACACATGGATTTCAAGATCAGAGACAACATGGGTTTACTTCAGGGAGATCATGCCAAACTAATCTTATTGATTTTTTTGATTGGGTAACTAAAATTATAGATCAGGGTGGTGCAGTAGACATTGCTTACCTAGATTTCAGTAAGGCTTTTGACACTGTTGCACATAGAAGGCTTATCAATAAACTGCAATCTTTAAGTTTGGATTCAAATATTGTTGAATGGGTAAGGCAGTGGCTGAGTGACAGGCAACAGAGGGTTGTAGTTAATGGAATATATTCGAAGCTTGGACTTGTCACCAGTGGGGTACCTCAGGGATCTGTACTTGGACCCATTCTCTTTAATATTTTTATTAGTGATATTGCAGAAGGTCTTGATGGTAAGGTATGTCTTTTTGCTGATGATACTAAGATATGTAACAGGGTTGATGTTCCAGGAGGGATAAGCCAAATGACAAATGATTTAGGTAAACTAGAAAAATGGTCAGAATTGTGGCAACTGACATTTAATGTGGATAAGTGCAAGATAATGCATCTTGGACGTAAAAACCCAAGGGCAGAGTACAGAATATTTGATAGAGTCCTAACCTCAACATATGAGTAAAGGGATTTAGGGGTGATTATTTCTGATGACTTAAAGGTAGGCAGACAATGTAATAGAGCAGCAGGAAATGCCAGCAGAATGCTTGGTTGTATAGGGAGAGGTATTAGCAGTAGAAAGAGGGAAGTGCTCATGCCATTGTACAGAACACTGGTGAGACCTCACTTGGAGTATTGCACACAGTACTGGAGACCGTATCTTCAGAAGGATATTGATACCTTAGAGAGGGTTCAGAGAAGGGCTACTAAACTGGTTCATGGATTGCAGGATAAAACTTACCAGGAAAGGTTAAAGGATCTTAACATGCATAGCATGGAGGAAAGACGAGACAGGGGGGATATGATAGAAAAATTTAAATACATAAAGGGAATCAACACAGTAAAGGAGGAGACTATATTTAAAAGAAGAAAAACTACCACAACAAATGGACCGTCTTAAATTAGAAGGGCAAAGGTTTAAAAATAATATCAGGAAGTATTACTTTACTGAGAGGGTAGTGGATGCATGGAATAGCCTTCCAGCTGAAGTGGTAGAGGTTAACACAGTAAAGGAGTTTAAGCATGCGTGGGATAGGCATAAGGCTATCCTAACTATAAGATAAGACTAGGGACTAATGAAAGTATTTAGAAAATTGGGCAGACTAGATGGGCCGAATGGTTCTTATCTGCCGTCACATTCTATGTTTCTATTAGTATTCCTGTCCAATTTAGTTTTCTCCCTTATATTGGCTCCATTGGGTTCCACACAAGTACTTTAATTGTTAAGCGCTGCTTCCCTACACCGCCCGCTTTAGATGGCTTTCCTTGCCTCAATTCTTCCAGAAGAACCCGTCATGTGCCAGAAATACCCGGTCAACCATTTTTTAGGTGGCAAGAACATAAATTAAAGTCAAAGCCCAAATATATAAAATGGCGATTAAAATAAAATGATCAGGTTAAAAACATTTTTTCCCACAAATGGACTGATTCATATGAGGAAATTTCTTTTAAAATCTGTTAATTTCTCAATCCTTGTTAAATAGCGGATTAAAAAAAAAATGACAAACACACGTACCTACAAGGCACTTTTCCTTAGAAGCTTCTCAGTGCCGGCTCCCCCCCCCCACCCTCCATTAACAGCACATACAACATTTACTGTGTGTTTTTTTTTTTAAATCATGTTTTGGACTTGTGGTGAACAAGATATTGTTGTATGCGCCAGTCAACCAAATCTTAATGTGTTTTGGTATTGGTATTTCCTTTGACAGACACTGGAAAGGTTTTATCATCATGCATTGTGGACAGCATGTACACACCATTCAGAGTAATGAAGGGTCAGCACTTTCTCCTTGTTTAATCTGTTGTCTTTTTTTCCATATGCCAGCTGCTGGGGGAAATCTTTGAAACCCTAGCCACAGTGTGCAAGAAATTTAATGTATAATACATTCTTGAACAAATCAGTGCTGGTATAATAGTAGACCAATAGATAGCCATTGTTTACCACGAGGATAGCTCATTCAAGCCTGTGGATCAATCTTTGACTTAAAAAATGTAAAATACAGAGGCATTGCTTGTAGTGCAATCACAAAATTTACTACATGTATTCCACAGTGTGATTGCTTTGATGGAATATATTGCTTAAAAAGCAGTCTTCCTTTAAATCTCATCAGTGATTCAGCTATTGCATATATTCTGATCAGGGTGTAAATTTTGATCAACTTCAGCCAGGTGTTTGATCAGAGGCCATATTGTGTAGAACAGCCATACAACATGTAATTTCTATCATTGAAATTGTGTGTAATTGAAGCATTAACTCATATCTATCCCCCTTCATAATAAAAAATAAAAAGGGGGGGGGGAGCGGGGGAAACACCATCTCTAGAAGTCTCCCTAAGGATCTTTTTATTTGTTTATTATAAAATATTTTACCAGCATAAGAGCCTGGTTCACAAGGTAAAAAAAAAAAGAAAAAGTGTAACCCTCTTCTGCAGAATAATTATGAGCCATGATGCAAAAAGCAATACTTTTTTTTTCTACCAAACAGAAATTCCCTTAACCCACCCCAAAAAAACACTATTTATTTATAACAAATACAGTAAAAAAACTAAAACATTATCTGGTCAGGCTGACAGAATGCTCTGATCACAGAAACAGCCAAGAGATAAGAAAACAGGGAAGTGTTTTTAAAAAAAAAAAAAATATATATAATAATTAGAATGGGTTAAAACAAAAATGTCTAAATTAAACTATGAATTTTAAACTAATAATTTATTAATTGGTTATATTCTGTTTTTCCTAAGCAAGTGGTAAGTAATGCAAGAACAAAAAGGATTATTAGATAGCTTAACCCAGCTCAAATAAAATTTGATACAATACATAAAGTATATGAAAATAATACCATGGCACATGATTTGGACTATATTACAAATATGTTTAAAATATTTAGCAAAAAAGATTCTATGTACAGGCACTCTTTCATCCGTATTGGTGCAAAGTATCAAGGTGGCCCATATACCTCAAAATATACAATATACCAAAAAATTATACTGCACTCAAAAAATTTAGATAGAGTTCATTACTTCGGAGAGCAAAAAATGGGTCGCAAGAGTATTCTGAGAACGGACAGCAGCTAAAATAGCCTGCCCTTCGGTGGGTCCCCGCTCAGAACTCATGCTGGTTTTTGCTCAACTTGTGCCATTACAGAGAGAACATATCTGAAGCATATCAGACTGGTCCCACCCATACGGGCAGTCCAGATCCGAAATGCCAGCAAGTTCTCTCTGCACGAGAGATACAGCAACCCCAGACGATCGTTTCAGCCTTGTTAGGCATCGTCAGTGAGGCATAGCTGATATCTCTCTAGGCACCGTGAGCAAGGGGTCCACGTCTGGATTACCCTTTAGACTAATGGAGAGCAAACAATGGGTCGCAAGAGTATTCTGAGAACGGACAGAAGCTAAAATAGCCTGCCCTTCGGTGGGCCCCCACTCAGAACTCATGCTGGTTTTAGCACATTTACTTCATTTAATAATTCATTGTTCTATTATATGGATATAATTCATTAATTACAAAAAATGTATACTATATACACTTAAATCAAACAATATGTATTATTAGACAGTACATTATGAGCCTACTAATATAACTCCATGTAACTAAAGATCCCTGACCAGATTTGTGAATCATCAAGTTAGGCTGTATTGCTGTATCTTAGAGTCCAAAAGTACCATCCAAAAAAGGGTAAATTAGAAAAAAAGGATCAAAAAATAAAAAAAGAGAAAAGTAAAAAAGTGAAAAAATACAAAAAGAGAAAAATAAGTATATACAGTCCCAGTGTGTACACACTACAATATATGGGTGGATCTCACCACATTCTCCAAGGATATGGGTCCTGTTTTCAGGCTGTATGTGTATTTTGATGTATAAGTCATGGTGCAATGGTAGCTAAAGTGGTCAGTCTAGTTTGAGGGAACCTGTCTTTTCTTTAGAGAACAAAAAAACTGCCCAGAGGTACTGCTGCTCTATGTATGAAGAATAAAAAAAAAAACCAAAAAAAAACCCATGTGTAAAGTGTTGTATGTTAATTAAATAAAATGTTTCTCCCATGCCCAAAGAAATAAAACAATCACAAGAACCATATTTTTACAGCATTTATTCATGTTTTGAGATTACAGATTCCTTATTGCTGATCTAATACAATCACTCATACGTTAAAAATTTAAAAGACCCTTTCGGAGAGTGTTCATCACTGCAATTCATACTGCAGCACAGGACGATAAATAAAGACCAAGTTTAACACCTCTGCTACCAGAAGAGGCCTGGAGTGAGCCATGCGTTGCCATCTTCACTGGCAGATCAGGCGCTTGTTATAAATATTCTATTAATCAATGCCCAAAAGTTCTATAGCATAATACAATTTTGCTGGTTTAATTTAAATAAAGTCCCATCATTTATTTTTTTATACGCAGAATATTTAAAATAAAGATTACGAAAAGGTTGAAGCATGGAGCAAAAAATTAAAATATTAAAAAACAAAAAACAAAAATAAAAAGCACACAAACAGGATGCAAGATCATTTCCAGTGGCATCCTGAGAAATTAATATTGAGAATTTATGCATATCACCCCATCAATTACAAGACTGAACACAATTTCAACCAGTCCGATTGCCTTACAATACAGATTAAACCCCTCTATTGAGGGGATTAAGTACTAGGTACTTGATTCTCAATAATCAAGGTATGGCTAGATCATTTGCTGACACGGGTCAGCAACAATACTATACAACTTCTCTTTAGGCATATGGTGATGAACACATGTACAAAACTACACATGTATATGCAAATGTTAATTATCCCCGCAAATAACTTGAGATCATAGTAATGCTGTCCCTAGTCTTAGCGCCAGAATATCCGAATAGCTGTGAGTATGCGGATCTGAGTGTATGCAGTGTATCTATACGTACAGTCTTTATATGGAACAAGGAAAGATCTGGCAGTGAAATGGCTACAGGACAGAATAAAATCACACAACGTACCAGCTATAATTGGGGAAATGGCTAAACCTATATTAAAAGGACACACCTTTGTTGGGAAAATAAAAACAGAGCAATTTTTAAAAAAAATTCATAAACTACAACCCAGTCAAGTACTGTCACTAACTTCACAACTTGGGATCATTCGTTAAATGGAATTGTGGAGAACTGACAAGGGAATTGTAATTTTAAACCGAAAGAGCCAAGCTGGGAAAAAAATACACTGGGAAATAGTTCCAATTTTACTAGTTTGGTCTACAATCTGTAATATCCATAGTAAAGTTCCATGAAGTGCATGAATTTAAGAGTTCGATTATCAAAACCTTAACAAGGAAAGCTCAATTTCTACAGGAAGAAAATAAAATATTAAACATCAAAATAAACAGAATCCAGAAAACCAGTCTGGGTAAAATTCAAAAAAAAGTGTTCCTTATATGGTGCATTTGCTTTAATATTTGGCAGATAGAGAGAATTCACAGCTTTTACTGGGAATGTCAGGAGTCCCTAAGGAGGGGAAATAAAGGATGGCTCAGTCACACTGTAGGTATAGACTGAAAGTTGTGTGGTGCAGCAGCAACAGGAAGATCGCAAATCGACCCCAGCTCCCCACAACTGTAGGTCTTTCTGGAATTGTACAGCTCATGTGGACATTTGTACGAGACGTCCACACCACACTGAGTAAAAAGGGTAGAAGATATGAGGTTATCTGCACAATGGGTTTCAATTTCAACCCTTTGAGTACCAAATGGGTATGCAGCCTGGTCCACATGTGGCACATAAAGGGTTAACAGCAGCAAGAGACTTATTTTATAAATCATATTTAACAGTACATTTTCAGTCACAAGCAAATCAACTAAGTGAACACAAATTCTAAACAAATTGGGTAACGGGCATAGGAATTTACATGGATTTAAATGAATCAAACAAGATTTCAGACTTTGCGCCGAGTGGTTTTAAAGCAACTAGACTTATTTCATATAAACACACTGCATAGCTCTATGCAGGCCTGTGTCACCGACCTTACTGAAAGACTGTTCGAGGAAAAGTTAAATGGGAGCAGTATTTTTACCATGAACAGAAGTAATCGCTTTAAAGGGGAAAGTCACTAAGACCATAAAGTGTGTATTTAGCCTGATTCTGATTTGCACTTCTCTAAATCAATATATACATAACTAGAAATAAAAAAATTAAATGAAAAACATTAAAATTAAATATGGAAAGGCCGATTCCACCTTCTAGAAGGTGTGGGATGATTTAAATGCTTGATATTTGTAATGGATTCAATACATTTTGTGCCAAATTGGTTTTAACAGATTAAAATGGTGTTTCAATGCCAGAGCCCTAACAAATCAGATATCCCTGTGTGAATGCAGAAACATCCGTCTGTGTGTGCTTCTGTGACAATATATAAAAATGTGTTCTCCTTGCTCACAGTTATTAACCAGGGCATGGTAAGTAGGCTACTTTATAAGGTACTGTAATGATCACTTGGATCTGTACCCGGACATGCCTGGGTCATAGTACTAATGGAACACAATGCTAAAGGGGGCTTGTGCTCTTTGCATTTGTGGAAACTAAGCAGGAGTATGCCTGGCCAGTAGGGCTGTGTAACGGAGGCTTGAAGCCAAAGCAGTCAATTGGTAAATAGTTGGGAGTTGAGATAAACAAATACTGAAACAATCATTTAAAAGTGGTTAAAGGTTGTTTTTTTTTGTGCCATTCAGTACAATATTTGCGAAAGATAAGTCCCCTTTCAGAGTCTGTTAGGGGTCCCTGAGGACTGGGATACCCAATTTAGGGTATTTGGAGTGGCACTGAATAGAAAATGCCACCTTTACTACCACGGAAGCCCGCAGTACAGGTGACACGAGTAGTTAAGACTAGTAAAATATAGCAAGTTTTTTTTAAAACTGAATGTTAAGCAGTTGATGATTAAATGGTTACTCATCATTACAAAAAGCTAGCAACATTGAGTGACTTAGTGTCCTAAGAAGTTTGAGAACCATTAGAGCAGCTTTACAGGGGGTGTGCTAATGCCAATGTATCATCATCCATTACTTGACATAAGGGGAAAAAGAAACTGCATATCACCATTAAAAACCACAGTAAAATAGATTTAGGTCACTTTACAGTTTTCATTAAGACATCCACACTCTGCAGACTTTGGAGAAAAAAAAATTAAAATAAAGATGCATGTTAATATAAAATAAATTCTGCTTTAAACCCAGGATTCATTCTAGTTAACATCTTCCCCCTCCCATTGGGTGCTGGGGTGAGCAGCGTTAAATTGCTAGAAGCCTGAAAGTACAGCATATGATTGAGAGCACATTTCTCCCACTTTGCACTCTGTGGCTGGGTCCTGTGCACGGACAACAGTTACATAATGCTAGGCATCTTCTTTTTAATAAATACCCTAATGCAATGTTTACTAATATGGCAGAAAGACCAGTTCCTGTGATAGGAAATGGTTGTAGAGTAGCTGTGAAAGGCATGTTATGTATGTATCCAGATTTCCCCATCTTCCTGAATCTCCCCTTTCATGATGGTCAGCACAACTCAATACCTGAAAGCAAAGAGAGATACGTTTTTATAATGCAAAATAGATATAAACAAAAGGTTTTGATGAAGGTATATATATAAAAAAAAAAAATATAGAAAAAAAAACCACAAACCAAAACACTAAGCAATAAAGATAAATGAAAGTATTGATTTGACGTGCACTTTGTATACTTGAAGAATTGTTACAGGCCACTACATGATCACGGTACAGGATGGGTGAATAGTCACTTGTTTGGTTTTGAGTTTTAAAACCCATCTCACTGTGGTATTCATATTACACAGATGGGCAATAATATTTCCTGGTACAATATTATGCACACAGAGTTATAGCAGGATGGAAGCTTGAGGAGGCATGGGAGGGAATGATCTTATGACCACAGAAGGATAAATTATGCAGTATTACTTTAGAAGTTACAAGAAGGCATAGTGAGGGTATCTGCTAAAATCGTAAAGTGCTCGCTGCTATTTTCTCTCACTTTACTGGTGGACATAGAGCTGTAAAAATAATGATTCCTACTATACAAAGTGCAGTCTCAAAATTTGGGTACTAAAAATCACAAGGGCACGCACCTGTAGTAATTTGGTTTGAAAGGCCCATTCTTGTTGAGTCCCAGGTATTTGGCCTGCTCATCTGAGAGCTCAGTTAGGTGGGCATCAAAGGTGGGCAGATGGAGGCTGGCAACATACTCATCTAAATGGAAAGGATTAGCACTGAATTAGCAAGACAATCACAGTTGTTAAATATGACCATCTATTTCTATTTCAAACATGATTTAAAAAAAAAAAATTTATAGCACAAAAGAGAAGTTTGCAACATTCCAACTACTAAGCAGAACACCAGGTTCACCTGCAGCGTACAATTCTCTGAAGACCAAGTGGTATAAATAAAGCAGAGCTAAAGACTACAAGATATGTAGAGGAGCCAAGTCACTTCCTTGTTTTGTGAAAGCTAATCGCAGATGACAATAGAGATTTATAGTCAATGCTATTACTATACAATGTGTATAAATTATGAGTATATCCATACAGTCTTTGCCAGGTCTTCTCTCTCAATATATTTAGATGTAGATTTTTACAATTTGTTTTTTAGAAAATGTCACTTTTTATCAGACTGAACAGTCATGTTGGGTCAGCTTATACGGTTATCTGACTAAATGTCACTCAACTTAGCTTGCCTGCTGCTCTGTGAAACTTAGACTTCTCTCTCTCTCAACATTTTAGGTTGTTTGTATTTCATGTACTTCTATATTTTCCTCTTGAAGTTCACTTTTCTGTCTATGGTGCTACACTGTACATATTCACTTATTGTAAACTACTCCCCGTTATAAAACAAAAAAAAGAAGAGGTGTCCACTTAAGAGTCAGCCAGTAGTGATGTTCACTTATCAAAATATGTGACAGTTTCCAAAGCAATGCTCACCCATTTTCTTAGGCAGCAGGTAGACATCTTGTTTGTATCTACCTTCAGGAGCATTGTAGAGTTCTATTAGAGCCAGTGCCTATGAGAATGGAGAAGCAAGTGTTAACATTACAAATAAAACATGCAGGCCTTATCTGCTTAGACATTCACCTAGGCACTCTAAACCAGGCCTGTCCAACCTGCGGCCCCCCATATGTTGCTGAACTACAACTCCCATGATTCTTTCAATTAAACAGATAGCCAGGGAATCATGGGAGTTGTAGTTCAGCAACATCTGGGGGCCGCAGGTTGGACAGCCCTGCTCTAAACTCTCTTGGCACCGAAACGAGGAGATATTAGGGTCCTAAATGCATGTGGTTTATTCACTAAACTCAAAATTAAAGTAAAATGAAAACTGAACTATAAAATTTAGACCAAAAGTTGCCAAGCTGTGCCAAGCTATGGCAGACTTTGTACATTTTTCCAAATCCGCATTTGCCTAAATTTTGTAATTCAGTTTAGAGTTCATTGTAAATTTTTTTTTTTTTTTTTTTTTTTAAATAAACCTCAAATGTTTTCCACCCAAGGGCAAAAACTACATTAGAAGGGTTGTTCGCTAAGCAGGAAAAGTTAAAGTCTTTAGCCAAATAGGTATGAACCATTTCTGTGTCATCATTAGCATAATATGAGTAAAATGGTACAAAAGATGAACAGAACAATACAGCAGATATGTACCTCCCGAAGAGACACCATTGGTTGGCATGGTGCATGTATCCAGTACTGTAGCACTATTAAAAAGCAAGGTTATTATGGGGACACATTTCTGATGACATTGGCTGAATTCTATTAAAAGAGATGAGCATATATCTGGTAACAGAGTAGAAATGTTCCCATATGTTTTTATTGGAAAAAACGGTTGGTCTACGACTGGTTAGGCTTATCTGTCATAATAGAATCTAATATCTGAGAATGTCATTCTATATTAAGTAGCAGCTGTGGGCCAAATGTTGTCCAGGTATTATCTTGTCTAGCTGTATCGTCCATAGGATGCATATTTTGAATATGCATTGTACTCTACCAAACATACAAGTCATGATTTATTTATCATGGCGACTCACCTGTGTAGTTGCGGTGATGGATAAGACAAATGTTGGCACGGTGGAGCAGCTTAAGTTGAGCAGTCGTCCCTTACAGAAAAGATATTTGAGTTATTCCAAGGATTCAAGTAGCTCACCATCCAAATAAATATTGCATAGAACTCAACTTTAGCCATATTAACCACAAAGTAATGTCTTGCCCCATAATATTTGCACTTTAGGGCTCACAACAAACTAAAAGCTGTCCAACAAATGCCCTTAAAGTTTTAGCATATATAAATAATGAAGGCAAACAATAACTTTGCAGATTTCTAAACGGTGACCACCATCAGTAGCTGGGTCAGATTAAAATTTCAGGAATCTAAAAGGCACAAACAATACACACGGCTTTCTGCCCATGTAGGAAGTGGAGCTTGCATGGATTAAAAAAAATAAAAATGTACACTAAACCACAGTGACTTCCAATGTTAAAGCTAAACAAGCTATCTGCCTAGAGTACCGTATCAGTACAGCGGCCCCTTAAACTGGATTAGGGTAAATGATTTCATACCTCTGCCAGCAGAACTATCCTTTTGCCATCTGGCCAGATCACATGATCCACTTGAGATCTCACACGTTCCCAAGTCAGCTCAGGGGTGCGCAAGCTAGCCTGGAATAAAGAGATATTATACCAACCATGAGCTCATTAAAAACAGCATGATGAATGACAAACTCTGTGACTTAGGAAAGTATTTCTTCTCTTCATATAAAAAAACAAACAAAAAAAAAAAAAACAGCATCTTTCCAGGTTAGACTTCCATGATACTTAGCCAAAAAGCTAAAACAATGACTAACATTTTGTCATAAGACTTCCTAATATTGGAGAATTATGAAATACAGGACAGAATAAACAGATCATTAAGCAGCGCCATCTTAAGGCATCTGTTGTATTTTGTCGATTAATACCCCCTGTCATAAATCTTAATAGCTGTATAATGGCAGATCATGAATACTTCTTTTCAAAAATACTTAGTAAAATTCCCCTCCAATATCCACCTCCACAAGTTCATTTCTCATTCTTACCACATCTATTTCTGTATTGGAATGCCCCATGTTGCACACAATGCAGCCATTCTTCATTCGGTCGAGATGTTCTCTAGTGACCACATTCTTGTTACCTGAGGGGAATTTAGCATATAAATGGTGACCTGAGAGAATTTTAAAGACTGCTTTATTTTCCAAGCCTTAGCAGGAATTGTTCAAGCTTTCCAGTAAAGCAAACATTGACATTACCTGATGCATGTATAGTGTATTCAATGCGTTTCTGTTTACTCTAAGTATTCTATCTAGCTATTACTATGTACAGACAGAACACATTTAAAGATAACCTTTAATTTATACTATAGATAAGTGGTTCCCAAGCCAGTCTTCATGGACCCCCAACAATGTATTTACCGGTTTTATTCCAAAGCAGATGCAGATAAACCCTGGACTGTTGATGAGTCTTGAGAACTGGTTTAAGTAACAATGCTATAAATAAATGCAGTGGAAAATCGGAACGGACAATCAATATAAAAAGAAAGCATCTTTTCACACATTGAGAGTTCCTAGTTTCCAGTGCATGTGGATTCTAAAAGGGACACTATAGTCACCAGAACAACTACAGCTTATTGAATTTGTTCTGGTGAGTATAATCATTACCTTCAGGCTTTTTGCTGTAAACACTGTCTTTTCAGAGAAAATGCAGTCTTTACATTACAGCCTAGTGATAACTTCACTGGCCACTCCTCAGATGGCTGTTAGAGATCCTTCCTGGGTCCTAGCTCCCTAAAATGCATCCAAACATTCAGTATCTCCTCCTTCTGCATGCAGACACTGAACTTTCCTCATAGAGATTCATTGATTCAACTCATCTCTATGAGGCTATGCTGATTGGCCAGGGCTGTGTTTGAATCATGCTGGCTCTGCCCCTGATCTGCCTCTTTGTCAGTCTCAGCCAATCCTATAGGGAAGCATTGTGATTGCATCAGGTTACCACTTCTGATGTCAGCAGACTGTTTGTTTTTGTGAGTCTAACAGCATGCAGAGTTACAGCTTCAGGCTTGAATACAGTAAGATTTTGCTATATTTATGGAATCGTGAGGGGCGCAGGGGGGCTAGATGGTGGTGTTAACACTATAGGGTCAGGAATACATGTTTGTGTTCCTGACCCTATAGTGATCCTTTAAGCAATCACGTGAGTATTCCCTACAATATGAACGAGTTTGGATGCTTCACTAAACAATGAGTTTTTAAGCCATCTATATATGCCACCTGAAAGTGGGGTTTTGGACATATATTCAAAAGATAAAGCATTAAAAATACAGAGAGAAGATGGAGTTATGGCAACCAAAGCGGCATGGCCACATTTTACATCTCTCTGCAATCTACCACTGGAATCTGGAGGGGCCACCCATTCTCAAGATTGAGATATAGTTCAGTTCCTAACCTAAAGATAAGGACACAGCACATGATTGGAATAAAGCAAAAGAGGCAAATGATACTAATATGAAATGCAGTATTGCATTTTAAAATGTCTTAAATGCTTTATGGAACACAGTATGAAAAAAGAAAAAAGCTTTCAAATATATTTACAAGACAAGCACAGATCAAGTATTTAGACTGCACAGAATAGGTCCTTAAGTAAACAGAATACATTTTAGTCATATAAATACTTTTCACTTAAAGGGACACTATAGTCTCAAGAAAAACTATAGATTATTGTAGTTGCTCTAGTGAGTATAGTTGGTCCCTGCAGCCATTTTGCTGTAAACACAGTCTTTTCAGAGAAAGGACAGTGCTGACATTGCTTCCTAGGTGAGCCTCCAGTGGCCGCCACTCAGATGGCTTCCTGGTGTGATGCACTGATTTAAGGCGCTCGTCCCCGAACCTCCTCCTTGATGATGTCGGCCAATCCAATGGCTTTTCTCATGTGAAAGCATTGGATTGGCTGAAATAATCAAATTTTATGATGTCAGCCAAGGAGGCGGATAGGTGGCAGGGGAGAGGAAAGTGCAGTGTGGCGCTGGAAAAAAAGGTAAGTTTCATTACCTTTTAAGGGGGGCAAGCCACCTAAAATGATGGCTTTAACACTTTAGGGTCAGGAATACATGTTTGTCTTCCTGACCCTATCACGTTCCTTTCATATGTAGGTTAAAGAGCCCCTAACGGATCTGTGGAGAATACAATCAATATAAAACATAGCTTTCGTTGTAGTGAACCAAACCTAAAAGAAATTCAAGCACTTATTTCAAATAAACAATTAATTGTTTTAGAGGAGATAACAGGATTTCGTCTGTCCTATGATATGACCCCCTCACCTGTGCAGGTAATGACAATATCCACTTGCCGAATAACTTCATTCAGTTTAACAAGTCTAAAGCCATCCATGCTGTAAGAAGCAGAAAAGGGTAAAGAAACCAGAGAAACAGACAGATACCTCACAATAACAATAACCATGCAACTATCTGAATATACAGGCTGGTTTGTATTTGACATTTAATTTGTTGGGAAACATTGTGTGCATACATGCAAGTTTACTTACCAAGCCTGCAGGGCACAGATGGGATCAATCTCTGTCACATACACAATTGAGCCCATAGCTTTTAGAGCTGCACAACATCCCTTGCCAACCTGTGGAAAAATATTGCATATTTAAAAAAGTTATTATACATATATATGTTCAAGTAGAGAATTTGATCTGAGTTTTTTTACGCACACACACACTAATATATATTTACACGCACACACCTCTCTGGAGATAGATATAGATAGATATAGACATATAATAGAGATATATATTTAAAAAAAAAAAAGGAAAGAATATAGAATTGACAGGCATACATTAATGTACATGACTCTCCCATCTTAAGAGAGAGCGCAAGAAAAAGTTGAATACACCTAGATTGTGAGTTCTAAAATAGCACACAACTCCTAGTTTATATGTTAGTCAACTTTTATTGACTCAGATGTATCCTTTGTCTTTTTACCAGGGGATCGATGCTCAGCACAACAAATTTAAAGGATGAAGGAGTTATTTTTGGAGAAAAAGTTGGTGATGCCATTTGTACATTTACAAATGATTACACATTTCCCAACAAACAATTGGTGGAGAAGAGTCTATCAAAAAATACTGGGCTAACATTGTCCAACACACAACCTATACAAATATATTGCACACTGAAACTAAGGTTTGAACAGTTTCTTATTGTGCGTATTCATGACCACCGTATGTAACTGCAGTTCTCTTGGTATTCAAACACGTACCTCTCCGTAACCACACACCACAACCTGCTTCCCACCAAACATCATATCTGTTGTCCGTTTCAGTCTAAATAACAAAATTGAAAAAAAAAAAAAAAAATTAAGGACTGCCTCGAGGGCAAACAAAGGTGTTTGTCTAAGAATATACAGGAATACCTCGTATGTAAAGGATTTAAATGAACACTATAGTCTAAAAGCAGTTTTAGTGTATAGATCATTCCCCTGCAATTTCACTGCTCAATTCACTGTCATTTAGGAGTTAAATCAGTTTGTTTCTGTTTATGCAGCCCTAGCCACACCTCCCCTGGCTATGATTAACAGAGCCTGCATGAAAAAAAACAAAACCTGGTTTCAAACAGATGTCATTTACCTTAAACAATTGTATCTCAATCTCTAAATTGAACTTTAATCACATACAGGAGGCTCTTGCAGGGTCTAGCAAGCTATTAACATAGTAGGGGATAAGAAAATCTTAATTAAACAGAACTTGCAATAAAGAAAGCCTAAATAGGGCTCTCTTTACAGGAAATGTTTATGGAAGGCTGTGCAAGTCACATGCAGGGAGGTGTGACTAGGGTTCATAAACAAAGGGATTTAACTCCTAAATGGCAGAGGATTGAGCAGTGAGGCTTCAGGGGCATGTTCTATATACCAAAACTGCTTCATTAAACTAAAGTTGTTCAGGTGACTATAGTGTCCTTTTAAATAAAGTACAATGTTTACTTTTCAACAAGTCTATAAAATGTCTTAGAAGTCTATTAAATAAGTGGAAGAAAGATGGAAAAATATTTTTTTCAGGACTTGCTAGCTTGTCAATCCAATAAACTAACATGGAAATTCTCAGAAAATAATCTCTAGTTAACCAATAACGTAACTCAAAACACATTAAACTTTTACAGCACTTTCACAGTTTGCCACTTGAACACTTTTTTTGTTACATAAATATGTAATTTTGCTGTTTCAATCTGAAAAAAATATATAATTTGATAGTGCACACATGGGAATTGATCTAATTTGTTTACATAAGGGGGGGGAAAGCTGACATGTACAATGCTTTTTAACACAGAATTTTTAGTATGTGCATTAATTTATATAATGATTTAAGGGCTACTAGCCTGTATTAGACTCTTTCAGTGCTAAGACAGGTATGGACATTATACTATTATCCTGTGGCGACTCGTGAAGTTTAAAGATGGAAGAAGCTAGACTCTACCCCCTGGAATGTGTTATTAACCAATGACTTGTTGTGCTCTTCCCACTTCACCCCATGGACTTAACCCTCTACACAAAGATCATGCTTTGGCTTTTGGGGGGGGAGAGAGAGAGAGAGTTGTGTAACTATGCACAGAGATGTTATGTAGTATGCTTTGTGTGGCCCCATTCTGTGAGCTAATGTGACCTTCCACTTCACAGCCAAGCTGCTGTTGCTTCTAATAATTTTCACTCCACAATATCAGCACTTACAGTTTACCAGAGCAGACCCAGCAGGGCATAAATGAGAAACTAACAGGATGCAAAGGTGGCATCCTGTGAGGTTCCAAAAACTGCCAGTGTTTGGAGTTAATACAATTTTGAAAAAAACAAGTGATTTCAGAAATCCTGGACTAGTTTTTATGTGAGGCCGATGTGATTTTTACAACCACAAAACTTTAATCCACTTAATTTGACGTTTTTATAAATTATAATTTAATATCAGTTTGGTATATTCTTTACATTTTTAATAATTTACATGAAAATCAAAACTATCGGTAACTTGTCCAACAAATTGGTATTAGAAAGAATAATATTATGTATGACACTACAGTGTAGGTCCATCAATTAAACTACCAATTGGCTTTTCTTTTCTGGATTCAAACGTTAAAGGAACACTGCCCCAATTTAAAAAAAAAAAAAAAAAAATCAATTTAATAAATATACCCTCAAAGAAAACATGCAAGTATATTTTTGGGTGGGTATGTGAAGAGGAAAAAAACAAAACAAAAAAACAGCTTGCAAAGGCTACAGACCTGCTGCTGGCTGTGACAGAGCTATCCTCTTTCTGCCACACCATCAGTCTGTTCTGGGAAATACACCAGAGGTTTCTTATTAGTAAGTCTCTGTGTTGAAGCCGCTCAATTGCACCTTTCCTATGCTTGTCAATGAGTACAGCTCATTAAACAGGGACGGCATGTGTGCTCTTGCTTAGCGCGCCTGCTGCTTACATAAACTTTGTGGAATCCAGCAAAAGCAGAAGAAAACCTTCATGGACCTATTTCTACCCCAAATCTAATCATGCCGATTTTTACACATTTATAAATGGTAACCATCATGACAGACTCCAGGCACATGAAGTATTTCAGCCAACTCCTTTAAAGTGGCTGCTTAGAGTCTTTACATCCTGCTTTTGGTGTGGTGGTCCCGGGTTGCAGTAGAATGTAGATATATACCTGAAGCTGTCCCCATGGACACCACCATCTTCTTTCTTCAGCTCCTGGTGCATGATCGCACATGCAAGAGTACAACATTAATGGCTATGGGGGAACCCATGAGATCAGTCTTGCAATCCACAAGAAGTAAGATACCCATAAAATGTTACAAGTGAAAGGACTTGGATAAAATTTAACGGTAGAAGTAACACCTTTTGTCAACTTCAGACTTAAAACACAAAGTAGGACCTATCTTCATTTAGGATTTATTTTCACAGTACTGTAATTTCAATGAAATTCAAAACACACATTGCACCGTTATGAAATACTCAATGTTTGGCCTAATAACAGTCATTTTAATATGTGCCACTACACATTTATATTTTAAACTAGTTTTAGTTCATCATTAAGGTAGAATTTTATTATTTTCTAATAAGGACCACTTATTGAATCTTGAAGTGACCACTCCAGGCACTTAAATATCTTGATAGGTGTTTTGTGTATGCTAAACTGGGTTATTTTAATTTGCTCACACTTTCTTCATCATCAGTCCCAACATGCAATACTTTACTTTTTGCTCTAAAAATACTGAACATGACAACACCACTTTGGCTTCTGTAGTTCAGCTGTTGGCTTTCAACATCAGAAAGTAGACATTTAAGGGTAAATCCCAAAAAGCAGTCCATAAACCGGTGTTTATGGGATATGCTCAGCAGTGAAACAAAAAGTTAAGTTACACAGCAGAAGCCTTCTTCATATGCGATAGTATCTATTATTTTTAATGTATCGCATTAGCCTTTTTAAAAACATTATCTATTTGATGCATTAAGAAACAGTGGGTCCATTCCAAACTGTCTACCTTTGGATGGAGCAGTCTTGAATTCTTCTCTATGCCATCCTCTTTTTGGTCTCTGGTGTCCACTCTAGACACCAAAGACTTAGCAACTATAAAGTGCAGCGCAAGTATATAATTAGTTACGATTGCTCTGTGCCCGCTGCACTCAGTGAACTTTAATTTCACTCTATGCATTTGGATCCATGAGAGACTAGCCAGGGTAACTTTCCTGATTTTTACAGCATCAGCAATAAAAAAAATAAAAAAAAAAACGGGCCAGTGACAAGCCGCACTAGCCTGCCCATTCCCAGTGTGATGTGATAACTCCTAATGCTGCTGAAGGCATGTGGATTGTCCACCTTTAAGTTGCAGAACTTACAAAACCTAATCATGATTATTATGTCATTTAAACAAATATCTCCTAAAAAAATGTCCAAGCGAAGGCTTTTTATCCCAATTATTTTGCACTGTTACGTGAAACTTAAATTACAAATTGACACTTTACCCATCCAGAATAGATTCCCGGCAGCAGTACAAGTTGTCAAATTTTTGCTTGGTGACAGAGTCATTGACATTCATTGCAGGGACACATAGCTTTCCGGCTTTTGATAATTGGTACAAACTGTTGGAAAAACAAGAGATTTTACTCAATTGTGTCACCAGTGTGGCATTTAAAGGGAAAAAGTCATAACAGTATGTTCTTCAGCGACCAGTGTGTAAAAGGTTAAAACAAGCTAGGCATTACACTTTGGTTATAGATGAAAGAAACAGGCATATTCTAGGATTTCACCAATATTTTTAAACACTGCCTCAACCATTCTTTCCTTTACAGTAGACTGAAAGTTGCCACTAGTATGTTTTTGATCCCCAGGATTTAATGGATACAGGCCATGTCAAACTGTGCACTCTTGATTGGATGCTTGGTACTTCCAATCATTTGTTTGTAGTCATAACTCTATGATGTATTAAATTACATGAAGGGTATATCCAATATTTATTTTAAATATATGTTTCAACTTGCTGTTTTCCTAAGTACTCAGACATAAATCATTTACAACTAGCAATCTCCAAATTAGCAATATTGCACTCTTTTATGGATACAAGATTTTAGCAATGCTAAACTGTATTCAAGAATCAGATTGTGATTTTTAAGGGACACTGCAGACCCTTAAAGCATGTCAGCTTGCTCAAGTGCCTTATGTATGAAGAGTGTGTCCTTTATTTCCATTTTACAAAAAGTGGACATTTTAATAGGAATTGGCACTTTTATAAATTAACCATGTGGATTGTGGATTTCTTTCGCCTAGTGATCAAAGTGAATTTGGTAGAAATTCCTTCTCTGATAAATATGCAAATTCTGTCATTTGTATGGCAATGGTATCTGTGAAGGGCAGAATTTAAACTATATGAGATGTCAACACTCATGAAAGTAACTGGATATCCCCTTGATCTGCCTTCACTAAATATCAGATTTGCAAATCTGGTGATTTTCACTAAACCCTGAGTGCATATTGTCCTTAATAAGTAACCTGTAAGTCTAGTGCAGCTTAAATTTACTGTGATATGAATGATCATCTCACAACTTACCGATGCACACCAGTTACACTTTCTTCAACAATGCCCTTTATTTTCTTAAACATGTTGGGATACTTCTTGTAAATCCAGTGTGTGAGATCCCCACCATCATCTAAGATCTAAAACATAAGATTGACGTTAAAACTTCAAGTAGCTAGAGGCCATGTAAAGCAAAGGAAAATGTTCCAAGGTCCCCCCTACATTAAACTAGATGGCTCCATGAAAACACTTGTACATTACTACTACTGCCCAGTTACATGTTTCTACTTAAATATTCTAAGCACCTGAACAACTATAGCTTAATGAGGCAGTTTGTGTGTAAAGATCATGTCCCTGCAGAGTCATTGCACTCTTCTCTACCATTTAGGTAATTTTAGGAGTTCAACACCTTTGTCTATGCAGCCCATGTCAAACATCCCTGTATGTAACTTGCACAGCCTTCCTACACACTTCCTGTAAAGTAAGGTCCAATGTTTACACTTCCTTTATTGCACAGTCTAATTTAGAATTTCTTATCTCCTGCTCTGCAAATAGCCACTTTAGTAACACTGCTCCTGGCTTTACACAGCCTCTATGAAAAAAATGGTTTCACCGCCAATCAGATATTACTGCTCAGTGAATTTACAGTAGACTTTCTTATCCCATGTTACGTTAATTGAACTTTAAATCACACATGAGGCTGCTGTAGACTCTAGCTCGCAATTAACAGAGCAGGAGATAAATTCTTAAACACACTGTGCAATTAGGGAAGGTAAAAATGAAGACTTTTTCAAGACGTGCGTAAGGAGACGGAGTCTCAGCAAAGGGAAGTGTGGCTAGGGCTGCATAAACAAAGTAATATAACTCCTCACCACTACTTTAAAGCAGCCCTGAAATATATGGGCAACCTAATAGTCATCTACGGATTGGGCTTCTCCCCGACTTCAGAGAAACTGCTATGTTTCACTGAGGGTTAATCCAGCCTCTATTGGCTGTCTCACTGACAGCCGCTAGAGGCGCTTCCGCGATTCTCACTGTGAAAATCAAAACTGAGTAATGCTTTGAATGTGTGCACGGCTCTTGCCACGCATGTGGATCTGACGTCGGCAGGGGGAGGAGAGGTCACCAGCGCCGAGGGAGCCCGTTGCTAGAGAAAGGCAAGTGGCTGAAGGAGGACCCTGATGGTGGGGGGGACATAATGACCCTATAGTGCCAGGAAAAGGAGCTATAGTGGTTCTTTTAAGCAAATATATAAAAAAAAAAGAAAAGAAAAACAATTAATTCCTCTTAGAAAGTTTTTCAAATCCCCAGACTTCAAAAAGCCTCTTTGGCAATTCATATTCTAATGATGAGCTAGACTTTTATCACCTCACCCCCCTGCCAATAAAGATTACAAGTACACAGTTTACATCAAACAACATTTGACATTCACACAACTTTCTTCTCCTCTAACCCAATATGTGCAGGGAAATGCAGTGAAGGTGTGTTTTTATTATTAACTATGCAGCACAAAATAAAATAAAGAATAAAAAAAAAAAAAAAAAAGTGTCATTATTAAGAGCAATCCATACTATAAAATGAAAAATTATACAGAAAATATAAGCCTGATATATTTCTATCGGTCATTGCATCTGGTAACAAGCATACATTTAAAAATATAAATAATAAATATGCAACAGTTATATATTATCTATATGATTTAGTGATGGAACAAAATTGGATGGAGCACAGGTGCAGCAATTTTTAGGTCCCTATTATTCTAATGTATCTTCTTCCAGCAACAATCTCATTCACTTTATAAGGCAATTTAAGTCCACTTTTGTAACAGTTTTACCTTCAGTAGATATTTGCATGACCAAACATGAAGTATGAAATAAATTAAATTTAGAATCCACACATGCCAATACTGACCAAACTTAAAGGGATACTATAGTCCCCAAAAACAACTTTAGCTTAACTAAGCCATTTTTGTGTATAGATCGTGCCCCTGCAGTCTCACTGCTCAATTCTCTGCCATTTAGAAGTTAAATCCCTTTGTTCATGCAGTTCTAGTCACACTTCTCTGCATATGACTTGCACAGTCTTCCTAAAAAGTTCCTGTAAAGTGAGATCTAATGTTTACACTTCCTTTATTGCACAGTGTTATATTTGGAATTTCTTATCTCCTGTTCTGTAAATAGCCTCCTAGACCCTGCAGCAGCCTCCTGTGTGTGATTAAAGTTCAATTTAGAGAGCAGTAGATAAAGACTTCTAAAGTAAGTTATCTGATTACAAGCGGTCAGTCACAGATGGGAGGGCTGCATGGACAGAAACAGAAATTATCTATACATCAAAATTGCTAGTTGTTTTTTTTGACTATGGTGTCCATTTAACATCACAACTATTGAGCACACATGCTTTGATCTACTTTCATAGTGTAGCAGTACGTCATCTAATTTTTGCACACAAGTATTGTCACCATTAACAACACTTGCCACACTTACCATATTAGGCTGCCAGCCTTCCACATTCACACAGCGGTCAATGCACCACCAGAAATCATCTTCTGACTCGCCCTTCCAAGAGAATACTGGGAATCCTTGGGGTTTAAAAAAGTGCAGATAAATGAATTGGTTCTGGGCACAACAGGTTCATTAATTACAATACAATTTTAATTAAAAAATGCACTAACACTAACATAACATATCTAAAACAGTACAATATAAATGCTAAAACATGGATATATATACACACACACATATACATATATATACATACATATACATATATATATATATATATATATATATATATATATATATATATATATATATATATATATATATATATATATATATATATATATATATATAATGTATTACATGCCTGTCTTAAAAGTGCATGTTTGTGTCAGATGAAATGAACATTCATGAATTATACAGGACATCAATGCAATGCCTCTAGACTGTAAGCTTGTTTGAGCAGGGCCCTCATCTACCGATTGTTCCTGTGTCACTGTGTAATTGTCTCATTTATTGTAAATTCCCCCCCTCCCCCTTTCATATTATTGTAAAGCGCTGCAGAATTAATTGGTGCTATATAAATACCAATAATAATAATTTATTTAATGTACTTACGCATCGCTGGAGTTGTATACGTTAATGTCATATGCAACTCCAGCGATGCAGAATACTCCATGACTCAAAGCTCTGGCTGCATAACTGTCACATTTAGAACTACCAGGACTGCCAGCAAGCGCTGTCATCTGATTCCTCAATAGGTAATGACCACAAGCACCCTATAGTAAGCAGAGTGCTTGGACAGTTTAGGGGAATATTAATTTCTTTACCAGCCTGTGTAGTCACAGCGTAACTCTACTTTAGGCAAATTACTAATTTGACAAAGCAAAGCTTTACCTATGAATACATCTCAAATTGTTACCATTTTACTGTTCAGACACTTTATAGCATCCGATATCACTAACACATAGACACTGCTCGCATAATAAGTAACATGATGAGCCCTGCCACCCTACAAAATAAATAAATAAAAAAAATGCATCTTTGAAAGTTACTGCTGAAAATCCACAGGCAAGCAGCAGCACAGAACCATTCCCAGACCAGAAAGGGCGCCTCTTTCTGTTCTATGGAGCAGGATGTTAAGCCATATACAACTGTCCATTCAGGGATTATAGGTTGTATTTCATCTTCAGCAGCAGTTCCATTCATCAGATGTGATTATAGGAACTACTGAATAAACAGATCGCAACAATGCAGCTGCTACCAGCCTACTGACAGGCTTGTTCTCAGTTTTGCTCATGCAGACAAAGATGCATTAGAAACCGAGCAAGACCCACATAGGATGGGCTCTTGTCAAAGCATGGAGAAGGATGCTGTCCAGGTATACAGGCACTTAAAGGGATTCTGCAGTGCCAGGAAAACAAACCCGTTTTCCAGGCACTAGAGGATACTGGAGCGCTCCCCTCCCTCACGTCGCTGAAGGGGTTAAAACCCCTTCGGACACTTACCTGTATCCAACGCCCATGTCCCTCGGCACTGAGTCAGGCTCTGCCTGCGAGCATTACACCTCTCCATAGGAAACCATTATTCAATACTTTCCTGTGGGGATTGTTGCGACGCTGGAGGACAGCCAAAAGTAGTATAAGAAGCTGGAAGTTCCTCTAGTGGCTGTCACTAAAAGGACTTAACCCTGCAAGGTAAATATTGCAGTTTCTAAAAACTGCAATAATAACACTTGCAGGGTTAAACTTGATGGGAGTTGGCACCCAGATCACTTCAATGAGCTGAAGTGGTCTGGGTGCCTACAGTGTCCCTTTTAACGTCTTGAAACCTGAAAGTACTTAACACCTTTGTGAACACTAGTGCAGTTGCTCTTTTATACTTTTGTGTCATTCTAAAATCTTGATTACATATACATGTGAGGTGTGTGTGTGTACGGGGTGTTATTGTCCTAGTTTTGTTTGAAATTATTCTGCTAAATACTGCTGATCTGTCTCACATGCTGTAAAAAAACAAAAACAAATTTTTATCTCCGCTCAGTACTCTTACACACATTACCTACCACTTTCTGCCAATGCAGCAGCTACTTCATTTAGAGTAGAGTAAATGTTGCACGCAGCCCATCTACACTGTGCTCCCAGGGCCCCCAAAGTTTCAATTAGAACCTGCAGAGGGAGTAAAAAACAAACCAAGGCATTGCTGTTAAAATGAGTTAACGAACCCCAAAGATATAACTTAGCACTATACATAGATCAATACATCCAAATATTACATAAAAGGGGATAAACCATGACAACAGCGCATTGTGCTTTTAGCCAGTACCAAATTGAAATCATCTTAAATTGACCAACATATTTAACTCATGGTGCTTATACTCTATATAATTACAGTTGGTTTGGAACATGGGGGAAGAAACAAAAAAAAAACCCCAACCAACTCCATCCCCATACACAAATATCAGATATATGCAAAGCTGACTATCTAACGTCCACATCCTCTTCAGACAATCAACACAAATCTTATCAATAGGTTACTATATCCAAATATATAATACTCACCGCGGTTTGTGCAGTTATGTGAGTACAACCCACAATTTTAGCACCAGACAGAGGTTTTTCTCCCTGTGCTCTCTTGCGTAGAGCCATCAATGCAGGCATCTCTGTTAGAAGATAAAGAAAACAAAATATAAAACGGTCACCATCCATCAAGTGGAAGACAAGTTTTGAATATTATGATTAGGGCACAAATGTTCAATGTTTTACCATAATTATTCTCGCACATCAATGACTCATTGATAGATTAGAAACCTGGGAAATGCAGATGTGTATTGACTTCCTATTACTTGCCTACTGTATCCCAAAGACTATCTGGCAGAGGTGTTTCCAAACAAGCTTGTATTAAAGGTTTTGGCTATTTGAGCAGACTTCTTCCATTCCTTACCATGTAGTGATTTTATAGAACTGCAACTGGAAAGAAAGTTGGAATTTCACAGTGTGCATATACAGGTATGTGCAGCTCCATCTAGTGTGCAGCTCCATCTAGTGTGCAGCTCCATCTAGTGTGCAGCTCCATCTAGTGTGCAGCTCCATCTAGTGTGCAGCTCCATCTAGTGTGCAGCTCCATCTAGTGTGCAGCTCCATCTAGTGTGCAGCTCCATCTAGTGTGCAGCTCCATCTAGTGTGCAGCTCCATCTAGTGTGCAGCTCCATCTAGTGCGCTGCTCTTGTATGGATTGTTGTGTTCTTTAGAATTCCTGGCATTTTAAATAAGCACTTTATTTTTACCTGTATTTTTTTATTTATTTATTTTGGGGCACATACACTACAATACTCACCTACAGTAAAAATTACATTACACACTTGAACTGGTTCTTCAGATCATTAAAGCAGTATCGTAAGTGTGAATACTACTTGTTTGAAAGCCACAGGTGATCACAGATTTAAGCAACGCTCTATTCTACAGTGGAAATAATGCTGCACTGTAGACATCTAGAGCTTATTGAAGACCAGCTTAAATGATCTAGTATGTACCAAACGTGTAACATGCAAATAATGCTCATGGCATATTCAAACTGGTAATCAAACACACTGTTTTATGTAATGAACTAGATAAAAAGACGTATTAAAAGAACACTCCTGTCCCCTAGCACTTCAGCTTGCTGAATTGCTTTAGAGGTTAGCCGAAAGAACCCTTTCGGCTGATTTCAAGAGAAATCGTCATTTTTATAAATTTTCTTAGTTGCACACTATGGGATTCCAATTAGGCAGCTTGTAGAGTTTTCTCTTTTACTTGCCTTGAACATTTATTCATAACAGAAGGTAATCCTTCTATTTGAGAAGCAACTGAAACCAAAGCTTCTGTATGAGAAGCATTTGATTAGCAAAGCATGCAGTTGCCATGCATGAGCCATATGTCCACAATGCACCTCTAGTGTAAATTTTTTTTTTTTATATGGCAGTTAATTTGTGGATACATTTTAGAAACATGGAAAGTGGACAAAATTGTTTTTCAATTATCAAGACTTTTTCTTTTATTCTGCAATCACATACGTTGCAGCAACCTTCATGCAATTACTTTGAGGAGAACATCCTTGATAACTGCATCATAGACGACTAGAGCGGACTACAGGTTCTCCTTATGTATTAATCTGTACACTTCTAATTGAAGCACACAATGCAAAAAAAAAAAAAAAAAAGTACAATTATTTTGTAGGGAGAATTCTCTTGACTTACTTTGACTTACCTGCACTCTGGTGAAAATCTTCTGAATGCATGAACGGATCAGGAGCTACCGAGTTCAAAGGATAGGAAAGGACAAACTACCACAGGCTGGGAATTCAGACTCACAATGTTTTGTTACAAGTAGAAGGGGTTACCTGTCAATCATGTGAAAGGCATTTGTCCTAGCCTCAATTACCTTGCTCAGCGATTTCAATCTCTCGTCGCCCAAACTCTGCTTGCTTTATGTTCTTGACACAAAAGTCACCGCTGCCCTTGGAGTTCTTCTGCTGCTTGTCTCGGGGTGAAGTCTCATCGTCGGAGCTGTCTGTATAGGAAGCAGCTAGTGAAAGAGGATATAATCAGCAAAGCCAAAATGGTTTTGCCTGTAATTATACTGCATTAGGCAGTGTAGATACCAACAGCCTTATAAAGGCAGTCAAGATACCCCTGAGGAAGCCATTTGTGACTTTGCATGCTTTAACACATGCAGGAAATTGTTATTCTTTGTAATATAATTAAGACTTACGTTTTTATGTGAATAACCATTTTTGTATCTCCCCGCCCCCCCCCCAACCCAACTGCAGTCTTGATTTGATAATTGATTGTTGATGTGACCCAAAGCATTGTGAGAAAAGTATTTTATAATGTACACAGGTATCCAGCCTGTCACTGTTTGCTACAGCATGCAAAGCAAGAATCAAGGTTCAGCAGGTCAGGTTATATAGTCTGCCAGCTGTGTGTTGCTGACAAAATTGCAAAATTTAATCTACGCACTGTACTTGCAATTGTCGGAGACTATACAGATTGAAACCTGGATCCAGACTCGGCTGCAAGTTACCTGTAAGTCTGGGTTTACACAAAAATCATAAGTCATACGATAATATAATTATTCTTAATACTTGTTTTCTAGACTTACAGTTTAGAGTGAGTTTACCCAATACCTTTTCAAGAGCTTAGTACAGACCAAACAAAACTTGGAAAACATACAAAAGACAAATTGGCCATGTTTTGCTTTAGAGATAAAGACGGGAATATTACACAGAACATAACAGTAAATACAAAGTAACAAATAAGACAGAAAATTTAAATTTGTTGGGACGTCTGTGCAGTGAGATGAGTGGACAAACAGGTGAACCTCTACCATAGCATACATACGGACACTGATGGTAGCCATGGTGGTCACCGTAAAGGCCCTTTGGTGTCAATTCTGAACAAAGTCAGATGATTATAAAATGCAAGTGACTCTTTGTCTTAAACAAATATTGAATGTTTACAAAATCCTTTTAAGTCTTTTTCCTCTTCAAAGGAAGGAGGGAGGATGAAGGTGGTGGTGGGGGTAGTACTTAACAGAAAATTAAGTTATCATAATTGAATTTGATTGCTGATACACTGAATACACAGTGTAATTGAAAGATGCATTGTACTTGCCAGCAGCACATTTTTGCAGAGGTTAGGTAATAGGGTTTATAGGCAGTGCAGAAATATTTCCCTGAAGGTCAGATCTCAGCAGGGCCTTAAAGAAAGCCCAGCCCAATCTGAAAATCCCTGTGAGACAGAAGACTGGTATTTTCTGGGCTGTATTCCCAAGTTGACTTAAAACCATAAAAATCTGTGCTTAATAACAAGGAATGACATTGACTGAATATCTGCATGAGAATGAAGGGAGAAATCAGCCAGTTACAGCTGGATTCTAGCAGGCACAAAAAAAGGCTGATCTTGTGACTTCAAATTGCTTTTAATGTTAGGAATTTGCCAAAACCTATTAAATTGAAAACCCTCATTATTGACATTTTTTTATTAAAGGACATAAGCATGCACCATTAATCTTCCAAATGAACCACCATCCGAGGACTACTGGATGTTCAAATATATCAACTAGGTCATAAACGTATTATCTATGCAATACTATTATAATACCTCAAGTTTATTACATTGTGTGAAATGTGGCAATGAACAGTAACTACTGAACAGTTTATTTTTATTTTATTTTAAGATAGGGATGCGAACAAAAAAATAATGCTTTTAAAGAAATATGCTTTTAACCTCCAATTTATGCTCAATTAGATGAGGTCCTGAATTCAAATAAAGAGGAGAATAGGGATGTATTCCTATTGCTATATTGTTCCTTTAAGGTGTTATTTGGACTTGTTGGAAGAGGCCTTTACTACTTCTCTATAACTAGGATATGTGCTTTAAGTAATGAATTCTACTAAGCATTTGAAGCTTAAAGGTTTACTAAGCACCATAAGCAGTACTATTCGGAAGTGGTTATGGTTAAAACATTATCAGTACTGTTGTAGGGTTTTTCTTTTTTGTCCAGCTATTTGAAAGTGGTTTGCTAAATGGTGACTCTGGCTGCCATCCAAAGTCTGCTTTCCTCTAGTCACATTGGTAATGCAGAATTTTCATTTCTACATTATCAACACCAATTCCATACACACGGACAACCTGAGTGTGTTTAGTAAATCAAATGTCATCACCACTCAAGCATGACAAAAACCACTTCAAAACACTTCCCTAGCCACCATCACCAGCATTTAGAACATGCAATCTATGCTTCCGTATTACAATGATCAATGTTATCCAACATGAATGGTGATGACCGAGTGTACTAGGTACACTACCCGTTTGCAAAAAACAAAACAACCCTAAACACAGGATGCATTCCAAAGCCTCACTGCACCATTCCATCAGACAAGAGTTGTACTGTGTGTGATTGGAGTGCCCCTTTAATATCCAGGCACACAACTTTCATTACAGGTTTAAAATATGTTGCAAAATGTGATCTCCTGTATATCTGGTTTTAAAGCACAAGATATGTCTTTCTTATGTAAAAACGTAGCTGAATTTCAAGCATGACTACAACTAAAGACATTTTGAATAAAAACAACAAGACATAATATCCCCATGCACTTCCCCAATTAAAAAAAAAAAAAAAAAAAAGCCTAATCAAACAGTACCTTAAGGAAAATTACAACAAACTTACCTAAATTAACTATGCACAGGCTCTGGCATATTGCATCTACCTGCTGTAGTGAAGGTTTACAGGAAGTAGAAGGTATACATTCACATACCTTGAATTATACGTTAGCAAGAAATGTGGCTACCATAATGTATATATTATGTCAATGACACATTTTTACCAAGTCTGCAGGGGTCTTTGACACGTGTATATATATTCTCCAAGCACACAATGTGATGATAATGAATATAAAGACACATATACCAAACTGCAGGGTGACGACATGTATGTAACTACACATCATAAGGAGACAGTGAATTAGTGATTGTTATATCCACTTACCTCTACTCTACTGCTTAAAAGGATGGATTACTCACCAGAACTGTAGCTATCAGTTGATGACTGGGAAATGGATCGGGACAGAGAACGACGTCCAATCTTAGTAGGGCGCTTGTTAAACTCCCTTTTCTGGTCGGCAAACTGGATCTGCTATGAGAAACAAAAAACGAATAAACAGAGGAAAACAGCATGGTCCGTACAAATTGTGAGGTTTTATTCCTGACCCTCTAGTGTTAAACCCGCCATTTAGGTGGCTTGCCCCTCCCCCATAAAAATATATATATATATAAAAAAAAAAAATACAACTCACCTTATTTCTAGTGCCGGTCCAGTCTGCGTGCGCTGGCTCCGCCCTCTTTGTGACATAATTGAAAAGGCCAATTTTTAGCCATCGGCACGGATCAATGCATCTCTATGAGGAAAATTTAGCGTCTCAATGCAGAGCGTGGGGACGCTGAACGGCAGGGCTGCCTACTGTGCAGCCCTGAGCCAGGAAGCCCCTCCAGTGGCCATCTAAGGAGTGGCCCCTAGGGGCAATGTAAACACTGCATTTTCTCGGAAAAGGCAGTGCTTACATGAATATGCCTGAAGGGAGCTATTATACTCACCAGAACAACTACATTAAGCTGTAGTTGTTCAGGTGACTATAGTGTTCCTTTAACATAGTTTCCATTTCATGTATTTGTCCACCTATTCTTTATACTGGGACTGTCTCAACAACTCTGCACAAAGATCATTAGATCACCAAACAATTAAAGGACCACTATAGGCACCCAGACTACTTCAGCTGAATGAAGTGGTCTGTGTTCCAGGTCCCTCTAGTTTTAACCCTGCAGCTGAAACCATAGCAGTTTCAGAGAAAATGCTCTGTTTCACTGAGGGTTAATCCAGCCTCTAGTGGCTGTCTCACTGACAGCCGCTAGAGGTGCTTCCGCAATTCTCACTGTGAAAATCACAGTGAGAAGATACTGGACATACATAGGAAAGCATTGAGTAATGCTTTCCTATGGGCTGTTTGAAGGCGCGCGCGGCTCTAGCCGCGCACGCGCAGTTGGATCTGATGTCGGCAGGGGGTGGAGAGTTCCCCAATACAGAGAGAGCCCGGTGCTGGAGAAAGGTAAGTGGCTGAAGGGATTTTAACCCCTCCAGCACAACAGGAGGGGGGCCATGAGGGTGGGGACCTAATGACCCTATAGTGCCAGTAAAACAAGTTTTTTTTTCCTGGCACTATAGTGCTCCTTTAACTAGCCAAATCAGAGGAAAACATTTATATTTAGCAAGCAGTTAAAACCCACTGAACAGTACACAAGAGAAGTCTTACCCAAGTAGTCAACTTACAGCCTATCAGAAACAGTCTACATACTGAATAGGATTGTGTTTTTTCCCCTTTAACTATACTGGATTCAAACACTAATATATTTTTGAGGTGATTTCTCCACCAAGTACAGGCTTAAAAATAAGCCTAAACATTCATTCTATTTACAATTTACATGCAGTTAAAGAACAAGATGAAAAGACAACATATTAAACCGTAATGTAATAAAATACTTGACTATAAGATTTCATAACATGTTTCAAACTCCAGAAAAACATCTCACAGGCTCCCCTACATTAATATTTTACAGTGTTATTCTGTCGGATCAAGGTCAGCAAACAAAAATACATAAAAATTGGAACGATTTAATATTTCTAGCCAAATTTGTCATTTTGTGTGAGATCTAAACTCTGCTCCTTCCTGTAACAGCAGTGAGTCAAATGTGCAAACATAATATGGTTAGAATTTGCAATAACGTACCATCCAGTAAGACAGTGCTCTACAGGTTCATGGTCAGTCGTGTCACAAATAAAATAAATCAGTATAGTAAACTTAAAGTTAGCGCTGTATATAGATTTTATGGAAGCTAGGGATGTTCAAACTTTGTACAAGAAGCCATTAAGTAGCAAGGCCAAGTGTAAAAGTTTATTTGATCTTTTGCAACGCTAGGTGTGAAGTTCTGAAACTATTAAAGTATATAATGTACTCCTATTGCTTCACACGCAAAAAAAAATAAAAAATTAGCAAGAAAAATGTCCCCGCTCTAGGCCTTCATCTTGGAGTACAGACATTTACTGCAACAATAAAATAAATCGAGGTGTAGTTATGGGGTTTGTTTGTAAGCGAAGGTAACAAGTGAGTAAGAGGATAACGTGGGGTTAGGAGACAAATAAGAACCACTTCGTTTTAAAATGATTGTATAAAACAAATACGTGATTTTAGTCTTGAAGCAACATGGGGCTCTAAGAAGTTTTTACACCAGTTAGCACTGCGTATGGGATATCACAATTATCCCAATACTGTATTTCAAGTATCAGAAAACAAAAAGTGTTCTTCAGAGACATACACAGGTCCTAAGGTTTATAAATAATGTTTTGTTTTTTTTAACCATAGGCCTGTGTGTGTCTCCGCACAACACTGCCATATGTAGTTATGTGTGTATATGTGTAATTAGCAACTGATGGATACTTCTCTATCAATATCTATATAGATCATTGGATATCCCTCATTTCAACGCTTTGTCAAACAAGAGATCTGTGCAAATATGATTTGGAAGAAACCCTCACACTCCCTGCCAAGTAAATTAAGAAGTGGTGATATTGTCCAAGGCTCCTTATTTATACACACATTCATACTCCGCCTGAAACATAAAACACAACGCACACGCCATCAGGTTATGAGGACAAAAGGTTGAGAGAGTTAGATTTGTCCCATCAAGATGGACCATGTTCTAAGATTCAACAACATAGGCACTGATCAAATTAAAGAATGGTAAAACATTAAGAGATCCTTCTTTCAAGAGCTATTCTCTAAGGATTACCAATGGCCCCCTTACCTGGCTGTTATTCTCCGAATTATCATTCACATTGTATTTCTTTTTGTTATTCAACATGTTGAGCGACAACCAGCTGTCAGACATCCTCAATAGCAAGGTACAGTCCAGCCACCCATTTATATACCTTGTACTGGTTGCAACCAGACTGCTAAGCAATGCCTTGGTTTGGTGATCACTGGCACACCCCCTAACCCCCCCTCATAAGTTAATGAGGCATTTAGAAATTTATTGGTGCATAGCTTGTTTTAATAGCCAATTACACTAACCTGCCCTGACCTTTAAACTGTTAACAGCGGTCTCCGACACAGCCTGAAGAACATATGCTTTTTTATGTAGGAAAAGGCAATGCTGAATTCAACTAGTCAATTAAAAGCCAGTTAATACAACCTTCTTTACAAAATACTTAAACTTCTCTCACCACATCCAATTGCATTCTTACTTCATTTAAAGGCCAATTTACCCAATGATTCCACTGCTAAGTGTTCATTAAAGTTAATATTTTCTAGTCACACAAATTTCGATGATTGGAATTTTATTCAGGCATGTTTCTTGTCTGGCACATAACAGATTTATCAAATGGGAAAACACATCTACCAACATTTTAAAAGGATAAATAGGCACACTTGAATTTTAGGGTTGTGACCAGGGTTGGGCTGTTTGGAGAAATATTTCCTAACTTACTAACAATTTTGTCACTTAAATTAAAGTGGCCAACAATGTATCTTATTTGTACAGATTGATTTATAAACACATTCATTACTGTGAGTTTTATTGCTGTGGAGCTCTGTTATACACTCAGACACACCAACAAAATGGAGCTCCTGGAAAAAAAAAAGGAACATTAGGACAGAAAATAGGGACTGTCTCTCCTAAATCAGGCACACTTAGAATGTATGAATACATATAAATGTGCTCCTCTATAAAATCGCACATTTTCATACAGGTAAAAATTTAAAGGCTTTATTGCCTTGGGGTACGGTTTTGTGGTAGAGTGTCCAAGATTGGGGAAAAAAAAGATTTAGAAATACTTAACCTTATATTAATCAAAAGTTTCACAAGTAGAAGTATACACTCCTGCATGGGGGTTAACCCCTTGATTTTAAATCAATACTTAAGCGAACAAAAGAAGGAGCTTATCAGGGTAGTTTGTCCCTAATTATCAGGAATCCTTGAAAAAGTGTGTATATGATAAAACTTAACGTTTATTAGTTACTGTAGAATAAATTGAAACGAAATATATTGAAACACCCAAATTATGAATTATTACCTTGTGTAAATAAATGTAAACAAACAACCATTACACAAATTGTTAAAAAGCTGAGAGCTAAATGCTCTAGATAAAATATCAAAAAAGGAATAAAGACCAGAGGAGTATTGTCCTTATCTGATCTACCTTAGCTATCTAGGATACTGGTATATCTAATGAGGCAGAAAGGGGAACGCTCTAATAAGTTGTTGGTTATAAAAGCCCAGTAATTAGTTAGCTGATTCACGTTATTTATTTCCCTATGTAAAGGGAATTTTAAAAATTTTACTTTGTCATGTTTCTGTGAAATAGTAAATGTTTCAACAGTTCTATTACTTACAAATGTTGATGTACATTGTTGCAAAGTGGACCTTTAAGTTCCTCCAGTGAGTATGTATTCAGTGCATGTTTTGTTGTGTGAGAGAAGGGATGAGGAGGATAGATTAGCGAAAGGAAAATATCTTTAATTCATATATTTGTCCCTGTCTCCTTCGCCCCTATAGTTTGATATTATAGTCAGGATTTTTAAAATAGGTTTTTCCCTATTTCATTATAAAACAAAAACCGGGAAGGACGGAAAATCCCTATGGCTTTAATTGCAGACCTTAGTGACTAGGAGTTCACTGGTTAACTCAAGATAGAATATGACTGACGAAATCGGCTTTGTGTTACTACGCTGATTCTTGTCTGGTTGTGGGAGTGTACTTATCCCAAAATGATTTGTCAGTTTGCAAAATGACAAAACATCTAGCTTTGATGTGGCATGAGCGTTGAATCCCTAAGTGTACCTTAGTCTGTGCATTTGTAAAGCTACTACCAGATTCTAAGTTTAATCTTTAGCTAGACTGTATTTTCTGCCAGAGTGACTTAAAGGACCACTATAGTGCCAGGAAAAGACTCGTTTTCCTGGCACTATAGTGCCCTGAGGGTGCCCCCACCCTCAGGGACCCCTTCCCGCCCGGCTCTGGAAAGGGGAAAAGGGGTAAAACTTACCCTTTTCCAGCGCTGGGCGGGGAGCTCTCCTCCCCGTCAGCTGAATGCGCACGCGCGGCAAGAGCTGCGCGCGCATTCAGCCGGTCGCATAGGAAAGCATTTACAATGCTTTCCTATGGACGCTTGCGTGCTCTCACGGTGATTTTCACAGTGAGAATCACGCAAGCGCCTCTAGCGGCTGTCAATGAGACAGCCGCTAGAGGCTTTGGAGGAAGGCTTAACCCATTCATAAAAATGGGTTAACCCTAGCTGGACCTGGCACCCAGACCACTTCATTAAGCTGAAGTGGTCTGGGTGCCTAGAGTGGTCCTTTAATGGTCTGAACGATTTCCTGACAGCTATTCACTTAGAGTCTAGTAGCTAGCTCGGCGTATTGTAAGAGCATACCTGAACCTAGCTTGGTTATTGCGTGGTAGCACTCTAACTTCTATAATTCAATAGTTTGGATTATTGACTGCATATTTTGCAGTAAGTATGAAGACCCCTTTTATAGAAGCGTGTAAACCCCTGACACACGTTTCGCCGTACAGCAGCTTTAAGCCTCACGGCTCATCAAAAGGGCACTTCTACTTAACCTGATATAAATAAAGAGTGCACACATATGCAGGCTGGTTATCAATAACAGTGTATCAGCCACACATTACATTGACAAGTAACATTTTTAGCTACCATTGCTTTCCATTCTTCTCTTCATGCCAACAACTACTGTACTGCTATTTACCCTCTTTTTCCTATTTGTCTTCCCTGCCACAACTGCCCCCATCCCTTTTCCTATGGTTGTCCCATCATATTTGTCAACAAATTTAATCTTGAATCCTTTCTAAATGACATCACGAACCTCCCATGGCACAGATTAAACATTACCCCAGATCAAGACTGTGCTGTTGAATCTTTCAGTCTGAACTCCTACCAAACACAAAGATAAAGCACGCGCTTACAGCAGCAGTAGCTTAGTATCCAACAGCTTAAAATACATAGTAAAAACAAAGAGAAAGTTACCTGCGCTCTTGCCTAAATCCCCATGTACATTTATACAAAATGGAGGCTCTTTAGTTTTATTCCAATGGCCATTTGAATTTAAGCTCACCTGCCAGCCCCAAAAGGTGAGAGTAAAAGGAGCACATATGTACTGGATCACAGCTGACCTCATCCAAATGTACCAGTTTGGGATTCTTTGTGGTCAAACTTCAAGTGTACTGGCTCTATGAATGATCACTGTGCATATATACAAGGGCGAAATATATGCACAAAACAAACAAAATTGGCCAAGGCCCAATATTTATGTGAAGATCTCAACAATAGCCTGTCAAACCCTGGAAACCTTTGGAAAGTCACAAATAAATTACAAACTCCCCCAATCCACCCCCAACCTCCACTGTCAAAGTGGATAACCAAACCCTACAACTTCCCTTAGATGTAGCAAATGCCTTTAACAATTATTTTGTCGGATGCTCCACTGATTTTATCTCTATAGTGTTCATGACCCTATAGTGTTCCTTTAAATCCTCTTTTTGTCCACCCTTCACTCCCTCCCATCCTAGCTTAGTGTGTGCATGCACTCTGAGCAGTGAAAACAGTCCAATCAATTCCTTCTCTATCATATGCATTTAACTGAACTGTAGGGGAAAGGAGTGATGCGGCATGATGTTCGGACGGAGTGAAAAGGTGCAAGGAGAGCTTTGTCTGGCGTTGGATTTAAGGTTAAATAAAAAAATAAATAAAAAAATAAATAAAAATAAAAAACATTTTATAAGAGATTATATATATTTAAAAACTGTCCCTGAATAAGGCTACTGGCTGCCCTGCTTTGAGCTCATCTGCAAAAATACTTTGTTTATGAGCAAGTTAAAACAAATATATTGGGGGGCGGGGCCTGACCGCCATGCTGTCCGGTCGCATGCTACAGGGGCTCCTGCTGATTCTAACCTAAAACGGAAGAAATAATGGCCTCACCACAGACAACTGGGAGAAGAAAACCACTAATGTGCACGGGAACTGGCGGGCGCCGCAGCGGACTCCGAGATCGGGAGTTTCGGGGACCATGTGGCACGAGACTTCGGGACCTGCGGCCTGCACGGGTGAACCGAGGGGCGGACGGCCGCCGCCCTGCCGGCAAACCTGATCACCGAGCCAAGACCCTGTGACGTGCCTCACAGGCCCCGCTCCCCCCCTTGGACCGGGGGGGTTATCCCGGTCTCCACTGGCGGGAGCCGACCCTCCACAAACTCCCCAGCGAAACACGAGGCGCTGGAACAAGTGAGCCCTGCCTGCAAGATGACGGCCTCAAAGCCCAACTACACTCTCCATCTCCGGGCAGCACTGCGACTGGAAGCATTCGCCCCCGACTCGGGACAACACTGGAGGGCACCCCCATCACACCTCACCCCAGGCTTGGATCTGGCCTCCACGACGGCCTTCCTGGGCCTTGAGCCCCTGAGGGCACTCCTCATACCAAAGCCCAACACCTGGACTCACCACACTTACCAGTCATCCCGTTACCGGCCAGCCATGGAACCGGAACCGTGGGCACAGATGGTCGGCTCATGTGGAGCCCGGGGCCGGCGGCGTGGTATATGCCAGATCCTCCCTCACTATCTCTCCACCCGGGTCGGAGGCGAGGAAACCACAGGCCCGGAAGACTCAGCATGCCTGACAGTCTATTGCCTCCGGCGGGTAGGACCCGTGGAACGTGAGGGACTACCGGCGGAACCCGAGCGGAGTTCACCAGCTTGGTTTTTCAATCTACATAAATATTGCTACGTTTACCCCCTTGTTAGCAGTTCCTAATACTTGCAAAGTGCAGGGTTATGTTTAACCTAGTTAGTGAAGTACAAATGTTTATTATTTAGAGCAAAGCCATACAGCTTGAAACTTAAGTACAACCCCCACTGTGATATACACGTCTAGCCTAGTCTTCACTATTTCTCACTGCTAGTGCATCATAGCCTACTGCTCTATTAACTACAAATCACAATGGGATGTGTTTGATATAAATTAGCTTCTCTGCCCACTATGTTGAAGCATGCTATTCCTATCACTTAAACATACCAATTGTGCAAGTACTTAAAGCATGTATCCAGTAAAAAGCGAAAACTGAATATAGTGCCTGCATATAGCCTTATCTATGTACCTATTTTATAAAAATGTGCATTGCCTAGCAAATACCCTACCTGATATCTATCTATGGTTTAAGCTTGTTAATATAATATAAAATGAGGTTGACAATCCTAGGAGAATTCTGTAATCTGTTACGATGACCCTAATCTGTACAACTCTTGCAAGTCTCCCTCTCTTTTTTCTGTACCACCATAATCACATGCCTCAAAAAAATAAAGAATTTAAAAAACCAAAACAAATATATTACAGACTCGCACACAAACCGCTAAAAAATGTAATTAAAAAAGGCTCTACGGAGTCTGTAAGTGACTTTTAAACATCAGAATTTAGTATTGTAAATGCAATCTGAATAATGTATTATATCTGCGTTAGTATTTTAACAATATGGAGGCACAGTAAGATTCCATTCAATTCCCTTTCTACCTTTTCTATCTCAGTTTGAGAGTTAAAAGTTTTACAGATTTGCAAGTAGTTACACAATCCCAGAGGAAACTTACAGAAATCTATAAAAGAGATAAATTGCAGCTGCCTGCCTTAATCTGTTTTACAGCAATCGATTTGGAATTTCTGATGAGTACAGCTTAGTTATTAATTTACAAAGGATACACTTCACTTTTGTATTAAAAACTAAAACAACTATTTTAACACATGCAACGAGGCAAATCATCTAATGTACACACATTTAGATATAGAAATTACCATTAAAGCAAGTTCTACTGAACCTGGCTGTTTGCAGTGTCCATTACAACACTCAGACATTTGGTGTGGTTTGAAAAGCTTCAAAGACAGGAACAAAATACATAGCAATTTGAAAATATCAATGGTTGTGTTTCAATAATGGTTTGAAAAAAGAAAAGCCGTTTAAGCAGGACATTACCATAAATCCTCAAATTTCAGACTGCATCAGAGCATGTGAATCATTGTATTGTGATTCTTAAAGGGACAGTCTACGTATCAAAACTGGTTCATTGTAACAAAGTCATTTGGGAGATTGATGCTGCCCCTGCAACTGACTAGACCAGGGGTAGGCAACCTTTTAGCAGCACTGTGCCTATATAGGATTGTGAAGTCCCGTAGCGGGCTGATCCTATTTTTTTTAAATTGAGTTGTGTATGCTGCCATGTTCTGCTTGTGTTATTTTTACTGTAATTGCTTTGTATTGTATTTGTGCGTATATGAGCTATTATATGGTATATGTTCGTTAGTAGTTTACGGTATCGTGTAGGATACATATGAATGTGGGCTGTGTATGGGGGCTGCTTGTGGAAATGTGTGTGTGGATGGATATGTCACATTGTATGTTTGGTAGTGTGTGGGGGCTGTTTGGGGTATTGCATGTGAGAGGCTGCATGTGGGGTTGTGTGAATGTATGTGGATTGTTAGTGGTGTTGCGTTTGTGGGGATTGTGTGTTGTGTGTTGGCTGTTCATATTATTTGTATGAGGGGAGGGTTGTTCTGCATTTCTTTGTATATCTAGCAGTGTGGGTGGATTCCCTGGGTTCCAGTGGGGACCAGGAGCTGTGATAGCTGTCGAGGGCTGCTCTACTACAGTGTGGATTCCCATTCACAAGTGCTGGGAGGAAGTGATCAGAGATCACTTCCTCTGTGTGCTGCAATGCATAAATTGAGGATTGTCCTTCACCACCTCTTCGTATTGGCAGATATCTGAAGTTTTACTGGAACTCCTGATAGGCCAGAGTGCATTTGGCTCTAGCAGCCTTGAGTGCCGTAGGTTGCCTACCCCCGGACTAGAATATATTTGATAACTGAATATATTAGGTTTCCAGTGTCCCCATGCAAAGCATACCAAAACCAGATCCTGTGGTAGTACAATATACTAGATTTAATGAAGCATTCAATTGGCAGGCTGAGATTGCCTGTGCAGATTGCCTGTGCACCCCCCACCCCCCTTTTGAATTGATGACTATATTGAAAAAGGATCAAGCTACAATATCCTAAAAAGAATAAGGAACACAAACAAAACATTTAGATTAAGTGTATAAATATACACAGACAGTTATAATTTTTATTTTTTTATTTTTTTAGAGTGACCAAAATATTTTGCATTACATAGCATGGTAGTCTATTCTTCAACAAGGAGAAAAAAAAATGAATAAAATTTAAAAACAAAATCAACAAAACACTTTTAGTCTGTTTCTGCTTGAAATGCTGTATATTCTTACTCCTACAACCACTTCAAATCACTGATGTGGTCATGGTGGTTGAGGTAACGCTTTAATCGAACTAGTACTGGTCAATGAAAATAAATAAAACCACCAACAGAACCCCAGCTCCCTGCCACCTTTTTGCAAGGTAGAAGGTAAAATAAAATGCATTCCACTCGTTTGCTAAGATTTTGAAGGTATAAAACCGTCCCAGAGAACATATTCGAGATGCCCGTCCCAGGTGCATGTAAAGTTTCACAAAAGCAGATTCTCTCTTCATTACGTGTGGTTTTTCATTGGATAAGCTGTGATTGCAAACAAAACGGATTTAAAGACTGGCAATCCAGTCACCAGTTTAAACCAGATGATACACTGAAAATAACTGTTAAGTCAGGTTTTAAAGGGACATTTCAGAAAGCCAAGGTGCAAGGCAGCAGTTGACAGAATAATGCAAAGCCAACTTTTTTTTTTTTTTGCACGACAGATGCATTTTCTTTGCAAATACAGCTTCACATTTAACATTTTATAATGGATCTCGATATGAAAAATACGTCTTGCACCCATATTCATGCATGCTTATTAATCCTTCTGTTTAAGTTAATGGAAAGTCAGGGAGATAAGCATTCACTCATAGGAGTCTTAATATATTTTAATGAATTACTTGTATACATTATAAAACTAGTGATAAATATATGCACGGGAGTGTTCATTTAAAATGATGTGAATAACAAGTCAATAGTTAGTATATGGTTTCATATCCTACTGATTAACGAAACACTCCAACCACCATAAACCACCCCTGTGAACTTTTATCCATTTTACTACACCTACAAAAATGTATGCTAGCAAGGCAGTCTTGAACAGAAGACATTTTTCATGGTGCTTTCATGTTGAGTGACAGAAAGTGCTTTTTTCTATTAATAGGGAACTGTAACTTAAATAAAATTTTCCTATACCTTGTTTTTTCCGTTTTCATGAGATGATCCATTTTCTTTTAAAATTTATCTTAAAGGAACACTATAGTGATACTAATTTCAAGATTACTAATAGGCCCCTGATACCCTTTTTCTGCCTTTAAAAAGGTGAGATTACTCGCCTTATCTCCTGCGCCGCATGGGTCTCCTCGCAGCTGGCCTTGCCCCCGCTCCACCTTCTTGGCTGAGATATTGTGCACGCCCAACAAAATGCCATGCTATAACATTCAGCATCTTCTCATACAGACACATTAAACCAGTGCATCTCTGTATGGGGAGCATGTAGAAGCTGAATGTCAGGGCTGCACACTGTGCAACACTGACCCAGGTAGCACCTCTAGGTAGTGATGTCGCGAACGGTTCGCCACGAACTCCGGTCAGCTGACACATCCCTGCCAATCTCCGGCAGACCCTCCCACCTCCTGGACAGCATCCATGTTGAAGGAAGCTTCAACATGGATGCTGTCCAGGAGGTGGGAGGGTCTGCCGGAGATTGGCAGGGATGTGTCAGCTGACCGGAGTTCGCAGCGAACCGTTCGCGGCAAGTTCGCGACATCACTACCTCTAGGGCTGTCTTGGTGACCACATTGCTCTCTAGGGACATCTTTAATGGGAAACACTGCCTTTTCTCTAAAAAGGCAGTATTTACATTAAAAAGGGTTCGGGGACATACTATACACACCAGAACCACATTAAGCTGCAGTTGTGCTAGTGACTACAGTGTCCCTAGCAAATTACATCATAAGCTTGTTCAGACAAGGCAAAACCAGGGCAGACAACTTCTACACGTCTCTGTATGCTTTTCTCTAGAGCTACTTTGGTACTCCAGGTGTTGTGTCCTACATCTCTGGTAATGATTTGCCAGCATGATGGCTATAAGGCATTATGGAAGATGTAGTCCACAATGTCTGGAGTACCTGAAGGTTGTCTACTTTGGCAAACCTTTGGCACTATTTGCGGAGGACTGCATTACCCCTGAAGCTTTGCCAGCATTAAAGACTGTAAGAGCATTATGAGAGATGAAGTCCACAATAGGTGGAGTGTCAAAGTGCCTGCTGGGTCTAGGCTGAATGTCAAGAGCAAAGGACAGAGTTTGTAACAACCAACTGGGTGAGAAGGAGGATACATATGTGGACATTTCTAATTTAAATCTATTTTCAGCAAACAGAAGGATTACAAATATTTCCAGATGATTCCCAATTTGGTTATATCCCTCGGCAATGTCTAAAGATACTAAATACTGTTATGTAGTACCCTAGTACAGGTATGTCAAAGAGTGTTAGAGAAGACAATTACACCACATTAAGTGATGTGGTGATTCTCAAGTAGCAATGTACACAGAGCTGCTGCCAGGTTGTGGAGATTTACTCAATGTAAGCCTTTTACTACAGCAGTGTGCAGAGTTTCAGGAAGTCTTTGCTTATGAAGAGGGAGTCCCCTTGGTGGTCTGCTGTTCCTTTAGTGCTCACAAGATGAGGAATCTCCCCAAATATCTAAATAAGAAGAGCCACACTTGTCCCTTTACATTGTCTGTCATTACTGGCAACAGGTCTGGTAGGTATTGTGCCCTCTGCCTAATACCTCTTAATGGCAAGGTATCATCCGCTCTGTGAAAACATTTCTAAATGCTGTCTTTAAAAAGTTGCATTTTGGCTCACAGGCCCAAGTTATTACACTTTTTGCCAACAAGCTCTCAGACTCACAGACTAACAGCCCCTGAATAACTAGAGATCACACTGTTATAGGAAAGCAAGAGCACCCACAATACTTTCTTCAACAACAGGACTAACCTTTAACAAGACTTTCAACTTAAGCCTCAAAACACATAGGACCTAACAGGAAAGTGGGTATTGATCAATAAGAACAGACTCTATAAAATGTTGCAGAAAGGTAAGGAAATGTAAACCCAAGAATAAAAGCATCCAAAAGAATTGCTTGCCCTAGCTATCATATGCAAATATACAAATTCCCCAGGTAAACATTCACACATTGGCCAACAGCATTCACATAACAATACTAATTTAAAAAAAAAAATGGAATCACACTGGAATTGTCAGAGATCCATTATAAGAGTATTTCTAAGACTCAAAGCAACATGAGCATCGGGTAAACTGATTGTCATACTTCAGGCCATGAAATGAGTTTTTGCCAATGATTGCATCCAAAATAGAACACAATAAGTATTTATTATGGAGGACATTGCACTTCTGATTATTCTATAACATTTTCATTAATTAGGAACTCTATCACTCAACAATAAGCGTTTTTAGGCAACAAGAACAAAAACTGTCAAAAGTATTTATAAAAATTTTTTTTTTTTTTTTGTTTTTTTTTAAAAGACGTGCTATCTGTATTCCAATTTGTTTTTGTTTTTTTACAACTGAAACGCCCCCCCCCAAAAACCCAAAACAGTATTGTGTAGAAAAGCATACCTGTATCCTGAACCCACTACAAACAGCAGTGTGCTTTTAAAAATAAAATGTGCAATCTGTACTATTATCAAGCTAAAGAACTGGATTAATTGCAGCCTTCACACAGTCTATGTAAACTGTGACAACATTGGCAGGAAGAGCATACTTGTGTAGGAGAATTGTTACAATTATTATAACTCAAGCCTATACTGTACTGTACCCTCTAGAAAGCCTTTACTCTGCTGGATTAGAATCCTGGAGCCTGAATGACTCATCTGATTCAAAATAAATGATCTGACACTAAACAAGGTTGAAGGAAATTATTGGGGTAACTACATATCTATTATTGGGTAAGATTACGAACGACTTGAATCATCTATTTTAGATGTGAGTTCAGTCTACTATAAAAGGAATGGGCATTGATCTCCATAGATACACCAAGAGAGCAATAAATATTGTATGCAAGGCTGATATCTGCCTATATAGTAATTCACCCTACCTCGGTTTAAGAAAATCGAATGAAAAAAAAAAAAAAGAATTTTAAAAATATTTTTTTTTTTTTAAAGTGAGAAAAATAAAATTAAAACGTAGAAATCCACATCTCTTTATCCTGCAACTCTGTAGTCTCATTTTGGCTCCCTTTCAGCCACTGTTAAAGGCTCTGTCCTTTGCAAAGGGCAGTCAGAATCAAGTGTACAAAAAATTTTCCCTCATCGTTTGCAACGTGTGCCTGGACTGAACTGGACGGTGGTGCCATTTGCTAAATATTTCATAATGCAAAGGAAAATTAAGCATCTCAGGAAAAAAAAAAAAAAAAGTTATAGACAATATTCAATGTTTTATTCACGGTTGTAATTTCCAGAAGTGACAGTTCTCTTTAACAATCTCCTAGACATACAGACCTCAAGGTAGATAAAAGCATATGGCTAAAGTATAAACTTTTAGCGTTTTCCCTAGTTTTTAAGCAATCTAAATATAATCCAGGACAAGCATGTGTTCAATGCCAGCCACCAAATAATTACCTTTCAGACACACACAATGTATCACCAGTTTACTATGATTGGAAACTCAGAATAACGGAGGAAATGTGATCCGGTCTGTAGGTGTACAAGTCATTAAAGGACCACTCTAGGCACCCAGACCACTTCAGCTTAATGAAGTGGTCTGGATGCCTGGTCCTTCTAGGGTTAACCCATTTTTTCATAAACATAGTTTCAGAGAAACTGCTATGTTTATGAATGGGTTAAGCCTTCCCCTATTTCCTCTAGCAGCTGTCTCATTGACAGCCGCTAGAGGCGCTTGCGTGCTTCTCACTGTGATTTTCACAGTGAGAGCACGCCAGCGTCCATAGGAAAACATTATGAATGCTTTCCTATGTGACCGGCTGAATGCGCGCGCAGCTCTTGCCGCGTGTGCGCATTCAGCCGACGGGGAGGAGAAGAGGAGGATCGGAGGAGGAGAGCTCTCAGCCCAGCGCTGGAAAAAGGTAAGTTTTCCCCTTTTCCCCTTCCAGAGCCGGGCGGGAGGGGATCCCTGAGGGTGGGGACACCCTCAGGGCACTATAGTGCCAGGAAAACGATTATGTTTTCCTGGCACTATAGTGGTCCTTTAATAACTGATCTAGTGTTGCTGCTGTAAATCACAAAACCCAATAAAAAAAAATAACTGGCAATAATTAAAAGAATTACTGGTAAATAAGGCAGAATTAGTCCTTATGAATGATCTCAACACTTGCCCCAGTTGACTAGGCCAGCAAACCTGTGTAGTCTACAAAAGGGCAGTGAATTTGTGCAGTCTCAAGCTATAGTTGAAGATTTAACTAAAATATGAGAAAACACAATTAAAATATACAATAGTAATTGTTGTGCACAAAAACTAACTTGTACACATGGGGGGAGGGGGCGTTACGTTTTAATACGATGGCCTTTTTAAAATAATCCTTACTGATCTAGATGTGTTAGTATCTCAAGCTGGCATCTAGGCACCAACATAGATTCTAAATTCTTCAAAATTGTACACCGCCAAATGCTTAAACGCTTGCCTTCTATTATACTGAGCCGACAGTCCTTATTAACTTCTGAAGACTATGTATAGTCATACCTGTCTGTACACTCTATATCTATGCCCTTTGTCTTTCACATTCCATTGCAAGTTCTCCAACTCTCCTAAGAACGCCTCCTAATCCACTTTACTCTGTTTTGATCTTAAGTACTTTTTTTCCACTGCTAAGGAACACTGGAAAAAAAGGTTTTGAATAGTTTGCATTTTTGCATCAGACCTTGCCGATAGAGGAAAACCGGTGCTAAATAAGTAAATAAAAGTAACAGTAATGACTGGGGCCATTATTTACCAAAGTGTGATTTGTAGGGGAACTGATGAAGTTGAAGTTCAGACAATGAATATACATATATATTTACATTACAAAGAATACAAAGCGCATTTTAAATGAGTTGAAATAATTTGCAGGCATTCGTAAAAACTTAAAAATAAACCCCAAAAAAACAAACCGCATTTGCTGCCGAACAATCCTTGCAGTTGCAACCAACAAAATGAACCTGCAGAATATCTAAATTTAAAGTAAAAGTGTCATGTAGCACACATGCTTCTCTGCCTACGTTTGATTGTTAATTGGCTCACCCATCGCTTAAAATATAAACATTACGCCTATCGTTCATAAACAAATTTTGTAGGTAAAGTATTATTAAGAAGAATCACCAGGCCACAAAACAAGATTATATAAAATCAATGAGCCACAAAATACTTGTTTGTAGATTTTGGTACAAACTGGTGCACCATGGTGGATGAGCTATATGCAAGCTGTAATTGGTATTAAGTGTTCTGACTCAGTATTGTATTCTCACATACACTAATGTATGCATCTCATCTGTAAGACAGTAGAAGGCTCTCTTCTTACCATCCAGTCTGGCATGTTGAAGGCAGTGGTGGTGTCTGGGGTGCTCTCCGTTCTCTCCATCTCTTCACCTGTTAATAAAAACGCTCTGCCTCAAGCCGGGAGAAGCTATTCAATAGAGCAGTGGAAGCTCTTTGTTCTGTGCAGTTCTGCCAAGTCCAGGGCCAGTCAAGGAGCTTATAATGGGATTCAGGCTCCCCCTGCTCTCAATCTGTGCACAAAAAAATGCACTATTCAAGTGCTTTCCAAGTCAGTGGCTCTAAGAGCTAATCTTTCAATTGCATATAGGACAGCAATTTAGGGAGATATGGAATCATGCAGGCTCCGCCTTGCATAAAATATTGTATCTTACATTTCCCCTTACTCTATTGGTAGTACGTGCCCTTTGTAATGTCAATATCTTAGAACAATGACTCATTGAAATCAGGCTACTTATGTCAGTAAAGTTTAATCACGGTCAAGATAGAACCTCTGAGCAGTCGTTTATATTGCTGCCCATCTGCCCCTCCCCCTGTTCCCAGGCTGATCTCCTTGAGAATACCTTTGATGTCGATCATAATCAAACAGGCCTAGTAAACCTTTCTAATGGCCTTGGTTATATGCCATGAGTGGCAAACCTCTGCTAGGATTGCAGAGCAGCACTAAATGCTTTAAGTTGAAATAACACTAGTAGAGCAGCACTGTACGCTTTCATTTTAAATCACAGTAACACAGCAGCACTGAATGTTAGGGGTTTCAATCACAATGTAACAGCAGCACTGGATGCTTTCAATTTAAATCACAGTAGAGTGAAACTATAAAACCACTAAATGCAGACAGCATGTACAGTAACTTATGCTCTTTGCACACATTACAGTACAAGGAGGCCCAATGCTCATCTCCCTGTATGCAGTAAGTAAAACTGCAGCAGTTTGCAAAAAAAAAAAAGAGAAAAAAATGGAGGCAAAACTAATTTAAAGTGACAGTCCAAGCAACACAAGTCATACTGCCCACTGTTGTGGTCGTGTGTTTAGAGTCATAGTAGGCTATGGGCGCAGTGCCCTGGTTTTGTCAGACCATTCAAGTGGCCTGACCAAGACAGGTGATAATCCAGACACTAGTGATCAGCCTGTCATTTGCTTATGCAGAATCTGCACTTGTGCAATAGCAAACGCATTCACATTAGTAATGGCAATGATGTGTTTCCCAACTTTGATCTTTCCATGACTATATGGAACCCCATTTGGAAAGGTTATATCATAGAAAAGGGAATCTATGACAATTCTAAAAAATGAGTAAATAACAGGACTTTGGAAAACTCAATACTGTAAAGTGTAATTGGAAGGTACTTTGACCATTTGTGCTAGCTTAACCGTTGATCACTATGTGCATCATATGCCAGGCTGTTCTGTCACAGCACCTCCTCTGCAGATTCCTGGAGCAGTACACCTAAATCATGGCCAAATAGTGGCATCCTTCCTTTAACATTGCTGCATAGTTACTATAATCCTCATTTATAACAAAGGCCATAAAGTAAATAGATTCAATTTACTAAATCTAGTTTAAAATATGAATGAAGAGTAATTTAGAAAATGTAGTTTATAAACTGGGAAACAAACTGTAGATGTATGCAGTCTTGGTATTGATTGCATATTTGCCTTTAAGATGGTTTAGAATCTGGCAAATAGTACCAGAACTATTAGCGTAAAATACACAGAACAAGCCAAATGCTATGCTGGGAATAGTTCCAGAGAACACTTATCAGGTACATGTATGAAGTGAACTGCCTTGGTGCACAGTGTCATTTTATACGGACTTTATTTCTGATGGAATTAATAGGATGTGCACATCACTCCCAGTGAGTAAAGTAGGCCCAGAAACCTCATCCACTTACTGGTCCTGATATAGGTTTGAGTTCTTACTGCCATCATCAGGCTGGTATCACCAACAAGGGCAATCTAGAACCAATGCCAGGCAAGTGAAGTCATCATGAGAAAAATAAATCCCAGATGATTGTTTCAAACTCTCATTGAGTTCACAGTGAAAATATGGTCCATAACATGTTTAAAACAATGAGCCAGTTGTTCCTGTATTAATTACTCTTTCAGAAAAAATGAAATACAAAATATCCCTTTACATAATGACAGAAAAATGTATTCTATAGCCCCAAATGCCCCAAAAGGATAGCCTCACCTTTTCATCAATTTCATATTTCTTCCGCTTATAAAGGTCTGAGTGAGGACTCAATCTTTTAAAAAACAATCCCAAAAAGATGATTTGCACAGATACATTGCAAACAGGCTTATGCACCAATAGCTATATGACTCAGTAACTGTATTCCACACAAGTTACAGATACATACAGCAGGAAACTGGCACCACCTAATGGGCATTTAACAGCATCTCAACACATGAGGAAAAGATAAAAAAAAGTATTAAACCGTAATAAGAAAAGTGGAGATGTTCTTTCCATGCATAAGGGATTCATAATAAATGAACTAAAGGGAAAATGACTAAAAGGTAGCTAGCTCATATGAGGTTTAGAAACTAGTGAAATGGTGGCTTTACATTATAGGATCAGGAATACACGTTTGTGTTCCTGACCCTATAGTGTTCCTTTAAGTTAAACCACTAGAACAGGAGTAGGCACCTACGGCACTAGTGCCATGCACGGCACTCAAGGTGTCTTTGCACGGCACTCAAGGCTGCTACAGCCAAACAGGCTCTGACCTATCAGGAGTCCCAGTAAAACTTCAGATATCTGCTAATACGAAAAGGTGGTGAAGGACAATCCTAAATTTATGCATTGCTGCACATAGAGGAAGTGATCTCAGATAACTATCACTTCCTCCAAGCACCTGTAAATAAGAATCCACACTGGAGTAGAGCAGCCCGCAGCTGCTGTTGCAGCTCCTGTCCTTGACCTGTACCTGGCCGGCCTGGTCCCTACTGGACCCCAGGGAAGCCACCCACACTGCTAAATATACACAGAAATGCACACCAACCCTCCCCTCATACAAATAATACGAACAGCCCACAAGCAAACATACACACAATCCCCACTAACGTAACCCGCTAACAATTCGCATACATGCGAATACCCCAAACAGCCCCCACACATACACACACTACCAAACACAAAATGTGACATATCCATTCACACACACAATTCCATAAGCAGCCCCCATCCACAGCCCACATTCATATGTATCATACACGATACCACAAACTACTAATGAACATATACAATATAATAGCTCATATACGCACAAATATAAAGATACAAAGCAATTACAGTGAAAATAAGCAGAAAACGGCAGCATACAGACCTCAATTAAAAAAAAAAAAAAAAAAATAGGACGGGCACGCTATAGGACATCACAATCCTATATCGTCACAGTGCTGCTAAAAGGTTGCCTACCCCTGCACTAGAAAGTCACTTGTTCAGGTACAAATGCAGTACAGTAGACTGACAAAGGCTATGTATGTGGGGAGAGATTACTTTTCCCTTACCTTACAGATCGCAGGTTAGGGTTCGAGTTGGACTTTACAGTTAGACTGATCCTAATTGGTACCAGACTGTACAGTCTACCAAAAGAATTGCCTGAAATTAATTAAAAGGGAGCTTGAATGCTAGTTGTTCAGATATAAAATTGCCTGTCAGTCTGAAACATATCACACTGTAGATATTCAGCTACAGGTAATGACAATTCACACTGACAAATGTAAAAAGTAGTTAGGGAAAGTGTGCCAAGCTGTAAACACTCTTGGGAGTAGCCCCTATGAATTAACAATTTTACCAAATATGTCTTTTGCTATATTTGACAGTTATATATAACTACTTTTGGATTTATGATTTAGCAATGAGGGTATTACAAGAAATTGGCAACACAAACACACTTTGCATGTTGTGTATCCAAAAAAACATGAAAGAATGGATAATAGAAGGTTTTCATTATTGCACTAAGGGGGTGTATAAGCAATATGAGCCACTGATCACCAAATTAGATTAGCAACGTAAAGATTTTTAGAGTTACTAATTCTGAGCAGACAACCTATTTAAAAACCACCTCATCCACATCACTTTACATGCTTATTCACTTGAAAACTGAATATAAAGCCCCTGTAGACAAATGCTCCATACTGTTCGGAGGTTAAAACCTCCATTCTTTTTATGTTTTTTTTTTTTAAATGTAAATATTTCAAAATAGCCACGTTAATCAAACGCTCTCACTATTTAGCTCCTAATTAATTTGTAAGTCTACGAATTTCGTATAGATGGCACTCTCAAGACCACCCATCTCGCCATCTGAGATACTAAAATTAAGTGACCAATTAAAGTAGTTCACCTTAAAGGGAGTACTCATGCATTCTCATTGCAAATCACTGGTTCTGAACTTTACATGCTTATTCACAACATTTTATTATTTGTTGTACATCAGATGTGTTTTAGTCTTGCACCATAAGGTAGATTCCTCAGAGGTTAGTTAGTTTATCTCCTTGCAATGTACATGCATATTCCCAAGAACTACCAGTATGTGAATATTATGGCTTTCCTTAGCTGACAAATCACATGAATCATTGAACCCCAAAAGAGTACTATGAGTCATCTATTTCATAGAGTTTCATTAGTTTTAGATGCCAAAATAACAGTATAAATATATATTTTTAGTATTCTAACAATTATACATCTGGGGACACTTGCGATTTATGGGTACATGGAGACACCATGCATTTACTCTGAAATAAAACCCACACGGTATGAAATGGAATATATCAATGCTTTCATATTAGGTTTAATCCTTGCCATTTAATATCCTTACCACAGCTGGCATTGTAAAAATGTGCAATAATTTGTATAAATGAAAACTATAGTGTTAGAAATACAAACCAGTATTCCTAACACAATAGTGCTGGAGTAGAAGTTTAGGTTCCTGCACCCCCTCAGAGTGGAGTTAAAAGGTGTTTAAACTTTCTTTTAGACAATGTTTTGTCTCTGAAAAGTCCGTGTTTACATTGAAAAGCCTGCAGGTACTTGCTATATAGACACCAGAACCACGACATTAAGTTGCAGTGGTCCTGGTGACTATAGTATCCCTTTAATGTGAGTGGCTTATGATATATGACAGATGACAAGTCATTTTGTTGCTAAACCTATCGTTGTCCTCTCCTTCAGCACTAGGAAGTTAAGCCGAGAGGTCTTCAGAGTAAATGTTTAGCTTTCTCAAAGAAGAGTACTGTATTAGAAATATATTGTATATGGGCACACAAAAAAGTTACCTCTGCCATATGGTAGGCCTTTTTAAATGCAATATCAATATTACAAGCAATATTTATCTAGGAAAGACCTTACATGCATTTGTATATTGAAGACACTCTTGCAATCAGATCTGCCTGCCAAGACAAATCTACAAACCAGACTTCGTTTACACAAGTGGCAAACAAAGATAAACAGAAGTCAAACACCATAGTGTCTGCTTGGATACACTAGAACAGACTGACCATAACTACAATGTCTGCTCTGGGAAATCTTTTACTGACATTTCCATCAAAGCAATACATCACGGTCTGAGATGAACATAATCTTACAAACCAATGATGGATAACTATGAAGCTGCAGATATACAGCATCATGTTGCAATCCACAACTAGGCTTGAGGCTATCTGTGAATCATGTATTATATATGAACACAAAAATTAATCCACACAATACCACTGATACTCCATATGACATCAAGAACTAAAATGGTGTAATATCAGTTAAGATATGTAAAAAATAAGCCATTTTATTCACCATAAATTTTTATTTATTTATTTTAGGGGGAAAACAAAACACACACTTCTAGATACTTATTAATGAAACTGGCATTGCCATAGTGGTAGAGTGGAGAGGGAAAAATAATTTTGAATTAATATTTTTTTCAGTTTCTTCTCACACACTGAAGTTTCTATAGTATTGCCACTTCTGACTTGAATAAACCCAAGCCACTAAAATGAACTCCAACATTATTTCTTCATTCGATGCACTGGTTTGATGGCAAGCAAGTCACTTGTAATACTCTTTATCAGCCAGTAGATGGAGAAAACTATTTCTAAATGTTATTTGACTTCTTAACTAAAGAAACCATACAATTGCACACGATGGGGGACCATGCGTGGGAATCATACGATGCCAAAGAAAATCACTGTAAAAGGGTATAAACAGCACTGGAGTCAAAATTTCCATTAGTTTCACAGGTCAGGAAAGTAATAAAATAAAGTCAGTTGAAAAGGTAACATATTTATGGATTAAAGGAGCCATATTGCAGTCATATGAATGATTACTTCATGCTAAATGCACACATTAATTGCATCATCACTTAATGCAAAACAACTTGAAATCAGTAATGAACATCTGCTTTACAGGAGGCATATTGGACTGAAGAAATTAAACATTCTTCTTTCCCAAGTGTCCTGTCGCTCAAAGGTTTACTCAGTGTTTTGAAGTGGTCATGGTGCTTGGAGTCTGTATGTGGAGTGTTTTATTAAGTAATGCTGCATATGATAGATATTTAATGCTTTGCTGCCTGAAGTATAACTAACTCTAGCAGCGTTATTAGCCAGCAGGCAACATATTTATTATTCATTTGCCAAGTGTGCTTAGCTGATGTTTTCAGCCAATGAATTACCGGTGGGACAGACATCCTGTTTCTGCAATGCTGGAGAAGCTATTTGCGTGATACCTGTAAGAGAAGAAGTGGCTCAGCTACCAGGGGGACCCAGGAACATAATCTTACAAACTGTAAATCAGTTTGCCCCGTTGCCGGGGAATGACAGCAGGATAGCGCTCAAATATAACCCCTACAGCTGGCTGTAGTAGTTATGATGCATGGAGTAACCCATACATAGGGGTATGAATTGGTTTTCAAGTGGCTTGCATTTGAAAATTGTAAATGTTGCATAAGGGGCATTTTAGTGTGTGGTAAGTCTGCTAAGTAACACACTGCTATACGAGTAATGGTTTTATGCCATACTATAAGAAAACTGTTACAGGTTAGTCTATGCACCAAAACTACTTCATCCTAATGAAGTGATATTTGGACACAGATTCTGTCCGCAGTCCTACAGTTCAAAACAATGACGTTTCTGAGAAACAGAGGCTTTCTCTTTGCAATCTTCACAACAGTAGTGGCTGTTCGACAAATGCCTAAAATAGATTCAGCAATTGAATCCATGTTAACTGTAGTCTGCAAGCAAAATATACACCCAACGTGTCCAGATATCCAATGTGAGTAGGCATTGTATTGTCAAATAAAGGCTTTATCCTCATCTATACTGTTTTCTACGTCAAGCATTTCACTGCAGAAGTCGTTATGCTTGGGGTTGGTTTAGGCTGCCAAGAAGACCCCATTGGGGTATTTGAATACAGGCAATTTTAAAAGGGTGTTTTTTTTAGTTCTAAACAAAACAAAGGAACGCAGCAAGAAAAAAAAAAAAAAGAAGTTAGTGATTATTTTTTTTTAAACAATAAGAAGCAGTGTCCAGTTTAAAGATTAATAATATATAATGACTGCATTAATGAATACATATAGTCAATATGTGGCTAGATACATACAGTACTAAATCAGACATTTTAATGTCAAATAGAGCTACAAAAGATGGGAAACAGATTCACCATCTGTTATCTAATTATTTCAGTTGAGCTGACTAGTTCTCAGAGATGCTTAATATCAGCCTACTCTGATATTTTAGCATGATATTGTGCCCCTTGTTTTACTGTATTAAGCATTTTACTGTGCCTAACCAAGTGAGAATCAACTATGTTAAGGGATTAGTGCAGCTAGATTATCAAAATATGGATGCATCAATAAAGATTATATGAGATTAAAGAATCAGCCTCTCAACCAATAGATCAGGCCCCGAAAAATAGAGCCATATGGGCATTTAGAATACTGTGGTTGTATGAGGCATACAACATTTTACAGAGAACACTGGAAGATGCTTTGTAAATCAACCAGAGTATGTAGGATGTAATTACAGTTGCTAATAAAAAAGCAAGTTGTTCAGTGGAAGATGCAGTTCCTTATTCTTCTGGAAAATGTATAGATGTTATACTAGAGAAATCCATCTAACTACATGCAGTATCTCCTGTCACTTATTCACAGACACTTCTCAAATGTGCCTTGAATTTTTTCATCTGCTTCAGAGAACATTTGTTCAGCAAGAACAGGCCAATATTAAAGCCCATATATCAGTTATAAAAAAATCTTGCATAAGTATAAAACTGGAAAACAGACTTACTTACCATCACTTACATATTACACAGGTAGCTAAGAATATTTCTAAGCATAATGCGTTTAAAAGTGCGGATTCAATGTGAATCTTTAAGAGGAGATGCTTATTGGTCAGGGCAGTGTTTGGCTCCACATCGGCACACCTACTTAATGATCTCAACCAATCCAATGATTTGCTAAGGGAGAGCATTGTGATTGGCTGAGATCATCACTTCTGATGATGTCAGCCAAGGAGGCAGATCATGGAAGAGCCAGTACCAGCAGATTGGAATAAAGGTAAGATTATACTATATTTAGGGGGGCAAGATGGGGCCAGACAATGTTTTCAACACTGTGGGGTCAGAAATACATGTGTGTTCCTGTCCCTATAATGTTACTTTAACGGCAACTCCTAGAAACACTTTTACCCTGCAATGCCTGAGAGATTACCAATTTTATAGAAAATGCAAGCGTCTGTCACTTGAGATTTTCACAAAAACAAAAACTATCCTTACAAATATCTATTTGTGCATGTTGAAATTTATTTGAAATTTCAGTGTAAGTGCACTTGCAGTGCAAGTCTTCTTCAGTCTTTGACAAAAGGTGGAGTTTTCACCACCATATTTCCCATTGGCTCTCTGTCAACGGCTGATGGGAACAGGCAGTCTCACAATGTCTATGGCAATTTACTGTGCACGTGTGATCATCTATGGAACAACATGCTGCCTCTTAAGATCCTCAAACAATGTTTTGTCCTTTCGTGCATGTGTAAGATTACAATAGCGAGGACAGCTACGGGCAAATGAGGTCAATACTCACCAGGAACCAAAGAAGTTTGACAGTAAGAAGATGATAGCTTAAGGTAGAAACATAGAATGTGACGGCAGATAAGAACCATTCGGCCCATCTAGTCTGCCCTTGATTGCGTCCCACTCAACCACACCGACATGTCATCTTGTGGTTTTTTGGCCAAAAAAACCAAAAACTAACAAATACCCCAAAAGTGATAGTACAGCACGAAATGAGCTGGCTTGGTGGCGGTATATTATAAGAAACCAAAGAATGGTTATGTACAGGAAAAACAGATAGAGGGCTAACTTACGGGTGAGCATATGCTATAAAAGTCATCACAGAGCAACTGCCATCAGCTGGACCAACATTTCCACCACATTTTAATGAATGAAACCTACTCTGCATGTTTAACTGTGTAAACTATGAACCTCTGCTTGGCAAGGGTTTATTAGTACTGAATACGCTACTTTGTTAGGGTTCTTTACAAAGGATCTCATTCCAATTAGAGGAAAAGCAGTTCAGTGGGAAAATACACTATGATGCAGGGTGAAAACCATATCATTTAATGTGTTTTAAGGAGAAGTGCTATGTTAGCTATGCACAGTTACTTTACAAGTTAATATATTTAACAAAGATATTCATAGTAAGCAGACTAAATTAGTGATTGATGAATTAAATGTTTGTAAACTACTAATTTGAAACTAAATTTCCAATTATATTCAGCATGTGATTATGCAGTCTATGAGGAAGGGTTGCTATACCTGGATCAGATGTGACAATTGCTGCTGTGTCCTGGTTAAGATCTTTCCTGTAACTCTACAGAGCTATACAGGTACCAAAAGCCAGGAAGTCATGCTACTTTAAGAGGCCCTCAAGACACATTCTGCTCTTCCACCATCAAATATTAAGGCCACTACTTTTATATTGTAGAACAACTAAACTAGGAGGGGGTTGTAAGATAGTTATGTACCAATATTTTCTTCTGCATAGTAAAGCTTCTTACAAGTGTTTTTTTTTTTTTTTTTTGCTTTGTTTTAAGCCTTTTCCTGGATTGACTCTTTAAAAACAGTGTTGTATTGTGAACTTCTATTTGTCCACTAGTGTAAGCGGTTAATTGGAAATAAAAATGAAATGAGAAAAAAAAGTGTCTTCTGTAATTACATGTTCTGGTTTATTATTCTTTAATCCTCACTGGAGTCTATGTAACGCAGTTGCTCTGCGCTAAGCACATCTGTTGCCAGGAGAACTAATAAATTGCTCTAAACAAAAAGAGGCTTTGTACTAGTGTAATAAAAGAGAGGAAAGGGTGACTATGGAGCATTAGCCTGGTTGTGGAGAATGAGGTAAGATTAGCAAAAAAAAAAAAAAATTTAAAAATCTTCCGCCTTTAAAACATTAGATAGGCCGATATAGTCTTCCCTTCTCATCTGAGCAGATGTGTGCTTACAGTTACAAAACACTCCAGATAGCTCAAACCATCTAGTATGCCAAGGAATGCTTAATGGTGTGGTTGACCAAAGCATTGCTAAAGGAATCTGTGCTTTAGTTCACTGGTTAAAGTGGACCTGTCAAGAAGGTTCAGTGTCTCTGTGTTGGGGGTGGAGACATTGAATACCAGTGGTGTACATCACAGCCCCAGGAAGCACCTCTAGTAGCCATCTGAGGAGTGGCCACTGGAGGGGTCCCTAGGTTGTAATGTTAACACTGCATTTCCTCTGATAAGAAAGTGTTTACAGCCAAAAGCCTGCATGGACTGACTATACTCACCAGAAAAACTACATTAAGCTGTAGTTGTGCTGTGACAAAAGTGTCCCTTCAATGTATACACAAATGACTCTTCTTGTCACTACTCAACTACATCTCTTATAAAACCATGCTTGGTAGGACTTTATATAATGCATGTACGGACCTTCTTTTGAAAATCGCAGCACCAAGATTGGCTGAAAAAGTTCAGCCACACCTTGGTCAATCCAAAGGATGCAGATTTAATTTTGTTTGCATTCCTTCATGCATTATGTTTCAATCATGACGCACTAAGAAGTAAAATTATGTGTGGGAGGGAAGGTAGTAATAGAACGCTAAACTTAAAATGCAATTTACCTTACAATCAGTCTTAAATAACATTAGCAATGCAGGTGAATAATTATTGAAGAAACATTCATTGCCTGGTTGGGAACTTGGCATTTCACCTTGGCAGTATTGATGGATTGCGCGGGCACCCTCAAGTTTTAGTCAAAGCACATAATGTTATCTAGGTGTTAAGGTCAGAACATTGCTATGTCAAGAGTTGTATCCCCATTAATAACTGTGCTAACAATATATGGGCAGGTTTATGGCTGCTGATAAGTTTCAAGAAATTCTAGGAAGATTTCAATTGCAAACTAAAGGTTCACGGTCAAGGTCTGAAAAAGGCTTTGTATTAGTGTCACGAGTTGCAGTGTGAAGTTACTACCACTTTTAATTAGTACAGCAAGGCCCAACCAAGCTATCTTGCTACACAAATAAAGTAAGTCACAACTCAAACCTATGATCCTACAGCCACAAAATAGTGCATGGCAATGATAAAATATTATATATATTTTAGATTAAAGGGACTCTATAGTAACCAAAACAACTTTACCTTAATTAAGCATTTTGGTGTATGCCCCTGCAGCCTCACTGCTCAATTCTCTGCCATTTAGGAGTTAAATCACTTTGCTTATGCAGCCCAAGGCACATCTCCCTGCATGTGACTTGCACACCCTTTCTAAACACTTCCTGTAATGAGTCATCTAATGTTTACACTTCCTTTATTGTCAAGTCTGTTTGATTTAGAATTAATCTCCTGCTCTGCAAATAGCTTGCTAGACCCTGCATGAGTCTTCTGTATGTAAGTAAAACTCAAATTATAGAGCAGGAGATAAAAAGCTTTTAAAGTAAGTTACATCTGACTGAAAATGAAACCATTTTGTTTTCACGCAGGCTGTGTCAGTCACAGTCGAGGAGGTGTGGCTAGGGCTGCATAAACAAACAAAAATGTATTAACTAGGGATCGACCCAGATACTCTGAACTGTCAGGCCAGTAGCCAATAACTTACCGATATATTTTGTACATTTACCATTTTGAAAAAAATAAAATATTTCTAAAGGTAAATGCACAAAATATACAGGCCACATGTAGTGAATGCAGAGTGTTTAGACAGGGGAGCTGTGTGTGTTTGTGTAGTGGATGCAGTGTGTATTTGTGTAGTGTGTATATAATGAATGCAGAGTGTGTGTAGTGTGTATAGTGAATGCAGCTCCCCTGTGTAACTCTCGCGGACAGCGTGCTGCGCGGAGTGTTGCCATTATAACTGCGGGACTCGCGAGATTTACACAGGGGAGCTGAAGGGAAGGTCAGTAAGCGCTTGCTGGCCCCCCCCAGGACTGCGGGGTTTGTAATGGGCCCAGTGGTCCTGGTATGCAATATCGGTATCTTTATTGGCCGATACCGATATTGCAGAAAATACCGAATATCGGCCAGACCGATAATCGGTCGATTACTAGTTTTAACAGGTAATTATTTGAGCAGTAAAACTTGAGAAGCTCTCGTTCAGCTGAACGCTGCTGGAGAAAGTCCTGCACCATTCCAGACTTTTTCAGATATAAATTCAGTGTTCATACAACACAACCCTTACCCATGGTAAACAATCATACTTTTCTGCTCTCCTTAATTCATGATCACGTAATTCCAGGCATCTCTTTGATACCTTCAACTCTCTCCTTCGCCCTGGTGAAGCCACCCCCCAAACTAACCTCAGTCGATAGCTTTGTCTGCTACTTTACAGACGAGATTAAACCGTTAAGGAAATAATTCTCCCCCTTTGCTGCTCTCTCTCTCTCTCTCTCTCTCCCTCTTCACCACACCTGTACCGTACCATCCCAACCCGTACCACCCCAACCCGTACCATCCAGAACAGAGGTAGCTTGTCCGCTTGATTGCAACAATGCTTTTCTATGGGGGTTTTACTGATGCAGATGACGTCTAGCGTCAGTTAGGCAACCAAAAGTCACATAACAAGCAGGAAGTTCCTCTAGGGGCTGTCAATCTTAGTCCTGCAATGTAATTATTACATGATGAGGCCATTGCAATATCAGTCAATGAAAACCTTACTTAGTACTGTTGGGGAGGGGGGGAGGTACTTTCAGTGTCTTACTAACAAGAACATTAGGTTAACAAATTTAAACCTCTTTAGTTTAGAAAAACGTTGTCTCAGAGAGGATATGATAACATTATACAAATATATCCGGGGCCCAATACAAACCATTGTGTGGAAATCTATTTACAAACAGAACTTTACATAGGACACAAGGTCATGCGTTTAGACTGGAAGAAAGAAGATTTAGTCTAAAGCAAAGGAAAGGTTTATCATAAGAACAATAAGGATATTGCAAGTGCTTCACACTGGATTGTTGCATCACTAGCAAAAAAACATTTGAGGAAGGCTGAACTTGATGGATACGTCTCTTTTCAGCCTATTTAACTACGTAATTATACTTTCACCGTTGCTTCTTTAATAGCAAACGTTAAGATGAGATTGCCACCAGAGGAGGTATAAAAATCGCTGTATATCTTCACAGATATACATTGCTTGAGCAGCTGATTAGACAAGATGCAGATAGTGACAGCATCAGGGATTGTTCCAACTGAGCAGAGGTAGTAAGGAAGTGAAAGGCTTTGCTTAAAACAGATTTGCAGGTAAATAGCAAAGTTTAAATAAGGAATTGTGTTGGCACAGTGGATCCTGCTTTACACTGAAGGGGAACTTGTTAAAGCAACACTATAGTCACCTAAATAAAGCAGTTTTAGTGTATAGATCATTCCCCTGCAATTTCACTGCTCAACTCACTGTCATTTAGGAGTTAAATCACTTTGTTTCTGTTTATGCAGCCCTAGCCACACCTCCCCTGGCTATGATTGACAGAGCCTGCGTGAAAAAAAAACTGGTTTCACTTTCAGACAGATGTAATTTACCTTAAATAATTATATCTCAATCTCTAAATTGAACCTTAATCACATACAAGAGGCTCTTGCAGGGTCTACCAAGCTATTAACATAGCAGGGGATAAGAAAATCTTAATTAAACAGAACTTGCAATAAAGAAAGCCTAAATAGGGCTCTCTTTACAGGAAGTGTTTATGGAAGGCTGTGAAAGTCACATGCAGGGAGGTGTGACTAGGGTTCATAAACAAGGGGATTTAACTCCTAAATGGAAGAGGATTGAGCAGTGAGGCTGCAGGGGCATGTTCTATACAACAAAACTGCTTCATTAAGCTAAAGTTGTTCAGGTGACTATAGTGTCCCTTTAAGGGGAAAAATTGCATGCATCTTTAAAGGAACACTCCAAGCAGCATAACCAGTACAGCACACTTATTGGAGCATGACTGACTACAAGGTTATCCATGGTGGCAGCTGCCAAGGGCCCAGGGGTTAAATTAGGGGCCCCTGAACAATGTATATTCTTGGCCCCATTAACTATACCTATTGAAAAACTGAAGGGGTCCCTTTAAGGGGAAAAATTGCATGCATCTTTAAAGGAACACTCCAAGCAGCATAACCAGTACAGCACACTTATTGGAGCATGACTGACTACAAGGTTATCCATGGTGGCAGCTGCCAAGGGCCCAGGGGTTAAATTAGGGGCCCCTGAACAATGTATATTCTTGGCCCCATTAACTATACCTATTGAAAAATGAAGGGGGGGGGGTGGAGGGGAGGGGTTGAAGAGGGGACACAAACTGATAACCTGACATGGGCCCCCATGGGCTCACAAACCTTCGTTGGTAGTTACTTGGGTATGCCAGGCACCTCTCTGAACGCCCACTACATCAGCCAGAGAGCAGGAAGCACTCTGGACAAAGCCCGGAGTTTCAGGGCTTGGGTCATTGGATGACAGAACAGCTGGCGCTCTTAGCCAATGAGCTTGATAAGCACTGCAAGGCTTAGCTCAGGAGAGCTAACAATCTCAAAAGCAGTAGTTTCTGGCTCTGTGGCTGAGGAAGTGGAGGCAGAAAGCAGCACCTGGTGCTAAGTGTTCCTTTAGGGTAGATATTGTTATATAATCAAATATGTCTGAATCTGCTTCTTTAAAAAGGAACACACCAGACACCTAAAACACTTAAGCTTGCTTTCTGTACACTTACCATTCAGAACTTAACCCATGTCACAATTCATAAAAGTGCCAATTTTAAGAGAAATGGATTAAATGCTTTCAATGCATTCCTAACGCTATAGTAGCCCTCTGCCCCCACACCCCGCCCTTGAATCAATGCTTTCCTATGTTGACTTGGAAGACGGTGGACGTCCTCATGCAAAGCGTGATGACATCAAACAGCGCTTCACTGCAGGAAGCGTCTCTAGCAGCTGTCTGGCAGACCATAATTGAGAGTTCATTAAAAATGCAATGTTTTAAATGCAGGGTAAAGGGGGACAGGGACACTGCAACAGACCACTTTAATGAGATAAGTAGTATGTCTCTTTAAGTAGAAAACTCAGCAGTCTGTAGCTAAAAATAAATATATGGACACCATAACCAGTTATAATAATGGTGCAAAAAGGGTTTCAAAGAGCAATTTTTAGGTAGAGTATTTCATACTTTATAGAATACAAAGGAATGCGATTTATGCTTCAACTAATTTTTTTTCCTCTAACTGAACTTTTGCTAACTGCTCTTTTTTGTACATGACAAAGAATTTTGAAGAATAACCTTGATACAACAATTTATCTATTACCTATGGTACAATTATTCATGCTAGTAGAAATAGCCATGGGTATGCTCGTTTCAAGCAATGGTTGACATAATGACCTTGCATACTTGGTTTTGTGTTTCCTTAGCGCATTATATGTATAAAGCTGAACATTTGTAACAATATACCTTCAATCTAGGCTCTTTTAAAAAAATGGTCAGAGACCTATTTAATGTTGATCTGAATTTCCTGCCGCTATTACCATACTTTGTATAACTTCTTAAAGGACAATAGAATTAATTTGATATACCGTATATACTCGCATATTTTTTGTGCTGAAAAACCCTCACTCGTCTTATACTGGAGTGATTGTCTGTATTATGGCAATATTACATTGCCATAATACAGACAAGGACCGCCGGGCTCATTACAAGCCCAGCGGTCCTGTTGGGGGCTGGCAGGAAGTTGTTACTTACCTTTCCTGCAGCTCCTGTCAGCTCCCTTCTCTCTCCTCCGGTCAGCTCCCCTGCAAGTCTCGCGAGAGCCATGGGTTACCGTGGCAACGCTCCGCCCGGCAGTCACACCGCAAGACTTACAAGGGAGCTGACCGGACCGGAGGAGAGAAAAGGGAGCTGACAGGAGCTGCAGGAAAGGTAAGTAACAACTTCCTGCCAGCCCCCCTCCTACACAGTGCATACCACTGGACCACCAGGGAATGAGAGCCCCCCTCCCTGTCCAGCTAACAAGCAGGGAGGGGGGACAAAAACAAATAACATAAAAATTTAAATAAAATAAAAATATAAAAATAAAAAAATGCCCACCCCCCACCAAGGCTCTGCATCACACACACTGCATTCATACACACTGTAAATAAATATTCAATTAATATAATTTTTGAGGGATCTAATTTTATTTAGAAATTTACCAGTAGCTGCTGCATTTCCCACCCTAGTCTTATACTCGAGTCAATAAGTTTTCCCAGTTTTTTGAGGGTAAAATTAGGGGTCTCGTCTTCTATTCGGGTCGACTTATACTAGAGTATATACGGTACATGCAAAACCAGCCTAAAGTTTATTCCACTGTGGACCTGGAAATTTTTCATTATATTTAGAGTTTTTCTCAAGCTACTGCAATGAAAAATAACCAAAAGGGTTTAAGTGTTACTTGATGTATATTGTTGGTATAAACTCTATTAACTTCTGCCTTTTGTTTCATGCCTAGAAAATATATCCTGTATAAAATGTCGCTCGGAGTGGACCCTGAGACCTCAAGTGTTTAAGTAAATATTTCATGATGTGTATATGGGATAAAGTCCACGCCTGGTCCTAAGTGCTAATGTATACAACAAGGTATGCTTATCAAGCTTCCCAATGCAGTTTTGGACAATGTGATCCTAGGTTTATCTAGTATTCAGATTTTATAAATGATTAAAATACTAATTTTCCTTTATATCAGCTTAATTTGAGATTTATTTTTCTTTATTTTATTCCCTTTTATTTTCCATTATCTGGAAGCCAAATTTCATCAACCCCCTTTTTAATTAAGCTATAATACTCTAATATATACATTTAGAATATGGGACAGAATGTTGAAATAATGTCAGTAACCGAGTCTAAGATCAGAAAAATAAAGATGTGTATTTCCTTACCCTCCAAGTCTGGACAGGAGAGGGAGGTGGAGTGTATATATTTATTTATAATAGCTTCCGGTGTGCTCACCATGTCCTCAAGGCTGCTGTTTAGACACTGCCCAGCAGGAACAGGAAAGTTAGTGCTGAGCAAAAAGAGGGTGCTGCAAGACTGCAGAGGCAGGATTTTAGGGACTTGGACAAGGCAATAAATAGATATGTATATATTATTTTTCCAAGTGCATTAAAATGCAGGTTTTAACCCAGACTCTCTAATCTGCTTTCTTAAGGCTCTTAAGGCTTTTCCATTCTGCTCTCATGCACAATTTTGTGTTTATGTTTCTCATAACCCACGCAGCAGCCGTTTTTCCTTTGGCAGAAGAACTAGGAAGGATCTGTACTGTGAAATCTCTTATTTTTTTTTTAATTCTTGGCATCATGTCTCTTGGGGTTCAATCCCTACAGTCCAGATAACGAGTCTACATCATTACTCGATATTGGTATTTTGTGGTCTTTGGTTAATATAATCACTGGCATATCTGACTTTTCTAATTTCTCATATTTATCTAGTAGTGCAAGGATCCAACAGTAATTTTATGCAACCTATACACCCTTAAAAGGAACTCTCCAGTGCCAGGAAAACAAACCTGTTTTCCTGGCACTGCAGAATCCTGCAGTGCCCCTCTCCCTCCCACGCTCCTCCCCCACAGACATCAGCCGGCAGGGGAGACCTAATGCGCATATGCGACAATGGCTGCGCGCATTAGACCCCCATAGAAAAGCATTCTTCAAAGGTGACGCTGGAGGTCCTCAAGCATAGCGTGGGGACGTCCAGCGTCGTTTAAAACACTTTTCGTGTTCTAAGAACATGGAAGTCCCTCTAGTGGCAGTCTATCAGACAGCCACTAGAGGAGAACTTAACCCTGCAAGGTAATTATTGAAGTTTATAAAAACTGCAATTATTACACTTGCGGGGTTAAGGGTGATGGGAGTTGGCACCTTCTATGGGCAGAAGTGGTCTGGGTGTAACACAAATGCAATAACTCACACATTTAACAAATGTCTGAGTTGATTCATTTGGTCTGTTTTTAAGCAGAGTATTTTCAGATAGCATGTTGGCGGAGCACAGTGTAGCAGTGCCAAGAGTGCCCCTGTAAGGAGGCAAACCGTTTTGGAACAGGTAGACTTCTTACCTGGGATCTGCCAGGTGCCACTTCCAGACAGCTGGAACCTCTGAGCCCTGCAGTACAAGGATTAGATCATTGACAGCAATCAGATGACATACTCAACCACGGTGTTGTTCCTTGTTTCAGGAGAGGCAATGAAAACTCAAACAGGGGCTTTCTGCCCTTGGCTGAGGTAATGAAAGGAAAGAGAAGTGTCAAGCAGACCACAAGCAAGAAGTCATACTGTTCTAAAACTGTTTGGCTCCATACAAATTGGGTAGGGTTACAGGGCACTGGCTCTATAGCCACTGCATCATGCAGTAGTAGTTATGAAGTTTGGAGGTTTTATTCTTAAGGGGGAGGTGGGGGGAGGTTATAGCTAAAGTTCTGGTGCTTAGAGTAGCTTATGTTAACTTTAAACTGAATGGCCTAACCAAAGCATTTTACATTCTGGGGATGACCAAATCCCTGCAAACTATGAATTTCACATAGCCATTAGTGACTTTGCAAACATATTCCATTTACAGAAAGCAATGCACCTTCAATGCTATTAATAGTTGTGGTCTGAAGATTGCGAAGCAATGGAAATTGTTTTGGCCATAATTGTAAACTGCTTTACTTTTGTCCAGAGGATATTTCTTTATTTTGCAGGGATCTAACCAGAGTGTGCTCATGCAAAAAAAAAAACAAAAAAAAACAAAGCAGCAAATTATGTATGCTTTGAAAGATTAATATGAAGGCAGAGTTCTAGTGCGTCTCTCAATTCAATTTCAATGTCTCTATTACAGGGTCAGGGCTACATACTAAATATAGATTTTCATACTAGATATTTTTCATCTTTAAAAAGAAAGGTTACACCATTTATCGAGCTAGTGCAGGAGGATACATTCTTAAATTTTAAGTCACCAATGCTTTTATCTCAATGAAGAAGCCTCGGTGCAGTGGTCCTGTGAATGTAAATATTCAAGGTAAAAACTAAAATACGAAAAAACAAAACCCTGCCGTTTTACAGCAACGGCCATGTTTACCTTGAAGAATGTTTACGGACAGTCACTAGAGGTGCTGCCACTGCACTGACCAAGTAACACTTTGTCACATGAGGCAAAAGCTCCCATAGATTCAATGTTTTCCTATGGGGAAGCTTCGATGAACGCACAGTGCTCTCCAATCATGAGCACCAGGTACCCAATGCTCCTCCAGGAGCAGGGGCAGTGTGCTGGACCATGCTGGATGAGGCCAGGTTTCCTCTATTATGTTGAGGGAGGTGGAAAGGAAAGCATCACAGATGAAGCCTTTGGTGCTGGAAAAATTAAAGCAAGAGAGAAATAAAAAAAATAAAAAGGAAGAAAAAAAACCCTCCCCTCCCCCCCAAACCTTTATTTTTATTGCACTCGGGGATGAAGACAACCTATGTAACTAGGGTCACGAACAATAAAGTGTTAGGAAAACATGTTTGCTTTAGTGCTCCTTCAATGTATGCTAAAAACGTAAACTTGCAACAGGAGCTGTAGCTCTCCTTACATGTCACATAACATGAATTAGCAAGTATAGACGTCATTGAAGCACAAATGAGGAGTTAACAGCATAAACCTGGTCTCAAGTTTCTTTTAATTTAATATATTAGGCTTACTTATCACCCATATACGCACGTACATATGTGACATCGGAAACAGAAATAAACAGAGAAATCCTCACTTATTTTATTCTGCAACTGGTCGACTCAATCTTTGTTCCCTGTCAATCATTCTCCTTAATGTTGGGCTTCTCGGACACTGAACATCGTTCTCATTTGCACTTTTGCATTGTGTCCTGGCTTTGCCTGAACTGTAGTCAAATCCCACACTTAGGTACACTGAAGGTATTAGGCTACAGCACCATTCCAAGGATCTTACTTTGAGTAAAACCAGCCTCACTCACTGTAACTACTAGTGTAGCAGATCCATATTTGGAGGTCACTGATTGGATGAGATGCAGAGCATCATTGGCTCTACCGACACGTTTGGCAATGAAGACTAGATGAAATGGATACTGCTAAAGCAGAAGTGGAATTCTGGTGAGGAGTTGCTGAACAAGTGCCTTAGAGACCCCCAGTTTTGGTAAAGTTTTGAAAAGTGTTTGATTCAGAACAAGTGGACAGAATGCACAGACTAATGGCGCCATAACCACATCAGCAGTTAGGGTGATATATATAAATTTTAAAAAGAGGATTTTGTTAGGTAATTAATCAGAGTGTTGCTGTGATAACCCACGAAAATGCTCTGAGCGATGCACGTGGTCTGCACCTGCTGGACGTGTCTTTGGCTCCTCCTAACGTTAGAAGGCACTATCGGGTGGAGAGAGTTCTCAGTCTCCTTCTGCAAGTATTTGTATGCAAGCTGGCCAGGAAGGCACGCACTTACGAAGTTCCACCATCACCTCCACAGCTGTCAAAACCATTCACAATACTGAAAGCAGCTGTCTTCAGGTTGGGCTCTGTAAAAACGCTACAAAGTGTTAAACTACATCAGGGCTTAAAGGGACACTACTTACTAGAACTACAGCTTATTGTATTTGTTCTGGTGGGTAGAATCATTCCCTTAAAGCTTTTTACTCCTAGAGATGCATTGATTCAATTAAAGGGACACTATAGTCACCAAAACAATGTTAGCTTAATGAAGCAGTTTTGGTGTATAGAACATGCCCCTGCAGTCTCACTGTGCAATTTTCTGCCATTTAAGAGTTAAATCAATTTGTTTATGAACCCTAGTCACACTTCCCTGCATGTGACTTGCACAGCCTCCCTAAACACTTCCTGTAAAGAGTCATCTACAATCTATCCTTCCTTTATTGCAAGTTCAGTTTAATTTAGATTTTCTTATCCCCTGCAAGAGCCTCCTGTATGTGATTAAGGTTCAATTTACAGAGAAAGAGATACAATTGTTTAAGGTAAATTACATCTGACAAAGTGAAATCAGTTGTTTTTTTTCATACAGGCTGTGTCAATCAGAGCCAGGGGAGGTAAGACAAGGGCTTCATAAACCGAAACAAAGTGATTTAATGCCTAAATGACAGTGAATTGAGCAGTGAAACCGGACAGGCATGGTCCACACACAAAAACGGTTTCATTCAGCTAAAGTTGTTTAGGTGACTAGAGCGTTTCTTTAAAATGTCTCTGAGGAAATTCAAGAGAGACAGTCTTATTGTTCTTGCAATATATATATATATATATATATATATATATATATATATATATATATTTCTAAAGAAATAACTGTCTGCTCCACCCATAAGTGTTGTTTTAAAGAACTTCTTAACCACATACAGTTATACCAAGAATATGCAAGCTACTCTTTCTTGGGAAGATGATTTTAAAGGGTGATTAGTAACTCTCTGGAATTAACAGCATTGAATACAATTTTAAAAAGTATCTATAACTTGTTTGAACTTCTTTCCTCAATAAGATGCTGTTTCTTTCAAACGCAAATAAAATATTTAGCAAATACATCAAAAATCCACTACAGTACGGACACATTGTTTCATTTCTCCTCTTCTCTGCATACTTTATCTATGCTGACTGCCAGGTACAAAAGGGCAAATATTAAAACAATTAATGACACAATCCTAAATGGGGCTGCCCAGTAGTAAAATTTCTACATTTAAATGGACACTATAGTCACCAAAACAACCACAGCTTATTGTATTTATTCTGGTGAGTATAATCAGTCCCTTCAGGCTTTTTGCAGCAAACACTCTTTTCAGAGAAAATGCAGTGTTTACATTACAGCCTAGTGATACCTCCAGTGGCCACTTCTCATATGGATACTAGAGGTGCATCCTGTAGCAGTGCACAGCCCTGACATTTAGTGTCTCCATCCTCTGCATGCAGACACTGAACATTCCTCATAGAGCTGGATTGAATCAATGCATCTCTATGAGGAGAGTCTAATTGGCCAGGGCTGTGTTTGGGTTCTGCTGGCTCTGCCCCTGATCTGCCTCCTTGACAAGATCAGCCAGTCCACTGCTTTCCTATGTGAAAGCACGGTGATTGGCTCAGACCACCACTTGATGATGTCAATCAAGCAGGTAGATCAGGGGCAGAACCAGCAGCAGTAGACTGGAATAAAGATAAGATTGTACTATATTAAGGGAGAAAGGTAGAGGGTGTTTTTAACACAATAGGGTCAAGAAAACATGTTTGAATTCCTTACTCTATAGTGTTCCTTTAATTTTATTTTTCACAAATATCTATTCGCTAAACGAACACATTACAGATCATGGAAATTGACCATTCCCCTTTAATAAAACAGAGAGGATCGATATTCCAACTATGAATTTAGTAAACTCAACTAGACTTGTGCAAAATTCCTTTCAGCTGTGTTGAACGAATCAAATGCCTGTCAATCTACGGTCAAACTAATAAACGGATTCATGGTTTACCCAACTAACCTATTTATTCGTCCATAGATTAACAGGTATTTAATTTGTTTAAAGCAGTTGAAAGGGATTTGTGCATAAGTCTACTATCAAATATCCAAAAAGATTAATTGCTTTAAAAAGAAAAAACAACAACAGGTGCGCTAATACTACAATCAGGCTCTAATCAGCAACTATTTTAATGCAGAGAAGCAGCAGTAAACCTATAAAAGTAAGGTAGTGTTACAGGCCAATTCATATTAAAAGCCCATTTGCAATGTTAAATGCTAATTTGACTTATACAGCATTAAACAGAAAATTCACACAATACGTAAAATGGCACAGCGATAACCTTTCGGCACGCATGTAAAAAGAGGTGGTCTGCAGCACTAATTGTAGCATGAATCTACACCTAAGACAATAATTATATCAGGGCTTGACAAATTTGCTTGGAATCTAGGAGCCAGCTAAAAAAAGTTAGGAGCCAGATTATTTTTTTAAACTTGCAAAGTTTTATATTCAACGACAAAAATACAATTCTTAAAGGGACACTAGTCACCAGGACAACTACAGCTTAATGTAGTGTTTCTGGTGTCTATAGCCTGTCCTTGCAGGCTTTTCAATGTAAACACTGCCTTTTCAGAGAAAATGCAGTGTTTTACATTGCTTCCTAGTGACAGTCCTGCACAGTGTGCAGCACCTACATTCAGTGTCTCCACGCTCTGCATGGAGGCCCTGAACACTCCTCATAGAGCTGCATTGATTCAATGCAGCTCTATGAGGAGATGCTGATTGGTGCAGCGTTTTGCAGCCAATTCTATGGGAAAACATTGGATTGGCTGAGATCAACTTTGATAATCTCAGCCATAGAGGCAGGGCCAGTTGGAGACCAGCACGACGTTTGGGGGTCTTGCAAACCGAAGGGGTCTGGTCACCTAAACACACACACATTATTGCTTGTTTTAATACTTGTAGGCGGAATGCTGGAGGATTATAGAGGCGGGCGGGAAGTTGGGGGATTTTGTAGGAAGGTTGGGGAAAGAGCAAGGACAACACAGCTCCCTCGCCACCAGCAACAATATGCGCAGCCAGCCGCCCGCCTCCAGGTCCACCCAGCAAGCCACCTTCCTACAAAATCCCTTAGCTTGCCGCTGGCCGCCTGCCCGCCTTGGAGTTAAGGGGCTCGCATATCCTCGACGCCAAGGCAGAATGCCTAGTCACCTGGGATTTGTTGAGCCCTGGATTATATGCTCATTTTTGTGTCATGAAAGGAGCAAAACATCTCACAATGGAGAAGATTTTAAGATATCAATGTCTATTCAATGAAGAGTCATAGAGCAAGTAACATGAGAAGGGACAAGTGGCAAGACCAGAGAGTGATAACTGGGTTCAAACACACACCTGCATTCACAAATATATAGTGACACGGACATTCCACACAAATGCATCCATGCATTCAGGCTCACATTCCATGCCCAAGAATACAGGAAATGAGAGACAAAAGGCATGTACTGCATGGAAAACGCCAAAGGTGTGCATAAGGCCCTCCCCATAGAAAAGCATTGCCTCAATGATTTCACAGATGCTGAATGTCCTCATGCAGAGCATCTTTATTACTATACTGAGACAGGGAAAAATCTCCTAAATAATATTGCTATATTAAAGTTAAATTATAGAGTCTCTACTGTTTATCTGTATATTTACGAAGTCATAAAACGTTTACATTCTATGTCATGTGGGAGTAATCATTCTCTTCAACAGATTCGTATTCGGACTGACTTATGTTCCATATTTTTTATATATATATATATATATATATATATATATATTTATATTTTTTTTTTATCATTCAGTTACCACCAGGAGTCACATATCACGTCTGTATCATCACTGATGGAACGCACGGCCATATTGGTTCCTGTCTTGTATCATAAACAACGGGTGGAACGCACGAAGTGCCAGGTTCAATGCATTTCCGGTTTCAATTTACATCAGTCGCTTGCGCACCTGCCGGGAAGGATGAAGATTGGAGACCCACAGGTGATACAACTCATCGGATCTCGAAGGAAAACACACGCCCATGAAACCACCAATGAACTTAGGGACTAGCCCTATTTAAGAGGACTTGAGGGTGGGAAGGGTCAGGCTGCTTTATTTTTGTATATCATTTTGTATGCTATTGTTACACAAATTGATTTTAGGTTCCTGAGGAAGTCAAAGTTTATTTGGACGAAATGCATAGAACCAACCTCTGTATTTGAATTCACTGGTGCATGTTCACCTTTTATTTATAAATAAAGCCGTAATTTTTTACTGCCATCTTCTTGAGTCCTGTTCTTAAAGAAGTACACACAGCAATATATTTATTTATATTAAACATAAATATATTGCCTCAGCTTTTATGGGTTAATACAATTAAGTCTGAAATACTGAAGTGAACAGGGCATTGAAGCAAACTATGCCTAGGAAACATTGGGGGTGGAGAGAATAGGCCCTTGCTGCTAAGATGGAAAAAAAAAAAAATCTTAAATGCCCCAGGAAGCTTGCGTCAGAAAAAAATTAATCATGAGAGAAGAAAAAAAAAAAAAGCAAGCAGCCAAGTTACACATGTTGGAAACAATTGGAACAACAAATTTAGTACCAGATATAGACTAATCCGGTTGAGGAATACAACTCCCATCATGCTCAACAAGGGTCTGGTTGAGGATGATGGGACTTTGCATACAAATGCTGCAGCAATGGTAGGATGAGAGCAGCCTTGTTTCTGGGGGTGTATAACTCCCATGAAGCTTGGTGGCTGATTTTTAGTCCATAATACGTAAAGCTCCACAGCCATAAAGCTCACAGTAAAGGCAGGAGGATGACGCACAGACTTAGAACCCCATCTGTATTCTAGTCTCCCCAGTATTTTGGTATATTTACTTGGAGGAGGCAAACTGATGGTGCCTATTAAACGTCTTGTCTTTTCACATGACTGCAGTAACCTGCTTCAGAAAACTCTCACATGGCAGATGATACAAATGAATGCAACCAGGCAGTGTATAAAAGATCATACGTTCTGCCTTTATCCTGTAGCAGTTGCCAAGGTTATTGTGACTCCATCAGTGGCAATGCTTCTCCTCCCCCATTCACACGCAGTGCTGCTAAAGACATTGCTTGTTACGCAGTAGTGCAGCCCATTCAGTTGATTATCATGGTATTTTCCAAACAACCTCAATAACACATTTGTATCACAGTTGTATAGTGTGCTTCAAATATCGTTTCTCTATGGGCAGAATAACTCAAAATTCAATAAAATGTAACATAATGAGATAAGGAGCCCCACAGGGATGGGCAAGCAAAGTTAGCTGATTTATCAAATAGAACAGACATTACAAATCTCAAGTGGATCAGGGCATTAGAGCAGAAGCCAAAGCTATTCTCTAGGCTAAGAAAAGCAAAGTTATTTTCTTCAGTGTCCGGGGATTTTGACTTCTGAACAATTAATAAAATACTACTAGAACAGATGCTGAAAGCTTCGTATAACTGGTCCACTAAGGAAACATACAGATTGCATTGAGTGCATGCTCAAGGTTTAGAAACATCATTCTCCGTGCACATGCATATATTGTCAATACAACCCCTATGATGGCAGCGTTCAAGAATGACCCGAATGTTTTTGCAGCCAGCACTGAATACTGTATGGCATGTAAAAGTGTCAAAAAAAAGATAGATTCATAGTCCAAAGGTATTCCTACGCAAAGCCTCACAGAATTACCATGGAAAAGTAGATTAATTTCTAATTTAAAGGGTTTCTCCAACTTCTGCTTTTAGAAGTGGTCATGGTGATAGGAGCCTGTATGTTCAGCATTTAAGCTTGAAACACCACACAGAGAGATATTTACATTTGTGCACGAGGTGCTAGTTACACCCCCGCCACACGTGACTAAGGCAGCCCGGTGACCAGACCGTTTTTCAATTTTCTTACCGTTAAGGACCAGGGCTGTTTTTACTGCTACACATTTCTGCTGTGTTTGTGTTAAGCTGTAATTTTCCTCTTACTCATTTACTGTTCCCACACATATTATATACTGTTTCTCGACATTAAATGGTCTTTTTAAAGATACCATTATTTTCATCATATATAAGTTACTATAAAAAAAAAAAAAAAACCATTTTTTTAAAAATGATGAAATTTGTTTTATTTTTTTATTTTTTTTAAAACATACTTTTTCTGACTTCCAAAATCTGTTACACATCTACAACCGCCAAAAAAAACACCAGTGCTAAATAGTTCCTAAATTTTGCCCAGAGTTAACATGTTCTTAGCTTTTTTAAGTTATAGGGCTCTAAGTACAAGTAGGATATTGCGGTTTCAAAATATATATTTTAAAAATGTAACAATAGTGACATAACACTTATCTGTCATAAATCTCTGAATCACACCTTGCATGTACATACTTTTTTAAAGTAGACAACCTGGGGTATTCAATATGGGGTATGCCCAGTCTTTTTTAGTAGCCACTTAGTCACAAACACTGGCCAAAGTTAGCATTTATATTTGTGTGTTAAAAATGCAAACAAACAATGAATAAAGCTAACTTTGGCCAGTGTTTGTGACCAAGCGGCTATTAAAAAAGACTGAGCATACCCCATTTGCAGTACCTTGGGTTGTCTTCTTTTGCAAAATGATAGGCCATCATGGTGGTAATTCTCATTCCTGGGCTACCATACGCGCTCAAAGGCAACATAACCAATCTGACCAATTTCAATGTGAAAAAACGGAAAATCAAGCCTTATATTTGACCCCGTGGGGTACTGTTATACTCGGGAGACTTCGCTGAACACAAATATTAGGGTTTCAAAACAGTAAAACTTATCAGAACAATAATATCATCAGTGAAAGTGCAGTTTGGGTGCGAAAAATAAAATTCACTTTCACTGACAATGTCATCGCTGTGATATGTTTTACTGTTTTGAAACACTAATATTTGTGTTCAGCGAAGTCTCCCGAGTATAACAGTACCCCACAGGGTCAAATATAAGGCTTGATTTTCAGTTTTTTCACGTTGAAATTGGTCAGATTGGTTATGTTGCCTTTGAGCGCGTATGGTAGCCCAGGACTTGAGAATTACCACCATGATGGCATACCATTTGCAAAAGAAGTCTACCGAGTAAAACAGTCCACCCCCCCCCCTCCCATGTACAGGTTTTAGGGTGTCATGGAAAGTTACAGGGTTAAATACAGTGCTAGAAAATTAAATTCTCTGGACTTTCTGCCTGGGTTGTCAGGCAGATCCCCCAAATTACAAATCAATAAAAATTACTTAATTATGTAAAATATTACATAAGTATGCACGTAGAATTTAAATATATATACACATTTATATATTTGAAGTCTACGTGCATATGAAATTATTTATGTCATTATGTATAGGAATAGAGATATATATATATATATATATATATATATATATATATATATATATATATATATATCTCAAAATACAGTTAGAATAAAATTACATACAAATTTTTTTTTAATGATTTCCTTTTTTTTGCTTCTTATTTATATTGTAATGTGTGTGTATGTATGTATATATATATATATATATATATACATACACACACACACATACGTGTGATTTAATTATAAGTGTATTTTTATATTAATATATGTATATATTAATATACACACACACGTGCGCGCACACACACTGATCACTCTAGCCAATCAGTGACGCCCCTGCCTGGCAGCACACATCCTGGAATTCAGATGCCGTTCTGGCACTGGAGGCAGCATTAGGGGTTTAAAACCTTACGGAAAGAAAGTGCCCAGGGGGCTGCTGACATAATTTCATTTAGAGGACGAAGTTATGGTGACAAGAGTGTTCCTTATTCCTCCAAAATCTGTTACTTATATTTCATTTAAGTGTGCTACTTATTTAGTGGATGACTTTCATTCAATAACCACTTTTTTTTTTTCTTCACACACACAGAATCTACCCAGTTCTGTCACTCTACAATAAAAATGTCTGCACTGAGCGACCCTTTCCTGTTTGGACTACCACAACTCATTCCACTATTCTAGGATCTGCCATAGAAAGTAAACTATGCAATCACTGTTGTGACTTCCCAAACATTTCAAATTTCTCATTATTTGAGGCTTCTCTCCAACACTGTGCTCATTGCACATCTCACTTGTGATAACCCATCATGTTCTTTCCCTCACCTGCAATTAGGTGCTCGTTGGATATTTCTTCTGTTGCTTAGTCCCTACTGCTGTATGTACGCTAAAAAGCATTCTCTCTTGCTGCCCCTATTTTTAGAACTCAAAGAATTATATAAGTCTCAAAGCCTAACTCAAATTACATACAGGTGAATCTATGCACTGCTTCTTACACTAAATGAAATACCTTTTGGTTTTGCTGGGGGCACCCAACTTTGTAATATGAGATTAATCTCAAAGTATGAGACCGGAGCAGTCAAGGGAGGCCAGAAACACAATCCCGTTTAGGAAGAAGGTATTTCAGCTCACGTACTACCTGTGCTACATAATGCTGGTCTTATACATAAAAGTAAAACCCTGCTAGAGAAAGGAGGGGGGAAAACACATTGTTAAATGTTTGTACTCTATCAGGTGTATCAAGTACTTAAGCCTCAACTACTTTGCAATGCTTTAACAAATGCATGTTAATAATACACTGACCCCTCTATCTTCAGATTGTTTAATATTTGGAACAGCAAAGAGTTAAGTATGGCACTCTGTGGATTCATTTATATTAACCAAACAAAACAGTCTTTATGCTCTGCTGGAGATTGCCTGCAGCTCACGAAATGCACAGGTCATTAATAATAAACTTAAAAAATGTACTTGGGTGTTTTCCATTGCTTTTCTGCAGCTCTTTCTGCTGAAATTCAAAAGAGGCTATTTCTAGTTCATGGTATATTTGCTATTGCTGAATTTACTTTAGAAACAGTATATTCAGTTGCTAGTATGGTGTGTGTAAGTTGAACATTGAAAGGGTTAACTGGACATGTAGCGATTTTAATTTCTTAGCATGAAATAAGTCTTGAGTGTCCCAAACATGGCTGCCTCTCTTCTGTAACCTGGTAAATTTCCCAGTCTCTTGCCTTCCCATTATGTTTTCTGGAATTGTTCACATAGGTCTTCTCTTTATATGTTCTGCACATGGGCCTATTTAAGTTCCGGTAAATGTCCATGTAGAGGTTTTGAGGGAAAGATTATCAAGGGGGGAGGGGGAAGGGTCCTGTTCAGAGGCTAAATGAAGTCCATTCGCCATGAGAATTCTCTCACACCCTTTATTCAGCTCCTGTTATAAAAAAAATATTGTTCCTCTGAAGAATAGGTTGCACTGTGATAAAACTTTCCTTGAGTTTTGAACAACTTTAATTATATTCAACACAATATACACAGTATAAAGCCTATAGTTTTAAGCTTTGTCTATAATTGGTTATCTACAACTTCCATGTGAGCAATCTCCATATGAAAAATTCTGACATTTTCCGCTGCTGAATTAAAGTGGCACAGACATGGTCTTTGTACGTGATGGCCATGGAGAGAGCATGAAGAGCGACAGATTTAAAATTATTTAAGTTGTTATAGCGCCTTGAGTCCATGAGCAACTAATCCTGCATCACTGTTCAACTATTTCCTCAGCATTAAGCGGAGACAGTTGCTCCACAGCAGCCTGAAGTTTGGCCTCTAATGACGAGGTGGCGTAGGTAGAGCCAGGCACTGCTCATCTTAAAACCAAGGGAAGCAGGCAGTCATACTCAGAGTTCCTCGTATAAATTGGCGTCATGGCTCCGCCTCTGCCATATAGTAATTGGGAACCGGGCTACAGACTTCCAGAGGCTGAGCACGTATGCTAAGCGTTGACTAAACAGTGTAGTAGTGATGCAAGACACACTGCCATAAAACATCAGCCAAGTTAACAGCTTCAATAAGTTAAAGCCCTTTTTGTGCCTACAGTTGCCTGTCCTTTGCATCATCACCTTGCCACCACTATTCTATGACTTCTGTGTTGTACTCTTACACATGCGCAACAGAACAAAATAGATCTTGTTGAGAATGCTGTACATACACCAGATGCATAGCTATGTATGCACATCACATGAGATGATATCTGTTACCATTAGCCAATGCAACCGAGAGCTGATGGGAAATTACTGCTTTTTGTCAGTTCCATAATACAATGTAGTCCCTTTGTCTCAGGTAAACTCGATACCACCATTTGTATACCTTTCAGCTATACAGTTGTGTTCTTTCAAGGCTATGCCTCCTCAAATGAAGTAGTTTCGTAAAGGATGTTTTGTACATCATTTGGAAGTGTAGTATATATACACACACACACACCCTTCCCAGGGGAAATTCCTAGGAATTAAAGTATCCACGACAGAAACGGAAAAGTAACTCAGAATGTATTCAATAAAGATTGTAAAGAATTCTCACATCAAAAAACTTACACTGTGTGAGAGGGCTGGTGACACGGAGTATCTGTTCTGACAAAACACAGATTTAAAAAAAAAATTAAAAAAAAATTTAATAAATAAAAACGGGCAGGTTCTGATATCAGAGCCATTATCCAGCATATTTCTGATAATTGGTACTGTAATTTACATAACTTTCATCAGTCACCACTCTCCATATTCCACATCTGGAAACGCCAGCCAATTAGGTGCCACGTCATCTCTACCTGTGTGTCCCCGCATGGGGAGTTCAGGTAAAGGCAGGAAGGGGAGATGGTGAATAATCTACTATAAAGTACTGGGTTGTTGTCAGAGTTATAGGAGTGTGATTGCCGTCATCACACTCCTATCAGTAACAGCTATGGTACATGTTGGGGATCTTACTAAACCCAGCATAACCTGACTGGCTGTGAGTAAAAAGAATGTGATTGCTCTCAGCATGTTCAGTTAATGCCATTTTAGTGTAGAATTGTTGCTTTAAAAAAAAAATAAAAACACAAACTTTAAATGTATAGAATATTGGCACCGGTTATTGAGCCGAAAGGCAACCGATAACTGGAATTGGCATTGACTCTGGAAAATTTATATCAGTCGATCCCTATTCTGGAGTGTCAACCCCTTGTAAAGTTTGTAAAACATCACCAACGATATATTAAAGTAAAGCCCAATCACAAACACAAAACTTCTGCAATGCAGTAGAAATTGATATTACTTGATTGTGGAAGCTTTTCCCTTTGTCAAGTTCTGTCAACTTGGATTTTGACCATATGATAAGGTACGCAGTACTTGGTCTTGTGATATTCAATTAAATTCCAAAACTCAGTAGGAGTATGTCATGAAGAGCTTATACTCAAAACTAAGAGTGGTGACAGTGCTGCTTAAAAGCCATGTCACTTGTGTCTTTTGCATAAAACTTTTATAGAAAAAAATAAAAATGTATATCATAGAATTAACTCCAACATCTTATGATAAACTATTTAAATGTTACACTGAAAAGTCACTGTGCAAAAAGCTGACTTCAGCACTAAGAGAATCTTGTCATTCATGTATTTGGCTGTGTGACCAAGAACAAGTCAAATAATTAAGCATGGTTGACTGATGCATTTGAAAGCTGTTCTAACCAAACATCTGAAAATTATTGCACTGGGGCCAAGCAATGCACTAACACCAGAGAATCCTCAGCATAAAAGACAAAAGGATAGCATTATTTTCTAATAAATATGCACCTTTGTCGAAAAAGAAAATAATATTTCAAATCTTATTTGCAGCTTGCATCCACTATGTGAAGACAAATTTCCTCTAAAGGGAGGACAAAAGAGCACATTTCAAATGCATACCATAAGCAGAAGTCAATAGGACTGGGTCGTGTTCTGTAGAAGACAGTTTTACAAAATATTGCACAGAAAGGTAGATCAAAATCTGATTTATAGTCTCCTAGAAAAGGAGAGCACTCCACTTCAGTAAAGGGATATGGATAGACATACAGAAAAGGAAAAAGAAAGAACTCTAAGTGTATGCCAGTCCATCACATGCATTTATGATTCAAACAGTGTATTAACTCGCCATCCTGGAATGGTAAAACTGAAAACATATCATTGCTCCATTGGCAATTTAAAGGGACACTATAGTCACTGTAACAACTACAACTTATTTTATTTGTTCTGGTGAGTAGAATCATTCCCATCAGGCTTTTTGCTGTAAACATGGTCTTTTCAGAGAAAATTCAGTGTTTACATTACAGTCTGGTGATAACTTCACTGGCCACTCCTCAGATGGCCACTAGAGGTGCTTCCTAGGGCAGTGCTGCACACTGTGCAGTACTACCATTCAGTGTATCCACCCTTTGCATGCAGAAACTGAACTTTCCTTATAGGAATGATTAAATGCATCTCTATAAGAGGATGCTGATTGGCCAGGGCTGTATTTGGCTTGTGCTGGCTCTGCCCATGATCTGCCTCCTTGACAGTTTCATGGGAAAGCATTTTAATTTGGATTCACTTCTGACGATGTCAGGAAAATCAAGGGCAGAGCCAGTAGCTGCAGACTTGAATACAAGTAAGATTTTACTATATTTAGGGAGCAAGGGGGGGCTAGATGGTGGTTTTAACACTATAGAGTCAGGAATACATGTTTGTGTTCCTGACTCTAGTTTTCCTTTAAGTCTAAAGGCAAATTACTCCAAGGTTACCAGCCTCTGAAAAATAGTTTTTAGCAGAATTTGGAGATATTTTAAGAAATGAAAGTTCAGCCTTATCTGGCTGGCCTTGCATCTCGTTTTTAGGATCTGGTATCTTTACACAGATATTTAAATGTATGGTGTTTGCTTTGCAATAACAATTATTTTTTTCCAATGTACAATAATGGTTTTGGAGCAAAATGCTTCTTCAACTTGCTATGAGAAACTGCCCCAGGTTTTTATCCTGAAACACATATCACTACTATAATTATATCATTATCTGGAACAAAAGGAAGGCTCACTTGAACAGGATATCTAGGATACTGATACTACACAACAGACTGTATGGGGTGTCATGAGCATGGGCTATAGGCCCAGCCAAGACAGTGGGGAGAGTGTGGAAGTGACAGGGTTAATGACACCAGACCCCTGGTTACCGGTCGCTAGTCCCAGCAACCACTCAATTAACCCCTGCAATCTCTTCTACACTAACCCCCTAGTACACGCTTTACTGCCACCACCAAGACTTTTAAACCCAGATGTCTTAGGTTACCCCACACACAGGAGAATTATAGAATTACAGTTCTACTTTTATTGATCAAACACATATAATTAACCCTTTTTGGTAACGTGTTTACCTGAGCTTTCCTCTGGAGAGTGAAGCTCATAGAGAACAGAGACACAAGCTGATTAAGTAAACATTCAATCTGACAAAAAAAAGAGTCACAGTGCTGAGTACAAAATACAGATAAATTGCAAAACAATACATAAAATAGGAGAAAACACAAGAAATTCTTTACATGTATTTACCCCATATAGAATTCTTGTGGGAGTCTTAGATGGTATAGGTCGCCTAGAAGTTGCTGGCCAAAGAAAAAATGAATAACTGAACTCCCTGGATAGTCCAGCACCCTCATTATATATCTAAACTAGTTGTTTCTCAGTGGGCAGACCCCTGGGGGGGCAGGTAGGGGGGGGATCAGAGAGGGTTGGTGTGGCAGTTTAGTGGCCACTCTATGCAATTCCTAGTGTCCAGCTCTGGTGATGGCTATCTAGATGTTTTATGGTCTAGGCCTGGTGCAAGATGAAAGACCACAATAAATGTCATCCCAAGGTTTACAAAAAAACAACTCTTAACATATATCAACACACATCAAACACCAACTCATGCTTTTGGCATGACATGGGGCAATTACAAAGCTGCTCTATTCTTTTTTTCAGGTTTGTACATATTACACTAGTAATAAGTAATTTGTTCTGTAATTTACTTATTCGTTCTTAAGTTTTATAAAAAGATATTGTATTTAAAAGACACTGTGGGACTGGGCAGGAGGGGGGACACTGTGGGACTGGGCAGGAGGGAGAAAAGAACACTAAAAAAGAGGAAGGGGCACTAAAAGAGAAGGGAGAAGGAAAGTTTTTCATATTAGATTAAATTCATTAAAAAGTCTAATATTAATAAAATTATAGGAACACAACTTTTTAAAAATCATTTGGGGTAAAAAGTCATTTTTGGTTTCCGGCCAAGGACATCCTGAATTTTCGGTTTCGGTGCATCCCTACACAAAGCTATCTGCATATACTGCAGATTTTTTTTTCCCAGTTATAAAACAAATAAAAAAAAATCAACAGATATAAAACATTTCCCTCACACAAATACATCACAGGGGAACTTATACATCCCCTAAACAGCATGTCAAAGGTCTAGTCATACTAACCAAGAATTGGATTGGCTGAATACTTATAAGCCACTTCCTGTACTGGGCAGCTTCACGGCAGCAGCTGCAAATCTTGGGTTTTTGCAGCACACTTCAAAAGCAAAAGGAAAACTCCAGTCATAACCACTTCATCTCAATTAGGTTGTTATGGTGGCGAGTCCCTGGTGCTACTCAATGACCACACATGTATGTAAAAGCTAAAGGTGTATATGTTTTGCCCATAATTTGTATTACTACATAAAAAGAAAAAGAAAATGAAAGGAATCTCTAGACTGCAGCATTCATTTAATTGAAGTGTTTCTCTGGGATTTTGTTACACCTCATTTTACTTTATTTGTTTCCCTTTTCATCTTTGACAATTGTGTTGCTTGTTGAACCAGTTTTTTGGCAAGTCCCTACCCTTGAAAAAATAAAAGCAACGATTGAAAGTCAGAGAGCGAGAGAGAAAAAAAATATATGCCTTTTGCATTTTGGCATAGTCTACTTGCTCAATATAGCTAAATTCTATTTGAGCATCACATTCTTTACATAATATTCTGTTTAGTGTGAATAAAAAGGGATGCTCCAAGTACCATAACTTAAGTTGTCTGCACTGGGTACAGTGCAAGTAGAGCCTCTTTTCCTGTATCCCTACATAGTTTTGCCTATCAGCTATACCTCTATCATATCTAAATATAAAGTATCACGTGTGCATGCTATATAAACCACAACTGCTCTAAACCCATCGTAAAAACCGCAGCGGTTCATGAGTGATGTCTCAGTTTTCAGACATACCTTGCTGTCACTTTGGGATGCTGACATTCCAAGTGCAAGAGCTGTTGACAGTCATCAATATATTTATATACTAGTTCTACAGCTAGTATAAAAAATAATAGGGAGGAGGGGGAGTTTATCTACTAAATTGTTTGTTTATGGTGTGTAACAAAAGATAAGAGTATTCCAGGTTTTTAAAAATATTTAAAGTTGCATTTAAAATTGCAGTTAGGGGTAGCATTTCAGATTCTGTGTTAAGTCAGTATTATGTCTTGTTTGCATTTAGCGGGTACCAAAACATTCTAGCAATCAAAAAGAAGTAAAGATAAAATGAAGACAGATTATGAAAATATTGCAAAAGAGGAGGAGATTGAATGCTTAGCAAAGATGGAAAGATCAGGTGGGCAGTGAAAAGAAGGGCAGGTAAGGAAATAGTGGTGGGAATGAGGAGGTGAGGGATGAATTCAAATTTGGGAGATCAATGGAAAAGAGGGAAGAGACTAGGAACTGATATGGCAAGTGAAATAAAGAGGCAGGGAGTGCAATGGAAATGAGAAAAGTGGTGAATTCTCTGGTCAATTCTCTGATTACTGAATAACTGTATTTAAGCATTGTCTGTGCAAATATAACTACTGATGGAATAGATTACTAAAACTAAACACAGACTTTAAATAATTATGCATACAAGTTCATGCAACTTTCGGAAATATATTACTAATTTAGAAGACAATAGATTTGACGAACATCAATAAGTATACTTTACACAAAAGCGATTAAATATCGTAAACAAGCCACATACTAATCATCTTATGTAAATAGTGTAGACAAAGACAATGGATACTTCAATTTCAGCAGCTCTAAAGTCACACTTGGGCACAATGCCCTGTCTCTAGGGCTAAACAAAATACAGACATCACTGGTGAAAAATCAGAGTTGACAACCAGAAAGTCATCAATGCACTAATATTACACAAACACTGGCGACAATGTAGGCTAAAGCAGGTCAGCTGTCTTCCCACCCTCATCAGATGAAGGAGACATATCTTTAACTGTGAGCAGTCGTTTTGAACGCTAAACCTAGTAAAATATAGGGATCACAAAAGCAGCTATGTGCATATTTCCATGATTCAATGTATTAGCATGCAAACACTGGAAAAGTTTCCACTGGTAAAACTCTTTTCAGAAAATAAACTTAGAAATCTCTGGTGGGAAAACTGTTTTGCTCACGCCTAGATAATTACTATCAATAAATACAAATAAAAGTATACTACTACATATCCTGCACACCTATCCTACAGAGCAACCAGCGAGCACAAACATCATGGACAGCTAATCCACCACAATAGATCATATATATATATATATATATTCACTTAATTTCTGTGACTCTTTAAAGAGCAAGAGTTCAATGCACCTGCAGCATTGGATTAACACAGACATTGTGCATGGATGTGACTGTGTTAGTAAGAGGACCAGACACTGATATGTGGACTTAGTGACAATAAGTCTTAGTTAATGATTAATTTAGTAAGAGGATTCAGAGTTCCCATATATAGTTTAATCATAGGCTATAATGAGAGCCAGTGGCTGAGAAAGGCCAGTGTGCATGTGTGACAGTGAGCCACATCAAGGTCGCCATGCTCCATGATTGCAGCACACACTGTACATCCAGCAGATCATGCAGCTGGTCATACAGCCTCAGCAGGTCGGAGGAACCAATCAGGTAAAAGCGCTGCGCCAGCCAATGGGATGCAGAGCTCCAAACGGTGGATGGATCTCTCCATAAGCACTGCGCCGCTCACCTGTTCAAGTCACTTCCTAGCAACACAACCGTGTACTAACGCGGGAGAAAGATGGAGGAAAAAGAGTGCCCCAAACACCCGAATAGAGACAAATGGTGAGGACACAAGCATCACACCGTGTGCCCGCTGGGAGCTCTCTGCATAGGACACGGCAAAGGGCTGACCTGCAGAATAGTGGATACAATTATACAGTCTGCGCAATGAATGGAAGCAGGCAGTTATCATTGGGAGACAGGGAGAGAGGGCTCGGGGTGACACGGCGGGGGGATAGCATGCAGGGGTCACATTCACAGCCCGATATACAGCATCTAAACCCTGCGTGACGTCACATGCACCGGGGGAGCAGAGCTACTGCAATGGGGGCTGATAGGAGGGTATCAGCAGTCATAGAGACATCTGCTCTGCCCCCCGAGTAAACCCCAACCCTGCCATCACCCGAAATCAGACCCCCCAACCCTGCCATCGCGAAATCAGACCCCCCAAATCACCCGAAATCAGCCCCCAACCCTGCCATCACCCGAAATCAGACCCCCCCAACCTGCCAGAGCCTGCCATCACTCCCCCCAAGCTCTAAAATCAGACCCCCAGCCCTGCCATCACCCGAAATCAGACCCCCATCACCAGACTGCCATCACCCGAAATCAGACCCCCAATCACCCGAAATCAGACCCCAGCCTGCCCACCGAAATCACCCGCCTGCCATCACCCGAAATCAGACCCCCCTGCCATCACCCGAAATCAGACCCCCCCAGCCTGCCATCACCCGAATCATCAGAAATCAGACCCCCAGCCCTGCCATCACCCGAAATCAGACCCCCAGCCCTGCCATCACCCGAAATCAGACCCCCAGCCCTGCCATCACCCGAAATCAGACCCCCAGCCCTGCCATCGCGAATCAGACCCCCCAGCCTGCCATCACCCGAAATCAGACCCCCAGCATCACCCGAAATCAGACCCCCAGCCCTGCCATCACCAGACCCCAGACCCCCCAGCCATCACCTGCCCCCAGCCTCACCCGAAATCAGACCCAGCCATGCCTGTATCACCGAAATCAGAGCCCCAGCCTGCCATCACCCGAAATCAGACCCCCAACCCTGCCATCACCCGAAATCAGAAATCCCCCCCAGCCCTGCGGCCCGAAATCAGGCCCCCAACCCTGCCATCACCCGAAATCAGGCCCCCCCAGCCCTGCCATGACCCGTCAGACCCCCCAGCCCTGCCATCACCCGAAATCAGACCTCACCCGAATCAGACCAGCCTGCCATCCCCCCAGCCCTGCCATCAGCCGGGATCAGCCCCCCATTATTCCCAGGTGTCAGTCCCGCACTGTGTGGTGTCCCGGGGTAGCGGTGGTTAGTGCTGGGATGCGGTGTGGGGGTGTAATGGGTAACATTACCTTTTTAACGGTGCGCGGGGCCTCGCTGACTGCTCCCTCCGGGCTGCCCGCTCCCTCTCCGCCTTCCCGCGGGCGCTGCGCCGGGTCGCTTCTTTTCATGGCCGAGGCCGGGGCGCCCTTGACGGGCTGGCTGGGAGCCGGGATACCGGGGCAGTTGTCGGGTTCCGCGGGTGACACGGTGGCGGCCAGTACAGGGGAAGCCTCGGCCGGCCTCTCCCTAACCGCCTCCTTCAGCTCCATGTCTGCCAGCTTCACGGTCGCCACCTGCACGGACATGATGCGTCGGACTGAGCAGCTGACCGGGACTCTCTATACAACACCAAGCTCCTGATGCACACAAACACTAGCACGCTGCCGGCAGCCGCGGACACGCCCCCGCACACCTGCCCGCCCACACCGCACTGCGTCACGGGACGCGTAGTTCCAGCCCCTTCTCCTTCAGGGCCGTGTGATTCTACCAGTACTACTACTACCGGCATGCTCCTCTCCGATCGCCTTACTCTGTGCAGCATTAAGGGATATGTAGTCATTGTTACTGACTTCGTACTGAAAGTCAAATACACTTTCACTACAATTCCCGGTGTGCAATGCTCCCCACACGCTCCGTTTAAAGAGCTGCTGGGTGGGTTTACTCTCCTTCAATCAGCTTTATTAGCATTAAATAGGAAGACATCGATTTGTTGGCCTGTTCCTTTTTTCATAGTAAAGGCGCAAATAAAGCCAAATAGCGTATTGTAGAGTAATTTATTATTTTAGTGTATATATACTCCAATATATTCCAGTCACCGTTGATTATTTCTATACAATATTTTTTTAAATACAATGTTATAACTTAAGTTATATAAATACTGGACAGACCACTTCAAAACAGAAAAATAAAGTAGCTGTGACTTACTAAATTATATATTAGCAATTAATTCATTTTACTATTAATCTCTGCAATGTGTCAATATTAGGTCCCCTGTCTCCCTTTACCCCTCACAGTGACCGCATTCCCTATGTTAATCCTTCCTATACACATGGAGCATAGTGCAAGGATTTTTGCAATCCCGGGTGAAGATCAATTTTTCTGGCCGCCATGTATCCTGCTCCATTCTCTCACTGTCTATACAGGAGCTTCCAATAGCTCTCCTGCGCTAAGCCCTACTCACTGGCTGAAAGAGTCAGCTGATCACTCTCAGCTAATGGGTAAAGCCATGCACTACCATACACTACAAGCCCCCAGGGCCTACAATGTGGCATTGGGCATCCCATCAGACAGGCGCCCAGTGGTGGCAGCCTTAGTATGCAGGGCATTGAGAGGAGCAGTTGTCAGTATCTGCTTCCGTTCAATCTAGGGTCATAAGAGTCCCTATTTGGTTATAGCCAGTCACAAAACAGAGTAAGCCGTCTTTGGGTGATCATGATGTTCCCCTTCTTACCTTTGGTTTGCCAGGTGCCACCTACATTAATGAGCTAATGGCAATGAGAGAATGGCGCAGGACACATGGCGGCCAGCAAAATTGATCTTCACCTTGGACAGGACAAAATCCTTCCACTTGCCATGTGTATAGCACCAGTAGTGGAGATCTCACACCCTGGTGTATGGCCGGGTGACGGGCATGTAATGTTGAAATCGGAATGATACATCTATTTCTTTGTTAAAACAGAGGTAAGTGAATAATCCCTTTTTCCCGGTGATACTATTGATGTAAAGATGATAGGGGTGACACATGAATGCACATGAATGCAAGGGGAGTGTATTTGATAGTGAGCACCGTCATGACATATATGAGTGTCCCCTTATAACTAGGGACACCATTGATGCATTTAGGTGATCGGGTGGTATATATTAGATCTGAATCTAATAAATGAATGAACATCTATACACAATTCAACCCCTATTAGAGACACACCCACATTTCATACTTAGCCAATCCCCTCTAACAGTTGACCTCACCGGGATTGGATAGATATAAAAGAGGGTGTTCCCTAATCTACACACCCACTAATTAAGTCTTAGACCAGGGCTGTCCAACCTGCGGCCCCCCAGATGTTGCTGAACTACAACTCCCCCACATTTTTTCCCTGATGAAGGTGCATGTAGCGCTGCACCAAACGCGTGTCAGGCGTTTGAAGCTCTGGGTGTTCACTTTTTCACTGGGTATCTTATTTTTTGACTCACTTTTGATTTAACATGTTGTTCTGATTACTTACTTTCACTTTGTTTCTCCCTTTTGTTTCTATGTCTATCTAGCAAGATTACCAGGGAGAGAGGCTTTGCTACATTATTAATTCATGCCAGTATTGTACTGGCATTAGAACTTACTTGCTAACCCTTCCTCTCCCTTACTTTCTTTCTGTGATTATCTTAACACAATTGTTTGGGCTATAGACAGCATAGTTCCATTGGCCAGCTTGTTAGACTAGTTGTTATAATTACAATCACCTGTTGATATATATCTATACAACCTAATAAGCCACTTTGCTAAATAACTCCTGTCTGTTTTGACATTTGACTGGAAGCTGTACTTTAGGATTACTCAGACTCATCTAAATAATATACTCAGATATTAACTCTAATACTCCTGTTTTATACACTTAATTGGAGCCATACCAATAAAGCTCTTTTTTACCTAATCAGGAATTATATTGAGACCACTATCTGACTTTTCTTATATGGACATAGGCATAACTAGAAATTATTGGGCCCTGGTGCGAAAATTGCCCTGAGCCCCCCATGCATCACAAGCCTCACCCCCACTCCTCCATATTTGTCTCATTCCCTCCCTCCACAGCCCCTCCATGTGTTTTATTTCTCCCTAGCCGTTCCATGTGTCTCATTCCTCCCTAGCCTCTTCATGTGTTTCATTCCCCCCCAGGCGTCTCATTTCCCCCTGCCCCTTCATGTGTCTCATTCCCTCACCCCCCTGTCTCTCCATGTATGTCATTCCCTCCCCCATGTGTCTTATACCATCCCCCCCAGCTCCTCAATGTGTGGCATTCCCTCCCCCCCAGCCCCTCCACGTGTGTCATTTCATCCCCCTAGCCCCTCCATATGTGTCATTTCATCCCCCTAGCCCTCCATGTGTGTCATTCCTCCCCCCAGCTCCTCCATGTGTTATATTCTCTCCCTTCCCTTTGTGTACCTGTTCACCCAGCCCAACCGCAGTACCAGTAGTAATGCGCAAACAGAGGATACCGCACTCACACTTAGGAATCCAGGTGCTTATCACGGCTAGGGTTGGCAAAACATGGTTTAGTAGATGAAATAAATTAGGTCCAGGCGCTCAGGTTGATAAAGACCTGTTCCAATACACCAACCGCAGTACCAGGACGGACATCTCCTCTCTCTCAGTGATCACTTCCTTTTAGACCGCTCGGCCACGCTACGCACACACGGGAGCAGCACCAGCCCCAAAGTCATGCTGGCAGCCCACATAAGTGACGGGCATTGTCACAGCTGCGACCGTGGTAGGTACGCCACTGATGCCAGTAAATTCTGCAATGCTGTATACTAGGTAAATGATTTATATACTAAAGGAAATTTGGGCACTTTCATTCATCTCACTTCTCTTCGATTTAGCAGATAAAATTCCTCTGAGTTTCATTTTATTCACTATCAACCAAACTGAAACCACATTGAGCTGAATGGGTCTGTGACATTGAGCTGAATTACAGTCTCATGTCCCTGCTATCAGAACAAAGAAACTTTAAATTAAAAATAAGGTTGAAGGTGTAGAATTAGCATTAATGAATTGTTGGGTAACGGTCATTGAGTTTGTAATTCCCTTGTTCTGTATCTGGAGAACTGGATTAACCTAATGAAAGGCATGTGGTTGTTTGCAAATTGTCGAATGGTCAATCTTATAGATATTTGGTTGATTTTACCAAGTAATGCAGCAGAATGGAAGTGCCAATATAGCTGAAATTACAAGACCTGCCTTTTTTTTTTTTTGAATAGCTAAACAGGTTTCCTTTAATCTAATAAGAAAAACTGAAAGCTGTTAGTGAATAGATCTTTTTGTTTTATTGAGCACCTCTGTTGCCTCTGATAATATGCAGATTTCTCATGAAATATCCAAAGTTGCAAAAATGTCTTGAAATTATTACACAAATAAAATATTTAATTTTTGTAATTTTTGTAAAGGTCTTTAAAAAAGTTTGCGGTGCTTTTCTCTGAATGACCCTTTACTGCTATACTCCTGTGCACTGACATGGGTAAATCCTGAATACCTTGAGCTATGGAGCTCATGCCACACCAGCTACCGAAACAACTATCAACAGTAAAGACTGCCAAACACAAGATCAAGCTATTCCACATATCCAAAGGCAGGATTATACTGCACAAGCACATTTATTTGGTGCTAATTATAAGCTCTAAAAAAAAGTGTAAGTGCTTTTCCTTTTATTTATCTCACCAACTAACTGAAAATACTACACCCTATTTCGTTTTTTGTCACCTCTTTTGGATATTGAATTTTCATGATAGTATTTTGAAGCTAATTTTAAGGCTCTGCTTCCCTCAATCCTTTTTCCATTGCACTATTTTTCCCCTTTTCTTTATTATTACATATTCAATGTAATTCCTACCAGGAAAGTACTTACTGGAAATGTGAAATCCTTTGTCTAAATGTAAATATGTGCAGTGAAACTTGGACAGTCTAGTAATTAACATACAATTTCCTTGCTAAACATCATTTAACACGCAAGGGTTTCATGTACTCTTAACCTACCAAGTCTTAATCTAAAAACCAACAGAGATAACAGATGATAAGACTTGGCTTTAGTCAAACAGCAATTTTCATGGGAAGACAAACCGCTCCCAAGTCGGACTTACAACTTTTTATAATTGTAGAGATCAATCACGTATATTTTAAGGCATAAACCCTACACATTAGAATCAAATGTAGACACTTTGGTGGTCATGTGATCTTGAATTGTTTCTGGATAAGTGGTGCTAAGCATGAAAATGTATATGAGGTCATGAACACAATAAAATCACAAATATATAAATTTTAACCTTTAAATAATATTCTACCAAAGCCGTCTAACACTGGCACTGGCTCAACATTAGGGGTTAAACATTTCTCAGGTGATTTAAGCCCAAAGTCTGTGTTCCAGCACTGGATCTCCCTGCCCCTCTGTTCTTCTGTTTACTCAAATTCTAGAAACTGGAAGGCTCGGGCAGCGGCGCTGCTAATTACGATTGGCTGAGAGCATCAGTTGACGCTGCACGAACTGGCTGGTTTCCAGAATGTGAGCAGGACAGAGGAGCAGAGAGATCTGGCACTGGAACACAGACTTTTGGGTCAAACCATTCAAGAACGGTTTAACCCCTAAAGGGGTGCCAGCTCCAGGGACCTCCTGGCACCATAATACCTTAATTTCAATGAAGTTGTTATGGTGGCCTAACTAGTCCTTTAAGCTATATAATGCACTAACTAAATAACCAACTGTTGGCTTCAAGAATAATCAACACAAAAACAAGTACTCCCCAAACACAAATATATGAAAAATACTGATAATGCACCCAGC